TGCAGCTTGACAAAATCTACAAGAGTTGGTTGTGGCGACAAGAGCAGTTTTTGTATGGTTGGTGAAATGTGGCTTACTTTCACGTGTAAACTTATTAGGCCTAGTTATGTTTGTAGGACACTTTTGGCCAGTGGAATACTTTGAGGTAGATGGTGAACTGAGACAAATACTAGCACCTTCTAAACGTTTGGATTCCATTTCAAGAAAGGTCATTAAATCATTAACAAGAGGGATCTCGTTGTTTAAGGCGCGAGAGTCTTCAAAAGATTTTCTAATATCAGCTGGGATCTTCTTTAAAAGTGTTAAGACTAACAGGGTGTTTTCAGTTGTAATGTCATGATTTAAGTTTTTCAAGGCTTGAGTATTTTCCTTATATACAGTGAGAAATGATTGTAAGCTCTTAAGCGAACCACTAGTAATAGGCGACAAATCCAGAATTTTTGTAACAAGCTGAGTGACAATACGTCTCTTGTTTTCATAGCGATCCTTGAGAAGTCGAAGGGCTACCACATAGTTTTCAGGAGTAATATTAAGACTCTTAACCAAGTCTAAGGGCTCACCACTCAGGGCACTAAGCAAATACTGAAACTTATTCACTGGGGAGACAGAATTATTCGCATTGACAGAGGCTTCAAAAATATTATAGAAACTAACCCACTCTTCATAGTTACCACTAAATTTAGGCAACTCAAATTTAGGCAGGCGCAGAGAAGCTGGAGGTGGAGTAGGTGTTACAACAGGTTCAACTGGCAAAAGAACTTTAATGTCACTTATAAGGGCTACATACAAGTCAGAAAGTTCATCATGCATTGAAAATGATTCCTCCTCATCACAATCAGAAGCAGGGTCATCAGTCACAACTCTATTAAATAAAGTTTTAAAGTCAGTAAATAGATCTCTGACCTCCTCATTATAATTGTGTAAACGCTGTATATTAGCAGGAGTCAATTCTTGACCTTCAGTTCGAGGAAGTTGGTTTGACAAATATTTATTTATTTTCTGAAACCTGTTTTTAACAAGTTTTGCTTTTCTTTGTAGGGTAGTGAATCTCATCATGAACAAACAAATTAAATAACACACAACAAGAATAGATGGGTTTTCATAAAATAGCCCAAAATCTTAAATTAATAATGATCTCATAAATCTAGGCCTACTGAAGTGCATAAATCAATTTGCAATTCAACTTCAATAGTAAAGTGAAGTCAATTATCAATTTGTTATTATCACCAATAATCTCTGTTGACAATAATATTTACAATAATGAATAAAGAGAGTATAGCAATAACAATAATTACCAGTTTTCTCCAGTTCAGGACCCTTATCAATTAGTATTTGATTAAATAAATAATGTCTTCATTTTTCAACAACATAAACAAACTTGCAGGTTATGTTGATATGTTTCAATTCAATATCGGGTTATATTTAAACAAACAGCTGATGTAGATGAACAGAGTTTTGATGAGTTGAGTTTTCAGTTTAATAGCAGACAGGTGATTGGTTCGTCCTCAGTTCCACCGTTTCACTAATCTTGTAGGTTATTGGTTGCCATGTAGCGCAGAGCGATCTGTTGGCGAAGTTGAGAACTACCAACTACCAAGGTGTATCGCAAAGGACAGAACGTTGTTGCAAAATGGCGGACAATGGGATAGAATATTTCAGGGAAATAACTACTAACTTTGCAGTTTTATTTATACACCCAAATAATAAGGCTGAATTGATTGTGAGACCTTATTATTTAAAAGGATTTTATGGATGAGATGTGAATAAATATTCAATCCTGAAAAATGTTCTAAGCTTGATTTATTTCAAGACAAACTAGGTAGGCCTAACTTGACGTGATTTAGGTGGCAGTGACAAAATTGAACATGAAAATAATTGTCTGGTATGAAACAGGAATGGACATTAAAATTGTTCGTAATAATGTTTCACAAGACAAAATATTACCAGTTAGGGATGTGACACTGATCATAAACATTCATTTGAGAAATAAATTATTGTACTGTATCAATTATATTTTAATTGGCAAATGTAGTCCGGCTCGACAGGACCAGCGAATGGGGGGTAAACTTCGATATGGTGGACTGTATAAAAAATGAGGGATGTGAGATATATTATGTTAAGATCAGCTTTAGAGACACACTGTGAGCACAAAATAATAAACTTTTAAATAGGAAGAAATGTGATTTGGTACCTTCCTTTTTACTGAAGTGATGTCTAGTAGACCGTTGACGCACTTGATGTTTGCTGGCCAGCTTTCGCGTACGCGACCGGTAGTTGCACCAAGAACAGTTTGAATACAGTTTTTAACTATTCAGTTCACTTTTTTGTTAGGTGTGTCACAAATAAATACATAAGATAAACATACGATAATATAAGTTCAATTTATATGCCACAAATAGAGTAGGGGAATATTATAATACAAAACTAGGGAAAATGGCGAGAACATGATGCCGGGTTGAAGAGTACATGAGGAATGGGGGGAATTGCCAGACATCACGTGACAGGGCAAGGGTCAGAACAAAATATGAATGAAGTCTGGATTCACCTAGGTTGCGTAGATGCTTGAATACGGAACAATAAGATCTTTCCCTCCCACCTGTAACCCATCACAACTAAGGAGATGGGAACTCTCTTATCAATGGTTCACCAAATCCAGGGAGCCCCCAAACCTCAATCTCAGATAGGCCTAACATTTTCCTTTCCCCTTCCACACCTAAAAAGCAGGCTTAGACTAAGTGTAAATAAAATCAATGACTCATAACCTTGTGTTGGCAACACTGCTTCCTTACCAGTGAAAGACTCTTAATATCTAATGTGACTCTCCATGTTGAGAAAGGGGCCAGTGGCCTCGAAATATCCAGTGTTTATTTTGTTTGTTTGTGTTTTCTTCTGTGTTCTGTAGTGAATGAAGTGGGATGCCTACATTTTTTAAGGTAAGCCTGCTTATCCTATCCTTTCTTACACCTATTACCTTGAGTACAGATTAATTACATACATAAATTGAGATGGAAATTAAAAAATGCATAGTTGCGACTGAAAAAATACAACATGTAACTGAAACGGGTCATTATATTTCAGGTCTTACGGAACCATCAGATGGATGGAAGAAGCAAGTGATGCTATTTGAAAATGATTTCAAAATGCAACATGGCAGTGGCCTTGACAGGGAAAGAAAAGTAGTGGCAAGATTCGAACAAGTATTAAAAGAAAAGTATCCCAGTGTCTGCCCGATGGCAATTAAACTCTATGCTAAATTAAGGACTATAATTAGGATTAGGCATCTGAATAGACTGAATAAAGTAGTAGACAATAGAAAAAGTACACAAAAAATGTCAAAATGGGTACAATCAGGGAACAAAACACCAAAGTAATTATTTTGTAAGTTGTTTACCGTATTTTATTACATTTATGTAAATTAAAAATATTCACAGCACCAATGCCAATGTTTTTATTTTTCAGCCATGTTTGCCTTAGAATATTATGTATCCTATTTGTCGGTGTTTAATACATGAGGACAAAAGTTGTTATTCTTCATGAGCTATCTAATGTATACTGAGAAAATATCATTAAACTAAAATAATATTATAAGTAAATGAATATAGCAATGTACCCTTTTGGAATATACTGTTACTTATTACATATAACCGTATGTTATGAATTTAAATCACATTATGAAATTGTAATACAACTGAAGGATTTTACAGTATTACAATACACTTTCCGTTGTAGGCATTATACTAGTTAGATTTGATCTATTTTATTACTGTAAATCTTAAATGTATTTTAGAAAAACATTTATTAAGTTATATCTATTAAAAATATTTATAATAATATGTTAAGTCAATTGTTGTCGCAAAACAATATGCGGCAAAACGCGGTACGGCCGGCCGTGCGTCGCCCCGGGACAGCAGTTAAATGAAGTTTTGTGTTTTCATTGCATTACTGATCGAACCAGCAGTTTTATAAAAAAATGTTTGCAATAAAAGTTGTAGATAATTTAATTATCTACAACTTTCTCGCTGAAAGTTTGTCTCTACCTCAAAAATAAAAAAAAGTTTACGCTTACTTACATTTTCATGTCACACGTTTAAAAATAGGTAAGTATTTCTTGTTATTACAAATCACAGACATTATTAAACCAAAATATATTTGCACCGTTGGAATCGTCAATTCATGCAGAATAGAAATATATAAGTTTGATTCTAATTCCATTAACGTAGAGAGCTGCAGGACAGTGTATTTGCAACGCAAACGCAATACCAGGCGCTGCGTGCTGGCGGCGTGTGGCATCGTTCCTTCTCATGACGTCACGGGGGGGGGAGGGGCTGGGAGGGGCTGGAGTCACTTTTCTCTGCTCCGTGGGCTAGCCCTTGTTGGTTAGTCCTGAACATTTGCTACCAGCCCCGTTGTGCAATTGTTGGTTACAGCCCTTTGCAAACCCCTTAGCCAAGTGTGCATATAATTAACATCTGAACACTTTTCTGTATATTATATCAACAGGCAACATATTTCAAAAGGGTTTACCATCCCACATAAATATAATCATAGAACATTTTTTGAACTTGGTAGAAGCGTTGATTTCCTTTTACATTGTTTTTGGCTACTATGACGAGACTAATCGTTTCAAAGGGGTGAGAACCAGCTAAAATAGCGGATAAAAAAAGGAACATGAGGTTGGTGTTAGATTTGAACTAGCTTGCATGGCCGCAACGGGAGCTCAAAAGACGCCTTTATTTTTGAACCCTTGTAGCTTCATTTCAGACAGATTTTACAATTGGAGATATATTTATTGTCCTTGGATGCTAGGCACGAACCAGGGATTGTTTTTCACATTACTTCTGGCTAGACCTAGAGGTTGTGGCATTATCACTTAGATAAAATCCATTGGTGATTTTGCGGACCTGAGGGACTGAAGTCCCGCACTCTAACCACTAGACCAGCTCACCCAACAACTGGAGATATTAATCAGGTATTACATAAATATAGCTATGCTGATGTACCAGTGTCCAGATAGAAGGAGTCAATCTGATAGTCCTTGACCAGTTGAAGCAGCTGTCTTTGAAGCCAGGGGACGCTGTCATTGTAGGTGATGTCTATCATGCCAGCGCTCGCCACTGACTTGTACGATGTCAAAGCTGGGATACGCCTTGACGGGTCTATTCCTCGCTCTGTCACCTGTGTAGTTACAATAATAATTACTATCAAACAACATGTTAGAACCCCTCCCCCACAAAACAAACAAATAAAAATAAACAATTCTATATGGGTTTACCTCTTTATACTTTGGTATTATTTAAATACAAATTGTAGCAGGCCTATCTGCTTGTATACTATGATTTTTTGACGTTTTCTATTAAAGTTTAGGCTTAGGATTTCCATTTGAGGTTTACAATTTTGAACTAAAAGTGAGTAATATTGGATAATCTTTTTTTTTTTAATCTCATTTTTCTTTTTCTGGCAAAAATGTTGCATTCAAATATTAAGATACAGATTTATAATATATGTTTAGTTGGTTTTTACTCCCATCCTCTCCACCTTTATTGAAAAGTGTTTCAATAGTAAAGCTGAGAAAAACATAGGAGTCAAAGACAAATATACTATGAAATAATACGGTTTTTATAAAAAATATTTCTTAGGAGTTTTTTTATGACTTTTTTTAACAAGAATACTGTACCAGTAGTCCATTCTTCACAGCTGCAGCAAAGTTCTTGGACTCAGTACCGATGAAAGGTTGCACTGTAAGAGCAATTCTGAACCCCCTGCGGTGAATTATCTCGATTGTTTTCTGCATCGTAGGAAACCTATCTCTGTCTACAGTGAAATCACCGACCTCACCCTGCCAAAACTCGTTTAACAGAACGTGACCTGAAAGTTAGGAACTTCAATTATATTAGGTTCATTCCAAATACATTTTGATTGATTTCACTCCCTCCCCCTCCCTAAAGAGGATTTTGAGATTGTTTTTGTCAAAATCTTTTGAATTTGACTTTTGGGTGAAATATCCAATTTGGGTCCCCATGAACCCAAAAAAGTGTTTTTTTTAAGTAATGTCTTATTGAGTGTCTGTATGTGTGCGTGGATGTGTACTAAGCTATAGACTACACCTGTGGTCCGATACTCTTATTATTATATAGGATACTAATTTTTAGATCTTAACTAACATTTTTTAAACCAAGATGAGATAAAACATGTTATCTACCCTGACGGAGGAATCCTAGAGCAATGACGTCCTCAGTGTAGTTGACTATCAGCTGTTCAATCATCTGGTGCTTGTTCTGCGGTGCGATCTGCCACACAGGCTCCGTCAACAGACTGTTGATGACCGAGTTGTCTTCCTCACGGAGTCCGTCCCAGAGAGACTTCTCGGAGAGGGAGGAGTGGAGCAGCTTCATGTTACGAGACGTACAGATGGAGTAGTTGAGCCTCGGAAGTCCTCGTGAAGACATGTAAGCAAACTCATCGTGCCGACCCTAAAGTAACATTTTTTGTGCAAATTTATATTGTATTGGATGTATCAGTTAATCATCAATATTATTATCTAGATACGTAACCCAAATATGAAGGATGAGTGTAAAATGTTGTGAGATTATCTTTGTAGCTTTGCTACATCTAACATCTAAGTGCACAAAGTATTCACTCTCACCTGAAGGCAAAGTCTGGTGGACTTATCAGCATTGATGGAGACGTAAAGAGGTGTGTCAGGATCAACTGAAATCGCAACGCCTCTCGAGTTTATGAAATACCTCCTCAACACTCCGCCCCAGCGATGTCGACCGACTTGTCCTGTCACAAATGCAGACATCTCCACTCGACCCAACTCCACTGGCCATTCCATGCCTAGCGTACGACCACCTCCGTACCTGGGAGTGAACAAAGTACAGAGTAGTAAGTTGATATTCAATTCTTTACTCCTTGCAAATCTTCAGTACACTTTGGTTAAAATCCAAAAGAATTTGCAGATGTTTCAAGTGATTATTTTAATTGAGTCTCACCAATGACCGTAGTTGTCCCCGTCCTCGTAACAGTCTGTAGGTCGGAGGTTAGGATCCTGACTGAGCCAATCAAAGTGGTAACATCTCAGTCCGGCCTGCTCGGAGTAACTCAGGTAGAGTCTGGCCAGGTTCATCCACTCCATACATACAGACCCGTCGTCTCTACAACAGTAACCAGAAAAATCTATCTGTAGTCTAAGAGCTGCCACGATAGGGTTGTCCGTGGTCTTCATTGAACTCCTATTGCAACCAAGCATGTTAGCTTGAATCTGACACAAATTTAATGTTTTAATTGCTTTATCCACTTCTATTCCAGTTTGTTCACATTACTATCGTCGTAATGTTCAAAAACATTATAAACAAAAATGTACGCTCCAGCCAAGTATGAATCACGTTCTGTAAATATATGTTTCTGTAGGAAGGAGGCCAACTCCTGACCCCTAGGAATCTGTTGCCAGTTGACAGATCAGTTCAGCAATCTATTGTGTTCAGTCACACCGCGCTATCTGCAGGAGAAATTACTTCCACATTGGTCACTGTCATTAACAAGAGTGACGAAAGCCCACAACCAGCCAAAACCATGCAAAACATCGTGTTCATGTTTGGGAACATACAAACTCCCTCCCCTTACGCACATTTGCAACGTCCAAACACCTTGCTCTGTTAATGTCTGTCAACTGACGGTTGTTGACCGAGACCACTAAACTATCATAAAGCTTGATTTATATTTGGCGGGAGCGTCTTTTTCGTATACTATGACAACACTAATAGTCCCAAAGGGGTGGAAACCTACTAAAATTGTGGTGGATAAAGTAAGGACGACGTTGGTCTAAGATTAGAACTAGCTTGCTTGGCTGCGACTGGAGCTAAGTGAAGACCTTAATTTACAAACGGCCTTCATATTATTGTTAAGTCTCAGTGAAAGAGTTCAATCGCTCAAAAATGCCATGTGTTCTCTCTTTTCAAAAAATATTTTTTCTGCACGATTTTAGTGCATCCATTTCAAAGGGCTTTTAAACTGTCTAATCAAATTTTCTAGAAAGAAAAAAAACATAGAAGAAATATTTCATTTGTAAAATACACAATTATTTCGTTCCTTTTCATTTTGTTCTTTTTAAGCTATGTAAAATAAACTATTTTAAACCAACGACAATTTCATTACTGACTGTATAAATTAATTGTCTATTATGTGAATATAAAGAGAAGTTTTGTTTACCTCTCATGTTGAGGCAGACAGTCGAACACTCTGTAGGTTTCTGGCAGTTCGGTGCCGAGGTATCCTAGAGCTATCTCTTGTCCTTCAAAGTTGAACACTCTCACCAGCCTCTCCATGTTGTTGAATCTTATTCTATCAAAGTATGCTCTCTAAAAAATAAAACAATGTTGTTCATCGTGTCACAAAATGTCAATCAGATTTAGCCTAAAGATCCAAGAATTTCTCTTGGATTCAAAACTAGACATTGCTGGTATTTTACTACTTGATTTCGGCTAAAGGGTTTTACCATTGACTATTGGATAGGCCCACTGAAGTAGACATCCCATCTATATGGACCAGCTGCCGCAAATTGTTTATTAAAAAATAACATAGTTGTGAGAGCTAGTCACAGAATGTGCTAATGTCTAAAATACTATTTTCTCCCTTATTTTGTTGGTTGCCGACCAATTTGATGGGTAGCTCACAATAAGTTGATTCATCAGTTTGACTTGGTAAAAAAGCCTGTGTATTCCTCAGAAATTAGCGATTTAGATCAGTACAATCTATGCCTCAAATCAACTACGACAATTGCGACACATTTAACATGGGGATGGAATGCCTAGTTGTATCAACAGCAAAGGTTTGTAAATATTTATTTCATTGCATTACTCAATGCCGCTGTGCATACATTTTCAACACGCTGTTCATGTACCATATAATTTATCAAAAATTATTGTGGAAAAAAGTGTTTTATTTTAATTTATTGCATTTATAGAACTCTGCATAATACAATATAACACTGTGGTATGTTGGACAAATTTTGTGAAAATCAAGGAAAATCCCTTGACAGGTGCTTTATGGAGTGTTACCTTGGGCGCAAATATTGTAGTAAAAAAATACGATTGACAGTTGTCGCAGATGTCACCGTAACTATCACATTTCTTTTTAAGAACAGGTCTGAAATAATTTCACTTTCAAAACCGTCACCCACTACACCTCCGATTGAATCAAATAATATGCAAATAATAAATCAGTATTTATGAATGTGAACAAAAAATTCTAATAAAGTACACAACATTTTTAGTTTACATACCTGTAATACTTGCTGATGGTAAAAGACATGAGCAAATCCAACAAGGAAAACAACTGTTAGGAACATCAGGCTGACAAACCCTTGAAGTTTGTACTCTTTGGGTTTCTTCTGTCGGATCCCTCGTGGAAATGTCATCTAAGGAAATAAATCAAGTTTTCAGAAATTAACAAAAACAGGGTCTGCAACACTGAGACCTTTTGTATTGGCTCACTTTCAATAATAAAACAAGTAGAGTATTAAAATTTCCATACAATTGGGTAATTATATCTTTGAATTTATTTTTATCACTGAAGAGTTCTTCAGTTCTCAAAATCAAGAATGTGCCAGATAAAGTATCTTGATAATAAATTTCAGACAAGTATGATTACTTTATGATAACATTGTGACGTTTCATCAAACCTATACAGTTTATTAAGAAGATAAATTGACAATTAACCCATTGGGGAAGGAATTAATGCGCTGCCTGCAGCACCCTCTGTCGGCAATTAGTTTTACCGAATTTGTAGACTTTTACTCTAATTGTTATAGAATGAAGACCTAAGATAAATAATTAATAACTCTTTCGCCATTTTGTTAACAGTAAAATTGTCTACAAAAAATTGGTAATTGGATAGTCAAAGTGTAAAACAACAATAACAACAACATTATAAAGATTATAAAAATAAACATTTTTTAAACATATTTTGAAAGTAAACTTGATTTACAAATTCTAAGATTAATCCAAGCACCAAATGACAGTTCTATTATAAAGTTCAATTGATTCCCTACGTAGAAAAATCACAAGTGGTTTACTTTTATAAGTTACTAGCAGAGTACCCGTCCTTCGTACGGGGTTGGAATATAAGTATAAAATTCTTATTGCAATTATACTCAAGCTTTGCCCCGTTTAACTTCTTAATTTTCAAGATGATCTCGTTTGCATGGCTCAATCACGTCCTGGTTGAAGTTCGTTCGCTACGCTCACTCACCTTTAGGTTGGAGCTCGTTCGCTGCGCTCACTTTCCTTCAGGTTAGCTCGTTCGCTACGCTCACTTGCCTTCAGGTTAGCTCGTTCGCTACGCTCACTCGCCTCCAGGTTGAAGTTCGTTCGCTACGCTCACTCACCTTTTGGTTGCAAATTAGCTGTTGTCATAAATGTAAAAGAAATAATAGTGCTGCACCCTGTTGGTAATCCTTGTAACTTTAATGCTATTGAACATCACAGAACAGATCCAACTTGTTTAATTGAAACAGCTGTTAAGATTCAATAATTTCATTTCTCATAAGGCTAACATGGGAAACTCCAGAGCCACTGGGGCGGAGCCCGAAAGGATTTTTGGGATAAAAATATGCCTATATGTTAATCGGGAATGTGAGCTATCATCATGCCGAATTTCAGCCCGATCCGACCAGTATTTTTCGCGTTTACTTTTCCCATACATACAGCAACCACCTCATTTTTATAATAGTACTAGCTGACCCGGCGAACTTCGTATCGCCAAAGTTATAGGTTTCCCCTAAGACAGACCGATGGAAAGAAAGTACCGTTAAGTTTAATTTTCAAGATGATCTCGTTCGCATCGCTCAATCACGTCCTGGTTGAAGTTCGTTCGCTACGCTCACTCACCTTTGGGTTGGAGCTCGTTCGCTACGCTCACTCACCTTTAGGTTGGAGCTCGTTCGCTGCGCTCACTTGCCTTCAGGTTAGCTCGTTCGCTACGCTAACTCGCCTCCAGGTTGAAGTTCGTTCGCTACGCTCACTCACCTTTGGGTTGGAGCTCGTTCGCTACGCTCACTCACCTTTAGGTTGGAGCTCGATCGCTGCGCTCACTTGCCTTCAGGTTAGCTCGTTCGCTACGCTAACTCGCCTCCAGGTTGAAGTTCGTTCGCTACGCTCACTCACCTTTTGGTTGCAAATTAGCTGTTGTCATAAATGTAAAAGAAATAATAGTGCTGCACCCTGTTGGTAATCCTTGTAACTTTAATGCTATTGAACATCATAGAACAGAACCAACTTGTTTAATTGAAACAGCTGTTAAGATTCATTAATTCCATTTCTCATAAGGTTAACATGGGAAACTCCAGAGCCACTGGGGCGGAGCCCTTTTAAGAATTTCGAAACGGGAAATAGTTTACTTTCTATTCGCATACCTACAGAATTTACACACCAAATTTCATAACGATCGGTGAAGTCGTTCCGGAGGAGTTTGCAGACAAACACTGTGACACGAGAATTTTATATATTAGATAGATAACATAGAAAAACAATTGTTTGTTTACCTTACGGCAGCTGATTTTTTGTGATATCTGGTTTCCATGGCAACACAACATTGTTTGTTATTCGCAAAAATAAGTAAATACGCAAAACAAGAAGCAAGATATTTGTAATAATCTATGCCTAATCTATGCCTGCCTTCTTTCATATACAGTTGAACCATAGACTAACCAACACAAGTAGACTTCTCATCCCATTGTAAATTTTGAAGCACGTTTTTTGTGCCTAGTTCATGTACGTGACACAAAGGCGCTAGTGTCGATGAAACTTTGTTTCCATTATTTTGGGGTTAATTTCTTGATTTGTGCTTTACTGTTTGGTTATATAACTAGGGGACAAGTTATTGTTTATGATTAGATCGTATTATTTGGTTAAACGAGGTTTTAAATGGCTGTAATAATGGGAAACAAATTGTTAACAAAACACGACCTCTACATAAACCGTACATGAACTAACAATAAAATTGTCTTCAGATGTTTTATCTATGGTTGAACTAACATATGTTTACAAAATCATGTAATAATCTATGCCTAATCTATGCCTACCTTCTTTCATATACAGTTCCTGCCTGAAAGTGTTCTGTACTCGATCCCGGCTGATTTCTTGGGTATTTTTAGAGGCACTGTCAGTATGCAGAAGACGATGGTGGTATAGTTTGCACCCATTGATTCCACAAGGTTTCTTTAACTTACAAAATTTGATGTGGTGACGACGGAAGCAAAAGAAACACAGTTTTTTCTCAATTATCATCTTCCACCGCTGCGAGACTTCTGCTTTTCTAAAAAGCTTACATTTATCGGTTTCATGACTCTCCGGACAAAACATGCAAACGTTTTCATTGGGCGAATGAGTAAAAACTAGTTTAGGGTCACTTCTCTTCCGCGTTGTCTCCTCGAGTGGACGAAAATAAATACTCATAATGGAACACTGATTTTCAAGCCAGTTACAGAATACTTTCAGGTCAGTAGGTTTTTCTAAATGCATGCTATTTACATGTTCAGCCCACCTGTACTTCAGAGTATAGGGAAGCTTACTTAAAAGTTCATTCAACAAGAGAGGATTTATTAGGTACATTTCCAAATCCAACGACTCTGCGGTAGATGTCAGGTTTAAAATAGTTGTTGAAAACTCAATAAGGCTGACAGCGTCATCCTCCTTGACTGGTTGGAGCATGCGCGCCTTCTTCAACATTGACTCGACTATAAACTCTGGATGTCCAAAACGCATTTGTAAAGTTTTCATTACTGTACTCAAATTTTTACCTGATATAAATAGAGGTTTTACCATTTTGAAGGCATCTCCCTCCAGACAAATTCTTATTCTGTCAAGGTTTTCATCGTCATTAAAAAGGTGTTTAGTCTTATTGTAACAGGAATAGAACATGGGCCATTCGTCTGGTTTCCCGCTAAAGGGTGGAAGACGCTGTCGGCAAGAGACAGGTTGGTTGGGGTTAGATAAATTGATAGCTTTTGAAAAGGAGTCTGCTAGTTTATCAATAGCCGTGGACACGATGGCTGACGATGTCAAAGGAACTGACGGTTCCTCATTCAGCCACCTATTGACTTTGACATTAGAGTCCTCCTCAACAGTAGCAATATTGAAGCTTACCTTCTCAGGGTCTTCATTATCTTCCAATTCCAAATGACGACTGCCCAAGACTGAGGCGGACTGACTACTTCCCAAGACCGAAGCAGACTCAAGTTCGGTCCTTATTCTCAGTAGACGCTTCTGTCGTTCTAATTCTCTTGCTTCAGCTTGACGTAGTCGTTCCATTTCCCTCTCCTCTGTTTGCCTCTGTCGTTCTTCAGCTTGACGTAGTCGTTCCATTTCCCTCTCCTCTCTTTCTTTTTCTTTAGCCTCGAATTCTCTTTGGCGCTGCATTTCTTTTTCTTCCTGCATTTTTTCTAGTTTGTTCATTTCTTCTATTTCTTCTAGTTGCAGTTGAAGTAACCGGCGCTTGCTGGAAGTTGAAGATGTGGCTTTTGTCTCAGTAGGGGGTTTTGGAGGTTGACTATCTCTTTCTATGGGTTCATCATTCTTATCATTTACCATTTCAGGGGAATATCTATTTGGAGGGTGTTTCTCTCTCCCTGACTTTCGAATTGACATATTTCTTGGCATGATTTATAAGTCGGGTTTCGGCACCAATGATAAAAATATTAGACAGACAAGACAAAAAATAGGACTTGACCAAAAAATGTGTATTTATTTGGACACTGTTTACAAAATCATAATAACTAGGTGGCGTTCGCAGAGGCATCCACAAAATTGAGCGGAGTCATCAAGGGTTCATATTATATTGTTTTTATCATACTGCAGTAAAAACAGTAGTTTTTAATGCATGCGTTGCGGGTCTAAAGTAGCATTTTTATTCTCTAGGGAGTAAAAATCGTTTTTAGCCTCAATGGAGTAAAAATCAGTTATTGTTAACTCAGTTGTAAATTTCGATTGTAAACGATTGCATGTATCTAAAATATGTATTGATTCGAGCTTCGTAATCATTTTAACCTACAGTCTACAGTCTCTTCCCATAGCATTTTGTATTGCAGATACCGTACATTAATCAATTCCCACACTCAACATTGCTCACCTTTACTACTTCCTTCACCACCCCCTACGTCGTGGACCTGTTTCCCTCTCTTCCCATTGCATTTTAGGATTGCAGATACATCAATGTGATTGCCAAAGACTGCTTGCCTTTACTACTTCCTTCACCACTTCCTACGTCGCGGACCTGTTTCCCTCCCTTCCCATAACATTTTAGGATTGCAGATACCTTAATCTAATCGTCATAAAAAGTTCCCATACTCCGGACTGCTCGCCTTTACTACTTCCTTCACTACCTCCTACGTCACGGACCTGTTTCCCTCCCTTTCCATAGCATTTTAGGATTGCAGATGCCTTGATCTATTCATCATAAACAGTTCCCACACTCCGGACAGCTCGCCTTGACTAATTCCTTTACGACTTCCTACATCGCGGTCCTGTTTTCCTCCCTTTCCATAGTATTTTAGGATTGTAGATACCTTAATCTAATCGTCATAAACAGTTCCCACACTCCGGAAAGCTCGCCTTGACTACTTCCTTCACCACTTCCTACGTCGCGGACCTGTTTCCCTCCCTTCCCATAGCATTTTAGGATTGCAGATGCCTTGATCTAATCGTCATAAACAGTTTCCACACTCCGGAAAGCTCGCCTTTACTACTTCCTTCACCACTTCCTACGTCGCGGACCTGTTTCCCTCCCTTCCCATAGCATTTTAGGATTGCAGATGCCTTGATCTATTCGTCATAAACAGTTCCACACTCCGGACAGCTCGCCTTGACTAATTCCTTTACGACTTCCTACATCGCGGACCTGTTTTCCTCCCTTTCCATAGTATTTTAGGATTGTAGATACCTTAATCTAATCATCATAAACAGTTCCCACACTCCGGACAGCTCACCTTGACTACTTCCTTCACCACTTCCTACGTCGTGGACCTGTTTTCATCCCTTCTCATAGCATTTTAGGATTGCAGATGCCTCATTCTAATCGTCATAAACAGTTCCTACACTCCGGACAGCACGCCTTTACTACTTCCTTCACCACTTCCTACGTCACGGACCTGTTTCCCTCCCTTCCCATAGCATCATAGGATTGCAAATACCTTAATCTAATCGTCATAAACAGTTCCCACACTCCAGACAGCTCGCCTTTACTACTTTCTTCACCACTTCCTACGTCGTGTACCTGTTTTCATCCCTTTCCATAGCATCATAGGATTGCAAATACCTTAATCTAATCGTCATAAACAGTTCCCACACTCCGTTCAGCTCGCCATGACTACTTTCTTCACCACTTCCTACGTCGTGTACCTGTTTTCATCCCTTTCCATAGCATTTTAGGATTGCAGATGCCTCAATCTAATCGTCATAAACAGTTTCCACACTCCAGACAGCTCTCCTTTACTACTTTCTTCACCACTTCCTACGTCACGGGACCTGTTTTCATCCCTTCCCATAGCATTTCAGGATTGCAGATTCCTTAATCTAATCGTCATAGACAGTTTCCACACTCCGGAAAGCTCGCCTTGACTACTTCCTTCACCACTTCCTACGTCGTGTACCTGTTTCCCTCCCTTCCCATAGCATCATAGAATTGCAGATACCTTAATATAATGGTCATATACAGATCCCACGCCCCGAACAGCTCGCCTTTACTACTTCCTTCACCACTCCCTACGTCGCGGACCTGTTTCCTTCCCTTCCAATAGCATTTTAGGATTGCAGATGCCTCAATCTAATCGTCATAGACAGTTTCCACACTCCGGACAGCTCTCCTTGGCTACTTCCTTCACCACTTCCTACGTCTTGGGCCTGTTTTCATCCCTTTCCATAAAATTTTAGGAATGCATATACCTTAATCTAATCGTCATAAACAGTTTCCACACTCCAGACTGCTAACCTTTACTACTTCCTTCACCACTTCCTACGTCACGGACCTCAAGCTAGTGTCGTCATTTGATTATATTTATGACCCATACCGTTTCTGTTCTAATATCTGTGGAATAATGCTATCTCTTTATTTACTGCATTCAAAAACAGCTGATCATATGTTTATGTTTATGTGTCAAATACTGCTTCCATAAGGATTACATTGAAACTTTGAGACCCTGTGGGGCGGATTCCTGAGAGACTTTTTTAACGCCATATAGATGTTAGCACTCACCGATATGGTCTTTATCACCATGCAAAATTTGAAAACGATTGATTCAGCCGTCTAGGAGGAGTTTGCGTATTACGAAATGCATAAGAGTCGACGTATAAGAGCTTCGCTCAATTAATAAAACATATGTTAGTTCAACTGTATATGAAAGAAGGCAGGCATAGATTAGGCATAGATTATTACAATATTTATAAATACTAGAGGATGTCCAGTGGTCGAAACTCGACCATAAATATGTAGTTGGATTTTTTTAGCTAGAAGCGGTTGAGGTATGGTGGAATATCTTTGGGGATGAACCTTTTTGGCTGTAGGCTGTAGTGAGTGGGATCCATTGATGTATATAACCTAACATCGATGGTGTTAGGTTATATACATCGATGGTGCGATCATGTGTTCAATGTACCCATGTCAATTTTTAAGGTCAAATCAATACAAACAAACTGGCATGTTGTCAATTAGGGACAATGGTTGTATCACTTAAGAAATAAATAAATTTCATTTAAGATCAAATAAATTAATTTAGTAATATGTCATTGTCTGATTGCACTTTCAGCTCTAGTTGTACGGGAAATATACTTGTGACGAGCAAGAATGAGCTCAAGCACTGAGCGGAAGTTCCTATCTTACAGGGCACAGGGTCTTCCTCCACCATGAGCGTTGTAGTAATGAAGACGAGGGGGGGCGGTGTTGGACTTTTCCCTAGACACCAGTAACTAGTGCTATACACCACTTAAGTGTACCATTGAATATGTTTCCTTTATACTTTTCTGTGATGTCTAAGATTTACTTACCAGCAACTTCTCCTTCAGTAGACTAGAGATTGAGTTCATGGAGTTGATGCTGGACATGGAGTTAGCAGGAGAGTCGGACGGAACGTCAATGACTTCATCATCCGACTCTCCACTGTCAGGAGCCGGTTTGATGGACTTCTTTCTCATACTGCGAGCTGGAGTCCTACGGTACAACACTCACATTCAACGTAGAGAAAAAAATACATTCAAACAATCTAGTTAAGGGTGGGGTTTGGATATAAATGTGTCCATAAAGATATAAACACCATGAACAATATACACATTTACTCTAATTTTTCTTGAGTTCTTTAAAGGGTGATGTTAACACTCAAAATACATTTTGCAGTGTGGCACCCTCAAGTTAATAAGACTTAGCCAGCCCTACATTGGATACTACAACCGTATCTTTCTTGAACTCCAGGTACAAATTGGTAAAATTGTCAAATGCTTCGTCTGAAATGCCAAACATCACTGCTTCAAGACCAGTTCTATATATTATATTATCTCTTTAGTCACCACTGGCTCGCCTATGATAAAATTGTGATGGTACTTCACTATTTGATAGGCCTTTGATGATGGCCAGTTGATGTTGAAACAAATAAAATCTATTCCTACAATGTTTCATAGCAAACTTTGCCGAAGGCATTTTGAAATATAACTATATGGCAGTTTGACAAAAAATTTGGAGGTTATGTTTTTTCTAACAGCTTGTGCAGCAAAGTCTCCAAAACTTGACTTGATAACTCATAATTCTATGAAACATGTTCAAAAAGATAGGCATATCTTTTAGCTTGAACAAACTTGTACAACCACTATTTTAAGTGTAATCTGTAAATAAAATAAACATTAAGTTGAAACCGGTTATTTAGAGGATAACACGGTACAATTTGTAAATAAATTGTAGCACATTGGAAGAGATGGAGTTAAAAATTGTACAATCTAATGTCAATCTTTATGGAAATAAATTTTACTCAGTGAGTAATACTGCAAAAATCAAATTCATACACATTAAAGTTTTTGATTCTGAAATGAATAAAACAATGAAAACATATTAAAAATTCCAAAAACTTTACCAAACAACTCCATTGAAAACTGAAATCTTGTGATCGAGACTGTTTCTTGAAGACTGAATAGATAAAATGCACTCTTTAACCTCACTATTTCTTTTATCATTTGATTATTAAAAGTGGGCTTTGGTAATTCAATTAGTAGTGTTTAATCCATGTTAAACTTCTGAAATGATTATTTACTATTTGCTGTTTGTTTTTTCTAGTAAAATTATTGTTAGCATATCATGGATATTTTTTGTATTATGGATGATAAATTTTATATCCCTGTAATATGGTTGACTGTTTATGCTTATAAAAAATAACAATATATTTTACAGTACTAAAGAAAACATTCACATGGTGTAAGGCAAACAAAAGGTATGTACCACTATAATCTATATATTAAGCTAATAAAGATCTTGAACTTTTAGTTCGCCGAACCCTTAGCCGCACACCTATCAACCACATTCTTGGTTGAAAGGTCTTGAAGTGAAACTTCCCCGAAAATATAAGTTTTTATAAACCCTCTCCTATGTGCGAGAACCTCATTTGAAGGATTATTTAATCACATACTTTTTAAGCCTAACTTAGATAAACAACTGAAATAAATTAAACTCCTGCTACTGATAACAACATGAATATTAGATCAATTCAAACATGTAATTAGTGGTCTATATTTAAGGCTAAACGTTTTGGTTTTGAGTTTTGAATCTCAAAACTTGCCGATCGAACCTCGAAACTGAAAACTTTCTAAAGTATTGATAGCTTTGAGATTTGAGATTCGGTTTTGGCACACCACTAATTCTAACGTCCTAACATTTACTGACTTGGTTTGTTCGGGTTCACTGTCCTCCTCAGTAACCCCCCCATCGCTGAAAGTGTCGCTTGTGTCGTAACCATCTCCAGTGTGATGCCGCGTCCTCTCTGGTGTTAGCTGAAAACATCCACAATTAAAAATGCAATCAATAATGGTTTGTGATTTGTAAATGACCGGGAAAACATGCACTTGAGTTTTGCATGGTTAGGTGTCAATTTGGACAAAAAAGTCTTTGAAATAAAATTCAATTTCTAATATTATCACATAAGTTTGTTAAGCCAGAGAAAATTTTAACATTAATATAGTACGGTAAATCCGAGAGGTGCCCTTAAAAGCATTTTGCTCCATTTGCTAACACTCCTCACAAGTTGTTATCTTGGGTCAAAATGATTATGTTACTAGCTGGCTCAGGAATAATTTTCTATACTATCTAAATACAAGGATTTTCTTCGTAACATCCGTTTTTCACTCATCCTTCTTAAACAATTTTTAGGATCATTTTGTTATTTGGTAACAGAAATCTTTATTAACAAGATAATTGTATTTTGTAGATAATCTTGGAATATTTTGATGCAAAATTCTTCAAACTTATTCAATGATAAGTTCTGAGATGGTCGTTGTCAGCCCTGGGGGGGGGGGGGGGAGAAGGGACAATCAATTTTTCAATAAGGACTTCCTGAGAGCCATCAAATAATCGGTACAAATCTCTGTCTCGTTGGTCATTCGAAGTACCTAAAACTTGTCAACTACAAATTTTATCAGCAAAAGAGTAACTTGTTTTAATTCTCTTTTGCTGTATTATAGCTGAACCTTCAAAGTAACTTGAAACTTAAATTCTTGCAATACCACATCTACATCAGGCAGTTTTCATTAAGATCTGAGGATGTGTCATTGTTAATTTAATATAGGCTATGGTTTATAAAATACGGCATTCAACAAAATAAATCATTTAAAGGTTTTTATCCTAACTGTATTTAGTTGATTCAATTCAATTCAATATTTCTTTATTCATTAAAGCACAAAGTACATGAATAGTGTAATTCTCTTACATGTTTTTCTTAAGTCTAAAGTCTTAAAAGTTAAAAGTTAAAGTCTAAGTTCTTAAAATCTAACATAAGTTTATACAAATTAAAAATTAACGCTCCTAAAATTCTACAGTTCATCAAGGGAATACAATACCTTGTTGATGAGAAATGTTCTAAGACCCCTCTTAAATCCCACCATGCTTTTTGCCGATTTAATTTTGTTTAGTACTTTCCTTACACTTTTGTGATACTTGATCCAATTATTATAGGTACCTAATAAACAATTCAGTTTAAACATTTGACATTAACAAAGTATTGTAAAATAGTTCTGTACATTCAGTAACTTAACAAGTTTTATCACAACAAGTTACATTAGGATTAGTTGCTATCCTCAGCCAGTATATTAGGTTTTTTGTTGTGTGTGAGTAAATACGTTTAAGTTAACTTTTTTAAAAGAAATAGCAACAAACCTTTGTATTCTAATCAAATGAGTTTTCTGGGGAATATTAGATGAAAATCTGGTATTAGTTATGGTAACATTTACTCCTTTCCACACATGTTCAATTAACTTTTTTATTGTTAGTTGAAATAATAATAAAAGGAAATTGATTAACCATACTTGATTCTCACTCAGTCCATATGTTTAGAATTTCAAATGTGAAACCTTTTCCTGGGATTCCTTGTAAAATCCAGAAACTGTTTAACTTACCTTTAATTGCCCTATAGGTTACATGTATACTAATAAAAATTAATGATCCAACAAAAATGAAAAACTATTTAATCAGACTAAATCTATGTTAACGCCTCCTATTCACATAGGGTTTGGTTATGAATTTAATAGATCTATGCACTACATTTGTGTAAATATTACAAACCTTTTGTGAAGCCAGTTTGCATAAAAATCACATAAAACACACAAATAATGTCCTTTACATTTTAAATCAATATTTGTATTAATAAAATGAGCAAAACAGTTATAAAAGGACCCAACTCCAAATCCAACCAACAAGGCATGGTCGTTGTTTTTATCTTGTTTCTACATACTTTCAAACTTGCATTCTTCATCATTATCTTGAAAAGGTCAAGAGCCTTGCCCTCCTCAGAAGATTAAATTGTTGGAAACTTCCTCTTTTGTTTGTATGAATCAGATGAAAAAATACAAAACCTTTTTTAGTATAGTTATGACTAAGAAACAGAAAATTAGATAACAATTTATGTTGCAGAGACAAAATAGATTTATTTAAGAATTATCAATATTAACTTTTTTCCTAATATCTTTTAAAATGCAATTTAGATTTTTTATTTTTGTACAAATTGTTTTAACGACTGGAATTTAAATACTTTAAAAAGTTTAAAGTTGTCTATTTTTTTTGTGAATATTCATGCATGTGACATTTGTTACGTCTCCTTAGGGAACAGTCTTGTAACTATCTACCAAAATTCTGTTAGATTGATAGCATATTGTAAATTGATGGTCTAATGACAAATTTTTCTAATCAGTGATGATTTTAAACGTATGTTGGAATCGCAACTAAACATTATAAGTACCATTACTCATTGATAGCTAAGAGAAATAAAAATTTGTAAAGGGGTTCTCTGTCTATTGAGAATTATGTAGAAAATAAACTAAAATTACTTTCTGTCAATTTTACACAAAAATCAACATAAAAATGTTTCTTAGTTTTATTTTAAAACCGCTCTTTTGTCAAACTAATAATTTAATAAAATTAAAATGTAACGGTCTAAAAAATTTAGTATCTGTGCAATGAAATTCAATATTGTATGGTTTTAAGTAGTTATAGATGTATTTTCAGTAGGTAATAATGGTACATTTTATAGATTTAATAAATTTAATTTCAAGCCTTTTTCAAAAACGTTCTTGTAGGCTACATTTGTGGGGAATTATTTTAAACTGTACATGCTCTTCATTTCAATGTCGTATCTAACTGTAAAGACTTCTTAAATGCTCAATTGACAATAACCACTTCAATTAGTATTCCAACCATAAATAGACATGTAGACTTGGTACTTTGTTGTTGTTTGTTTGGTTCTGTTGTTAAATAGATATGCTTCGTTTATTTTTTAGTACACATTCAATAAATAGTTTATTAATGACTATTATTTCATGCTTAAATTCTATATTATACTGAATTTTTGAAGGAATTATTTCTCTCTTAGAAGGTTTAAGTTAGTTACAGGATGGTGGTTAAAGAATAAGACTGGCTATTTAGGATATGTTTTAAAACTGTAAACTGTTGTATAAATAATACTAAGCCGTTTTTACATGTTTAGAAAACATTTCAATATATTTAATTTTACTTTTGACAGAAGTACCTATTTTAAAATTAATTACAGTATTTTATTGGTTTTAAGAATTTAAATTTGCTCATTGTTAGAGTAAAAATCCACATTTGAAATTTCTGAAGAATAAAGTTTTTTTTTAATTAATAAATATTTGTGCACAAATATAATGTTACCTTACCTAAACAAATCAGATTATTACGTTTTATAAACATCATACAGACCAGAATCCAATGCAAATACTGTTAGCACTCAATATTTTTAAGTTGTAAATAAAAAAATATATAGGATATTACCTGAGGTTCGTATTCCGGAGGCTCCATTGATTCCAGTCCGCAGGGCAGGGACACAGAGTTTCTCCGGGACAGTCTGACTGCGGACTGCATCTCCGGAGGGAGCAGCTGGCTGCGTTCCTGCAATTAACAATCCTGCAGTATTAGTCTAATAACATATTGCGCCTTCTAACAATACATAATATACTGGTCGTTTAATACTTACACAAAACACTCAATAAACTTGTGACACCCCTTTAGACACAACTTAGTAATTATAACATGTTATAAAACCTATTGTACACAAATTAAATTATGTTAAATAAATTGTATAATTATTTGCAAGACGAGAAAAAAAGTTTGTTGGATGAGGTTTAATAATTCTATAGATTCAGTCGTTGACCTTTTAATCAATATTCAGAACCAGTTTAAGAGTCCTTGAGCAGGATTCTACTCTCACAGTTTAACATTTAGTTGATGAATACCTAAGTCAACTGTGCATTTCTCAAATAGCAGAGCATAATTTATGGTTAGAAAATGTATTGAATGAAAATCAATTTATTTGGTTGTTTTCCAAATTACCGGTACAGTACTGAAAAAACTCAAACCAAAAAAGTTTGGAACTACTGAATGTTATTGTGTTTGAAATAACTTACTAACTTTATTAAAGACCCTTAATTTCAAACCAGTGTTATTCACAAAGATCATAAATGTTTTGTAACTGATAATTAATACAATAAAAACATAATAACCCAATTTATTAAAAAATTCACAAAGTTGACCAAGTCTAAACTAAACAATTTTCTCAACAACAAAAGTTGTTGTGGTTAAAAAAGGTATTTTGTAAATAATAATGTTTTAACTTGTAAATATTCTAATACCAATCAATTATTGTTCTGTGCAACAGTTGAATCAAAATAAACTATTTTATTGGTAAAATAAGGTAAACACATAGTATTTACAAACTACTCAGCAGATATAAAGAAAATGAATAAACTAACCAAAAAATGAATAAACTAAGCAAAACTAACCTCACTGGCCATTTTGCAAAGCAGTTAAGTTCTTAGAGGGTAAAACACATGTTTTCACAGTTGCATGGCTGTTTACTGTAGAACAGCCAGTCAGGAGTCTGACCAGGTAACCAAATATCTTACTGGCCAACACTTCAAGGACTTTAGCCACATGGAGATGCTAATTAGCCACTAATTGTCAGTCTGTTGACAGTTCCTCTCAGCTGGCTCAGCTTCGTACTTTATTGTGTAAACATTTTGTGAAGTGGTATATGAAAGTATTTAAATGTACATTTCAATTAAGAAGTAAATTATCTTATAATGATATGCATAATTGTTTTGCTGTTAAATGATCTGGGTATCCAAATAGACATGGTATTTTTTTTCCTTTAGGTTTGATAGCCGGGAATTGTTTTACATATAACTTTCAGGCTAGGGTATAGAGGAAGTGGCATTACCACTTAGATAAAATTCATTGGTGATTGGCGGGATTTGAACCCTGGACCTCGGGGACCAAAGTTCCGTGCTCTACCAGTAAACATCTTGCTTCCCCTAGGAGTGAGTGGTGATAGTGCTCGCATTCAAATCTGAAGATCACTGGTTTAATTCCAAGCAAGATCGTAACTGAACCCAGATGCTATTTGTCAATAGCCCAATTACGTCAACTTTAGGTAGTAACAATCAAAACAATGGTTTAAACTGTTTCCTTACAAAAACGTTAAAAAAGCAAATGGCATTGAAAAGACACAAAAAAGAAGGAATGAAAGATTTTACGGCCTACATAAGTGGATTTTTTTAGCAAAAACTTATCTGAACGGAAATTTGATCATCTTGGCACAAGAATCACTCCAACTTCACAAAAAAAAAAAACTTCCCTAACACTGACATAATTTTAAACCAACGTAGGTTTAAGTGAATGTCTATTTACATAGTTTAATAATCCGAAATATTACATGGACAAACAGCATGGAGAAGGGCAGAGCAGAAGTGAAACTTTGAAGGGAAAATAGGTTCTTGCTAAAATTTAACCCTATGTAGTAATTTTTGCAAAATCAAACAAAAAAAAAACAGAAAAAATACTTGACTTATTTTGCTTATATTTGACTAAACATTAATTTTACTTGTCTTTTTCTAGGAAACTGCCATTTAAAAATCAATGATTCAGTTTAAAATATACCTGGAATTGTCTTGAAGTGGTCAGTCTACTATTAGACCAAACAAAACAGTTTTTTATAAAATGTTTAAGGATACTAAGATTAATTCCTTCCAATATCATATATAAAAACAAAAGTTATTTTCAATTTTGGCCTATACTAGTATATACCGTAGTAACTGTGAGTGTTTAATATCAAAATAAATGGCTAGAGAGATGTAACTTGACTTACCTTTTAGAAAGAACTAACAAGTGCTGATGAGTGTAGGAGTCACTCCTACGTCCTCTGACATTTACAGGATAGCCATTTTAGAGTTGTGGATACTCCCAGTGGGTAAACCATTTGTTGGGGGCTAGGGGGCTTACAATCGTCACACGTTAAACTACCTAAAGATTTGTAAGTTGTACCTTTTTAGTTGGCTATCCTAAACTGAGGATATTTTTTGTAGATTCTTGATATGCTCAAGTAACCACTATCATTGCAAGAATATCTTATGTATCAATAGGCAAGCATGCTTCTTTAAAATCTTTTTTCTCACCTCGTGTGCATCGCAGGGAAAATCTACGCATACTGTTGGAAAGATATTTTCCTGTTGATGTGAAGAATCCCTTTATAAATTTAAACAGGCTCAAAATAAGGACAAAAAATGGATTTAAAATAAAAAAAAATAACATGGGCTTTATGGGTTGCCATGCTGGTGACGAAATAACAACAAAATATAAACAGAAAATCAAAACAAATGGAAGGAATTACAATCACATGTTTTATTTACAGTGTGGGGTGGTAATAGAGAATTCTGTACATTGCATATTTTTGGCAGTTTTTGACCATTGGACGACATCTAGTACAAATAAATATTCACTTTGGCAATAACTACTGAATAGATAAATGCTTCTTTATTACTTCATTTGTCTGGTTTGATATAGAACTGCAAAAGAAAAGGCAAGACCCCAAGTTAATTTGACATAAAATTGACTTGATGGAATGTATACAGACAATACTATTTGCTGGAGATGAGTTTTTATGTTGTTATAGTTCGTCCGCTTAGAAAACGACCTGCGCGCTAATGCTAAACCAATGCTGGAGGAGGTCGCTTTCTAAGCGGCCGAACGTTTGTATTGTTATCATTGGTGATGAAGGAGCTTTAGCACAAATTGTTCATTTTAGTAAGGCTCAAGACTCAATTCTGAGACCAAGATTTTATGCAACAACCTTTTACCCTTCTAAGATTACTTTGTAATTGGAAAAACACTAAATGAAAAACTAAAAAATTTACATAGTTAAAAAAACAGTAGGACCTCGATGATTCGGCTAGAACAGGCAGCTGGTAGGCCGGGTTTATGAAAAGGCCGGACCATCGTGTAGTATGTATACATTAAATTGTATATCTATACCATTAAGAGTGATTAGCTACCTCAGGTTGCAGTTATCAATAAAAGAGGCATATTTAAATCCCTTTCCATAAACTTTTATCATCATCATTTTTCTTTGTTTACAATCTGACTGTGGTTGAAAATGAAAATGCAATTAAAGGAAACGGTAGGCCTAATCAGCTGTTAAATTGAATTACAATTCATATTTAATACCGTAAACCGTTATAAGGACGTTGGTCAGCACCACTAGACCTTTAAGAGCGTCCTCTAGAAATAATTTATACAGCAGTAACTATTATTAATTTCACAGATTATGGTACCATTTTCTTTTTTTTCAAAGAAAATGAATAATTATAAAACAAAACCAAACACTCCAGGGTATTGTGACTAAAGACCATCAAAATAGCTGAAATAATGTTTATTGACACCAGTGAAACAGATTGCACATGAGGCATAGTTGAAGATCACAAATGAACAACAAAAATATCACACCATTGTTGGATAAAACTATAACAAACACAAACAACAACTGAATACGCCATCAACAACATGTAGCATGAAGTAGATTATACAACTAAAGGTATAGATTGAAATTTAAAACCGAACAGGAAACTTATTGATGAAATTTAACTTCATCTAATGTAAATAAATAAAAACAAAAGCTAATGATTACGCAATGTTCACATAGCTCAACAATATTGTGAGCGGAAAGTTGAAACATTAAAAATTAAGATATGTTTCATTATTTATTAGGACCATTTCAATAATTTTGTACTATGTAGTATGCAGCTTTAAAATATAAAAATATCGATACACAATTTAAGAATTTACAGAACTAAAAGACACAGACAGTTATCATCGAGAACTCCTTAAACTATTACAGTTTAAAAATTGGACGTAAGAGATTGAACGATAGGTTGAAAATTTGTAGAAACTGTTAATTATGAAGGAGTGACTAAATAAGTAGATGGTTTTATGTTGTAATTTATACTTCTTTCTATCACCCAAGTTCGGGAGTATGGTAAAATAAACATTTTCCTAAGTTACAACATACTTTTCCAATAAATATGGAACTTTTAATGGTTGAAATTAATTGGCATAACTAGAACAAAGACCAAATATCATTAATATCACTATCCTGAAATTTTTACCTGGTAAAACTTTACCTACAATTCCTTTAAATCCTTTGGACCTGTTTTTAGCACTTAAATAAGGCAACTAATTAAATTAAGTAAACAATAAAATATCAAATTTATCACTCAATGAAAGGGTAAACAAAATTCAATCGATGATAAAATATTTTAAATAAGTAAGATTGTTTAACTAGATTATTCTAATGTGTCGTAATCATGATATATATCAAATATATAATACATTTTATTTCAAGATAATCAATTAATTATTTATAGAAAGTATAGGCTAATCATGGTACAATGATAAAACAATAACATGATATTAATTAAATAAAATATTAAGGGAAAATGAAGCAATGAAAATACAAACAGATCCCATACTACCAAAATAATATAGTTGTCTGCTACACTTATTTTACAAACTAATTATTTAAAAAATTTTGATTGGGAAACGTATACATACTAACTATAAATATACTTCTTAATTCTTTTAAGCAAATGCACAATGTGCAAGTTGTATTACGTGCACAGAAATAACATTAGATATTGATATTAGAACAAATTCAGACAGCCATAACCCATCCATTCTTAATTTCAAAAGTATATTAGTAATAACTTTGAAGTTAATAAATTTGGAGATAGTATATAATAAATGCTGTATTTGAGACTGAACTCCGTTTCAGCATAATATGCTTATTTATTTATATTATTTTTATGTTGGTATTCTTAGGAATTGACACTATTCATGTATATTTTGTACACAATGAATAAAGGATGTTTTGATTTGATTTGATATGGAGTTAGGAAAGCTCCATAATGCTCATAATGTCTTTTAGGTTAGTCCAACAATAATAATCCAACAAATTTATATATAGACAATAAAAATCAATAAAACATCCTATATATTAAAATAGGCAAGCATGTTTCTTGAAAACATTTTTTCTCAGCTTGTGTGCATCTTAGGAAAAATTGTTAGAAAAAACACCTTTTATGTTACAAAACTTTAAAAATACACTTAAAACCTCGATCAATTTTTTTTTAATTCAAAAGAAAATTTTAATCATAAGATAACAAAATAAGTAGTCATAAGGTCATTTTAATATGAGATAAAACTTTTGAAGTAAAAACATGAAATCAGAAGAATAGTGAAATAAAATAAAATGCTGGAAAGTTATAGATTATAAACTGGTATGATATTGAAGTTTGTAAAATCCTGCGACCTGCATAATACAGTTGTTCTGGCAACAAATACAGCACTATTTATAAGATATAAATAATTCTTAAAATATTAAAAAAATATTTAAATAAATCGGTCTCAACCATCCCAATTTGATACTAATGAAATTTGAGAGACAATTTATGTACACGATTACTAAGTTAATGATACTGATGTTAAAAAATAAATAGACAACATTTCCTGCTCATTTTTACGTTATTTTCTCAAACAATAATTACTTTACTTGCAGTTGTACCTAATCAGCCTTTGCCTCTGGTTTTAAATGGCCACTTGTAATCAAATGGCAACCAATTTGAATGTTACTAACCACTGCAATCCAACTAAGCAATACAAGGCAATCCATTAAATCTTAATCAAAATACTCCTCATTTCAAACAATAACGATTATAATACTAAAAAAAATATCTTTACTCCTTTAATGTTTTCTTGCATTACATTTAATTCAGTTCTGTGATGTAACGAATTAATAGGAAATTATTTATAACAAAACTTGTAGTTATAATTTTTAATAACTAAATTTATCTGAATATTTAAATAAACACTAAAACGTATTTACTTTCTTGGTAAATAAGATGCAAGAAAACACCGCTTTAGAATTAAGACCATAAGACACATAAACATGAGGGAACGGTACAATGTATATATATATATTTTATGTACAGATTAACAAAGTATACAGATTTATATATTTAAAAATACCAATAATGTTCTTCTATAATAATGCCAGTGTAGATCTAATTTGTTGAAAGATCAAAGATATCTACATATATAATATGTATATTAACAAATTTGATTAAGTTAGGCTTGCCCAAAAACCTTTATGGTGACTCGGCTGATAATGAACAGTTACACATGGGGACGGAGTTGAACATGTGTTCATATTAAATAAATACCAAAAGTCCAAAACTTATAACAAGTTTTCTCCAAAAGTAAAGCAATATTCTTGTTAAACCAAATTGTTAATGTCATTTAAATTTACAGTGACTGATTGAGAAATTGTGCACTTACTTACACAATGTTTAAGTACAGTAATAGCCCGCTAGTTCAGCATCCGATGGTCTGGCACTTTCAGCAATCCTTTGAGGTGGCCATCGTTTGGACTTCTTTAGCAATGACTCGGAATTCTGTAGCAATCATTTGGAATTCTGTAGCGATCATTTAGACTTCTGTAGTGACCGTTTCGACTTCTGTAGCCACCGTTTAGACTTCTGTTGCAATTGTTCGGACTTCGGTAGCGATTTTTCACAATTCTGTAGCAATCATTCACACTTCTAAAAGGATCACTCAGACTTCTGTAGCGATCGTTTAGACTTCTGTAGCGATTGTTCAGAATTCTGTAGCGATCATTCAAACTTCTGTAGCGATCACTCAGACTTCCGTAGCAATCAGCAGATGTCGATTCTTTATTTCGGGGTATTTCTGCTAGTCTTGCAAAAACTTCCTTCAATAATCCAGCAATGCTAAAGTCTGGAATGTGCCATATTAGCGAGCCTCTACTGTCTTGTCAACACAATGATGAGAACCAGCAACGACGTCCAAGTAAACTTTTTGGGCAAGCCGCAACCATGATAACAGTGAGAGAAAACGTGAGTGCAGTTCTACTGGAGTGACAAGTTACACAACACGCATACAATAACAAAACATAGGAATCGTATTTACAAACAATGGCTTTCATGTTCCAACTCACTTGTCACACTTAAATAACTAATACATTACAAACGATAAAATATATTACAAAAATAACACGTTCTGACACTAATAAGTATTATAAAATTCGTAAAATAAAACAAGATCATACTTCCAAGTGAGCCGAGAGTGTTTGTAGCTTCTGCAGGAACGGGTGAGATTAAACAGGACAGCGTCAGTTCAGTAACAGTTCTTTGATGTCGAATACAAATTACTCAAGACATTTGGTTTGCGAAAATAAATATATGCTAAGTTAATTACAGTGAACTGTATTGCCCACAAAACACACATTTTTGGTTACTCAATCATGAGTAAAAAAATCCAAGAATGAATCAAGCAACTGAATTTCAATTTAGGTTTTAAAAACTGTTACTTAAACGACGATTTTACAATCTAGTGGAATGTCAACGTAGGTTCGCCACAAACATTCTAGAGCTCATCTGGTAGGGTAATATCACATAACATAGTCTAATTGAAACAAATTCGATACTGAGAGTCAAGTTAATGGACTAGGTCGTCACTACATCACTCGCCCGTGTCGGCCCACTTGAGCTCCTCATGTATTCGGTCGAAACATTCGCCCAGAAATGTGTACTGGAAATGTAAACAAATTGATTACTAAACACAGTGACTAACCATATACTACACCGCCTTTGCACGATACTTGACCACTCATATAGGCAGTGTGCATGTATTACAGTATAGTAGAACTAAAACAATATAAGTTTATCGGGACCACATACAATTAATTAATCAAACGCACTGGTAGGATTTTTATTGAAATCGGTGTTATTTAATAGGAAATGGGACGAGTCAAGCTAAGCTTTTATTATCGCGATCACAAAATCGCAAAGATTTTGTGAATGAAACTTCATACTTTCATCGTGATTGCAGAGGATTTTCTTTTCTACTGCGAGAGACGATGACGTCTACACAACCGCAAAAGATAATCAGAATTTTTCTTTCATCACGGGAGACAGTGAAATGAAATGAAATATTATTTATTTATACAGGCAAAAGTTAGGGCCACATGGCCCTTTCTTACACTTAACCTGTCATAAATATAACACATATATTTTAACAATTACACTAATATACAACAAAAACAAAATCTAAATGATGGATACAGAAACATTAACAAAAGAAAATAACTTACATTTTAAACTGTACAAAAATAATCTTCCTGTCTCCCTCTCTCTCTCTCACACACACATACACACACACACACACACACCAAGCACATCTGTCAGTGACCAACCACGCGTACAAGCCCCTAGGACAAACCAACCATGGCCATACGTTCAAAAATTCAGTGATGATGTAAACACAATGAAGAGGGATAATCATAATTCTTTTGTGATCCCGGAAAAGGTTAAGATGTTTCTTTGATCACGGGAGACAATGATCATATCCATACCACCGCAGGAGATTTTTTCACAATTAGAAAAGACAATGATTATATCTTTGTGACCGCAGGAGACGAAGGTAATGTCTACACAAATGCAGAAACAGAAAGCATTCAAGATTTTGCCGCAATCACGGGAGAAAATGATCATGTTTCAAAACCGCGGGAGATGCCAATAATGTTAACAAGACAAAGGGGTATGTTAAGAATTTTGTTGCGGTTGCACGGTTTTGCCTACTTAAAAAATAATTCTTATTACTATAGTTTATGTTTTACAATTTTTGTACGATTCGGATAGTTTGAGTTCTACTGTAATTTGTGCATAAGTATGCACAACACTTTATGAATTTATTTTAACCCAACAAGCTTACCTAAATATTTTTATCAAATAAATCAATTTTCAAACTATTTAAATTAGAATTATTTGAAAATCTATTTAGAAAGAGAAATCCAATTTCAACGTAGTTTTTTTGACACTGACACTCAATAAGTAAACAATGATATTAGAAAATACAAGACTTACATAAGGAGAGAAAATTTTCACCCATCTTGGGTTAGGGTTGTTGTTTCTCTGGTATTGGAAGCAGAACACCATTCCTTCCTTATCTACTTGCCACTGTTTGATATGAGACCACGAGAACTCCACTACTTGGCTCTGTAACAGAACATCAAAATGTACAACTGACTAACCTTACCCTCCAATTCAATTGTGGTGAATATATAGTAGCACAAAATACTTCATGAAGTTTATACCTCGAGGGTTCCGTCATTTTGGCAAGCAAGTAGTTTGAAGCTGTTGAAGCCGACAGAGGCTATAACGTGGCCGTCCTTGCGAGAATCACAACCGCAGTGAGGGAACACTACCTCCCCGTAGCCAGGCAACTCTCTGGCCAGCGCTAAATACTGTGGACAGTGGAAATTGTCAAAACAACTTTTAAAATTATTAAACAGAATTAAGATTCGTCTTGAACGTACAAAATATTAATTTGTCCTAACATAAATTATGTTTAATAGTAGTAAAAGCAGACTTGCACATCAAAGCTTCACTAAACAATAGTATCAAGAACTAAAAAAAAATAGTGATTACAAAGAAAGAAGTGACCTCAAAATCTTGCTCTTACGCTAGGGGTCTGCGGACCAGATTTGTTTACTTCAGGTCAGGTCAAGTTGGGTTAAAAATGTTGGCTCTTCGGTCTCAGGCCAAAGTCAGGTTGCTTTGGTAAATATTGATTTTTAAAAAAATGCTATAGGCCTACTACAATTGTAAACCTCTTCAACATGTAAATTGTTAACACTTTCCACGGTCACAGTGAAATCCCAGACATATTCTTTGGTCACAGCAAAATCGAGAACATCCACCCCGGTTCTCGCAAAATAGTGATTGTCTTCTGCAGTCACAGCAAAAGAAAAAAAAACATCTTCCACCGGCAGGATGGAATAGAAAATATTTTTGCGGTTCTGTAATAGCAAAGTTCTAAACATCTTCCCCGGTCTCGATGTAATCGTAAACGTCTTCTGCGGTTGTGGCGTGATCGAGAACCGCTTTGTGGTTAAGGAAAAATCGTCAATTTTCAACTGCCCATCTTCATAGACACTTTTTGTTTTTTGAAAACAAAAGCTCCTTTTGGCTCGATCCGATCTTGGCCTTAACTGATCCCTTGGCCCCCTGTCGGCCCAACTTGACCCGAAAATATCGGGGACTTGCAGAACCCTAATCAACACCCAATCATAGTTAGCATACTTAAAAACTTATCAGTAGCTTGTGAGGTTCTATTACTTCTGCCCCCAGGCTTGGTTAGGAGATTTACTACAGTAGGTAGGGTTGTTAAGTAGGCCTACTACCGACTACTGAGTGTTGACACTTTGTACGAAGATGTTTATTCTACTACTTTGTACCAAGTACTTTTTCAATGTGTGTCACCTCATGTTTGCGGGAGGCGTCCTGCAGAGCCTTGAGCTGATAAAGCCTGTCGTCCGCACGGATGTGACCTCGGTCTACTGCGTCCACAGCTGACCAGAATATATACGTCATCGCCAGTTCATCATTGGTCAGCGACAGTTCTGCCTTGAGAGAGAACAGATGTTTCCTCACACACAGACACGTCGCACTGGCAGTGCTGTAGTTCTGTATGTATAGGTGATGGGGCAGCTCGATGGGCTGCAGTTTTCTTTCTGAGGAATAAACCTAACAAGTTAGTAGTGAAGTAGTTTAAAATATGAATGTTAAATTTAGACTTAGTAGACAAGTATCTATTTAATTTGTAGAACACTTAATGTAAGGGTTATTTGGTTGATATGTAGAATTAAGTTTTATATGCACTGTTCATGAGTTATGTATAATTTTAATGACAATATGAAAACATAGCATAAAATTCCCATTTAGAATGTAGTGGTGAAATAGGATTTTGTCTCTTTGTTACATAATTACAAAACATCTTTTACTAACTGGACAGCCTTCATAATTAGATAAAAATTTAACAGTTTATTAACATATTATTAATATTTTATATTTCTAAAAAATAAATCTGAATTTGTCATGTAGGCCCCTATGTGCTCTAATTTGCAATGTTTTTTTTATTAAATCAGTAGCTATAATTTGTACCAAGTGAACACTTACCAAAATTGTATTCAACAATTTCAAACAGGTAGAAGTATAGCGCAGTGTTCTTACTCATGCGGATCTTCTCAACAACACTTGCATAGACTTGGTCTGCTGTCGAGTTCTTGCGGGCAGTAACAGTGACGATTTCACGGTCAGGCAACAAGATTTTAAGATCCACAGGAGTTATGTGACCCTACAAAATCAATTAAATTATTACAAAACCTTACATTACTATATGAACGGTAATGGGTGAAACTATTTGTGAACTACAGATAAAAAATAGGTTAAGCTATTATGAATGATGGAAAATATTAAAAACATATGCATCATGTAGAGAGTTGAAAATAGTTTAGCCTACAATGGAAGAGTTAGATATCGACAAAACATTACAAGAAATCCAAAATGACATGTTAAATGAATAGCAAAAATGCAAATAAAATATTTAATTTTGAAATAAAAGTCATTGACTTCATACTAACTAGGCATACAGACTGAGGATGGATATAGACAGTAGGAGCAGAGGTTGATATTAATGACATCAGGGTGGCCTCAGAACACCTGAAATAGATTCACGCATTTCCCTCAATTTCCCGGCAGCAAAAACCTGGTTTACCCAGGCGAGATTTCCAGTCCCCAAGTGTACCTTTTTACTGGCGTCTACAAGTCACCAATATGTTTGGGTCAGATCGGGCTAACAGTTAACCCAAATGGATCAGTTCAGGCCAAAAATGTTGTCAGGCCAAGCGTGATTGTGGAAGACAGTGATAAATAAATAAATAAATAAAATAAATAATTCTTTATTGTCACATAGTTCTGATGTCACTGTGACTATGGAATATATTGACGATTTTAATGTGACTGCGGAATATGGTCATTCTCAATTATTCTGACAAATGCGATGTTAACAACTATAGGCCGGTTGCTCTTCTTTGCACTTTATCAAAGGTAATGGAGAGGGTTATGTATTCCAGGTTAATCAATCATCTAGACATGAATAACATTCTCATACAAAATCAATATGGCTTCAGAGCGGGTCGCTCAACCACTCAAGCAATTGTGGAGTTTGTTCAGGATGTATTATCCAACCTTGAACAGCGCAAACCAGCCCTGAGTGTATTCTGTGATCTTTCGAAAGCTTTCGATACAGTTAATCACGATATTCTTTGTGAGAAACTGGAAAAATATGGTGTTTGAGGAGTTCCCCTAGCTTGGTTCCGATCGTATCTTTCAAATAGAATGCAATTTGTTGAGATTTCAGGAATTCGGTCGGATCTCGCTGAATGCAAGTTCGGGGTTCCTCAGGGTAGTATTCTCGGACCATTGCTTTTTATCGTGTATATTAATGATCTATCAGCACATCTTCATTCAGCTAAGTCACTATTCTATGCGGATGACACAACCTTACTGTTTGGAGGTCCATGTTCCAGTTTGCAATCCCGAGTTGAAGAGTCAGTTGGTTCACTTTTAAGTTGGTTATCGCTGAACAATCTTAGACTGAACTCCGATAAGTCCGTTTTCATGCAATTCCTAACTCTCAATAAGATCCCTGAATCTATCTCGTTGAATAAGTTCGAGATAGAAGAGTGCTCTGTTGTGAAATTTTTAGGTGTAACTGTGGATAAAATGTTGTCATGGTCCAAACATGTATCACAGCTTTGTTGCAAGTTGAACCGCATCTGTCATGCACTTAGGACGCTGCAACCTCTTCTTGACTGGGAAATGTTAGTTGCAGTCTACTATGGTTGTTTTTTCTCAGTCATGACTTATGGTATTGAAGTCTGGGGTGGTTCTTCCTATGCTGATAAGGTCTTTACCGTACAAAAAAGGGCAGTGCGTATCCTCAATTGCTTACCACCACTCCATTCATGCAGAGGAGTCTTCCGGGAGAACAACATTTTAACTTTGCCTTCTATATTCATCTACAGAGCAATAATGTCTGCAGTAAATCATCTGAAGGATATTCCATCGGTTGGTCAATGTCATAGATACCCCACTAGGCACGGAGAAGATCTTCGTACTCCATGTCATCGTCTGACCCTTTCTGAAAGGAATGCAAGTTTTTCGGGCCCATTTTTCTTTAATAGGCTTCCTGAAGAAGTAAAGCAGTGCAGTTCAAGGTTGGGTTCTAAAGGTTTTGGGAAACAGCTGAAAACTTTTTTGGTGGAAGGCGAGTTTTATAGTACCGAAGAATTCCTGTCTGCCTGATCTCATTCAACATGGCATTTTTATTTAACTTATTTGTTTAAATCTTTAGAATAAAATAGATTTAACTAATTATTTTTCGTTTTGTTTTAAATGTTACTAGACCATATAATGTATTTGACGATTGAGATGTGCATTGTATCATTTGTACCAAATTCATGAATAAAATATGTCTATGTCTATGTCTATGTCTATGCCATGACATCAAAAAATTTTCTTGATTTTCCTATAACCGCAATGTTTTTGACTTAACCATGACTGCTGAAGACGTTCACAATTATGACGTGACCGCAGAAGAAATTTACAATTTTGTTGTAACCGTGGTTAACGTTAACAAATTTGTTGTGACCAGAGACAATGTTCACAATGTTTTAACAGTCAGGGTTTTTAAGCACTAAAGAAGTTACATGAGCATTAGGCAAGCAAGTAAAGTATGGCGCTGGGTGTTAAGCCCTTCGAATTTGTTTTGAATCCATAAAAAGCACTAACAATGGTTTAGCCGACCGAAATTCCAAAACTAACGCATAACTCCTGGTTTTCCCGGTACAACAAATTCACAGATAATTCAGTTTTCCCAGAATTTCCAATCTGTGGCCATACAGTTTCTGTCCAACATGATTAAAAATTGTTGTTTGATGTTGAATTTATCACCTAATGTTACCTATTATAAGTTATGTATCCTTGTGTCTCGTAACAGTGGTATTAAAGGTCAATTACCTGTTGGTCGTCAGTGTCTGTGAGGAACTCCTGCATGATGTCCGACTCTGCAATGACTCTGACAGCACACACCTTCTCCAGGTACTGCTCCAAACCTCTCCTGCGGCTGTCCAGTTGTTGTTCGCTCAACCTAACCATTCAACATTCATATTTAAAATGTCTACCAGCACCAATTCTGAATTAAAATTAAAACTACTGTTTGAAAACAATATCATTGCGTCAAAACTTAAAATTAGTTGTTAGTTAAGGTTTAAGTAAATTAGCCAATGGTGTTAAGTATTTTAGGATCAGTATCTAGGCATGGTTTTGAGTTTAAGTGGTCAAATTGTTGTTAGCCACTGAGTAAACTAACAGACACTGTGGTCCAAAATATTTGCTTCATCCATTTCATCGTTTTACAAGTGTTAACACTTGCCTTGGTTTTTACGATGGTTTGCTTACGGTTAATTGAAAATCTATACTTATTTAATACGCAAGCATGATTTTTGTGACAATTACTCCTCCGAAACTACTGAACCGATTGTCATGTTTTTGGTGTCATTGGAAAGAGCGTAGCGTGAAGTTGTGCAGGAAACTTTCTTTTTAGGGAATTAATGAGAGAGTGAGGCCCTGGAGCCCTTTAAAGTTTCGTATTTCTCCATAAGATTAACATTGGAAACAAAAATTTTTATGAAACTCCAGCTGTTGTCAGAAATCAAAAGTGAGAAGAAGAGCATAGGTTAATCATAAACAGTCAATAAGTTTGCTAATATAGTATTATAACAGTTTGCTACAAATATTTACTTAGCAATTGCTCGAAATCGAGCAACAGGGACACTAGTTTAAGTTAAAAGGCAAAAGGGGATTGAGTAATTGCCATTGAACCTAGCTAGGGATAGTGTGAAAAAAAGAAACCCAGATACTTTACTTCAAGGGCTTAAAAGCATTAAAACTGTATTTTTTACAAGGAAAAACGATAAAACAAAAATAGATTATTTAGTTTGATTTATTCATCACAGCAAATCTAAACCAATAACTAGATAATTATTACACCTAGTTTGTTCAGTCAGCTGTATTCAAGGACGAGGAAGCTAAATATTAATTTTTATAACAAAGAATCATGTACTTTCAACAGCTTTAACTTGTTATACAGAAACTTACGTAAATGGCCATTTTCCTGGTAGTTTAGGAAAGCTAAATCCAATGAATTCTTTTTTCAGATTCATGTGAAGGTTGGAAAACTCTCTATATCTTCTGGAGCACAGATGTCTTCCAGCCATGTAAATGTTAAATACCTGGGAAACAAAGTTTTATCAAATATGACAAAAAGTTGTTCGTTTGAAGATCATTTATGGTGATGGTTAATTTATATAGCATATTCTATCACGATAAATAAATAAAATAAACGTTATCAGCAATCTAAAACGCATACTTTCTCCCATTAGATTGCCCTCAATCCTTATCTCGGGCAAGCTATAGGAGAAAGTATGGTATTTAATGGGTAAAATCACAAAAGTTGCAATATCTTTTTGTTATAAAGTGAAGAATATTTTAGTTTCATTATTACAATATCAAGAAGCCAGTTTTTAAGTTAAATACAATAGGACCTAAGGTCAAAGTACAAATAGTACAAAGTCCAACCCCACACTAACTATTTCATTTTTGAACTGTTATTTTTACAGAAATGGGGGTTGTACTGTTTTGTTTAGAGTTCAAATGACTACCTATACTAAATTTTAATAAAAACCGTTTGGGTCGTTTTTGAAAAAATCTGAATATTCCGTTATTTAATGGGATTTTAATGGAAAAATCACCATAAAACATTTTAAAAAACATGAAAAAAAGCGCCTGGAGATATTCTACCATAGATTAGTAACCACATACCAAATTTTGTCTAAATTGGACCACAGGTGTGGTTTGGTTCGGGGGCCCCAAAACAAATATATCAACAGAAAGATCAAATTGAAAATGTAAGAAAAAAAATCTTTCTCCATAGCCTACATACGCAGGGAAAGAAAGAAAAAACAACGTTTCATCCTAGGCTTTTAAAAATAAATTTTATCAACCAATTTATTCTAAATAGCCTATATAAAAGGATTCCTCGTAGTCAGGTTTTATTTGTTGTTTTCCCAACCTATTAATGTTCAATATAGGCGTAATTCATTTATTAAGAGTTACTCACCACATATCTCTCGCCGGCCTTGTCTATGCAGTGGTAATCAGGTATTGAGATTGGCAGCGAGCGTTTGTCAGTGTAGTCAATATAGTTGTAGCTTGATTGGTCCTCACTTGGTTCTAGCCTCTCTGCTTCCTGCAATCGATAAACAGCAGAGTTGAGATTAAGGCTTGTTAAGGATGGATATTTTATTTTTGCAAGATAATTCATAAGGATCCCTCAATACACAAGCTGGATAAAACACTATAGCACATGTCAAATAAATATTTAGCAAACTTTTCTGGTTAATTTATCTCTAGTAATTTACAGTAGACTTAAAAACATTAAACCGAAACCATAAGCAACAACTTTTATATTCACTGAGTTAATATTATTTAAAGGCTTTGCTCTTTAAGTGACGTTTTTGTATGCACACAGTGACAGTTCAAATACACCATGTATTTGACCTCTATTTTGTGTACTGTATGCTTTAACAGGACTTACACTAAAGTTTTAAGAACCGTCAAACGTTATATTCCACTAATCCCTAGTCATAATACATCCTCGTTTACTGGTTCAATCAAAAGTACCGTAATGATGACTAGGCCTATAAATGTTTTCTATTCTTCAATTGATTTTATTACCTGAGGTGTGACGGATATAACAGTTAACGTAAGCACGTCCCCTCCTGACTTGATAAGGTCAACGACCTGCTTGTGAGTAGCTCCCTCGACACTTACATGGTTCCTGAAACAAAAAATAGAATCTGACCTCTGTAATGTGCAATGTGTGTCATCTTTAGTAATTAACGTTGGAGGGGTAGGGACAAAGTAGGGTAAGGAGAGTTAAAAGATCCAAGCCTGAGGGGTAGGAGAAGCTAGTGAGGGGGGGGGTTTAGTGTGTGGACTTCTTGTAGGTATATTGTGTGTATCTTGAGAAGACACAGCTAACTAGCCTGAAGAAAGTTTGCAGACAAATCACAGCACAAATAAATGATACACGGTGGTTATAAAGTTCCTCCCCCCTACTTTTTTAAAAACAGTAAGAGTTAAAATGTTTAAACTCTGCACATCTTTGTTAGACCTAAATATCTTGTTCTTCGTGGGTTAATTGACTCCCGACCTCCAATGGGGGACGGTCCACGAGGAGTATGTCAAGATTCTTAAATGTAAGCATACGTTGACGTACCTCAAATTAAGGTCTCTGTTAACTTAGTAGAATACAATGTCGCAACCCGGACCTCAAGTGAGCTTAACCAAGTCAAAAATTGCAGGCGTTCAAAGATAACTTGATTTTGCCATTTTAAATCTTTACCTAACCCGTCATGTTAAACTTCCCTATCCCAAGCGTGATGTATACAACTTCTTTACTTCTCGAGTGATGTAAAGTTGAAAAAAACTCACTCGGTGATGTAATGAAACCCATTTAAACAACATTGAGTGCATAACTTAAAAAATATACCTCTATGGAGCCAACGACGTTCAACGCTAGAAATCAGCTGTGCGCTTGAATTTTATTGTTATGTTTTGAAGAATTTTCCTAACCTAGCTTTAGTTTGTTAATGAACGTTACTGTTAGAAGATGAGTGAAATGGATGATGAAAAATATTGTTCGTAACCTCCTGTATTGTCGGGTCAGGTAAAATCTTGTACGTTACACGTTACGCAAGAGCGTGTTTACATCACTTAGGTAAATTATGCAACTCGCTACCGCTTGTTGCACAACATTCACCTGCGTGATGTAAAGACGCTCTTACTACACTTGTAAGGTAAATAGCTATTAAACTGCTGCCTTTTTTTACTCAGTTGTTCTTTTGAGATAAAATTTGCAGCAATGTATTCTACTAATAAAGACCTTTAATTTGATTTGCATATTGACCTATGCCTAAGTCTATGATTTGCTGTTGTCTTCTAGCGGGCGAATAAGTTAATACTCTAGGCTCTTAAGGAGGAAGCGTATAATATCAATGCAGGCCTAAATCTATAGCCACGCCACACCGGAGCCTTTCTTGGGTTTCCTGGCAGCTTGTGCCAGGAGCCTATCCCAAGGATGCCGATATCATTGCCTGTGCCCTGACACCAACTCCCAAGGAGCTTATGGTGGGTTTCAAACCCGCTCTGTTCGCTTTTGCCAAAGCGACTTAACCCACTGAGCTAAAAAAAACTGAGCTGTAAAGCGCTGCGCTGCTGCAGTGCAGCAGAGAAGCCTGGAACAACTACATTACAACCACTGACAACGGAAGACATTTTGCTATTTTATAAAAACAAAACGACACCTATTTTTTATGATTTTAGTTTTTATTGTTTATAAGACTCAATAAGACTCAATAAGAATTTATTAATGCCATTAAACTTATTACAGTAATAGGCAACGTCATACAGTACAACACATAGGGTTGTATGTAGCATTTTGAGTGAGTTTCAACTTAGATACTACTTTATCCACATGACATTGGTGGCTTAACCTACAAGTTTAAAAAATCTTCTACAGTGTAAAAGGCATTTGTTTTTAAGAATGTCATTACATACGATTTAAAATTTTTTACAGACAGATTTCTAATTTCTAATGGTAACTTATTGAACAATAGATACTGTTGATAATGGTAACTTTTGAAGGTTTTACTTAATCTAATATAAGGTGTAACAATATTGTGCTTATTTCTAGTGTTGTGATTATGATTGCTGTGCTGCATGGGAAAGTTAACTAAATTTTCTTTTACATACATAAGGTTGGAAAAAATATACAGTGATGGCAAAGTTAAAATATTGAGCTGAATAAAACTAGGTTTACAAGATTCAGGTTTAGTAAGACCCATAATAGTCCTGATAGCTTTTTTTTGCCAAGTGAATATTTTGTTGGAGGCAGCAGAGTTTCCCCACAATCGAATTCCATAGCTAATTTGTGAGTGGAAGAGGCCAAAATATGTCATCAGAAGAACTTCTAAGCTGACACTATGCTTAAGCTTTCTTAACAGGTGGACAATACGAGACAGCTTTTTAGAAAGTTGAGAAACATGTTCTTCCCAAGTCAATTTACTATCTAGATAGATACCAAGGAGTTTGACAGGTTTAGTGAGGTTATTGCACAGTTGACTTTTTAAGGAAAAGTACAGGAATTCGGTTTTATCTTCATTTAAGGTTAGATTGTTGGCTGAGTACCATGACTTTGCAGTTGACAAGGCATTGTTGAGTTGAGTTTTTACATCAAATTCAGTTTTCGCAGACACTACAAAAGTTGTGTCATCAGCATACAACACACTCAGTACTGGAATATTGCAACTAAAATCGTTTACAAAAACTAGAAACAAAAAAGGCCCTAAAATGGAGCCTTGGGGAACACCAGCTGTTACATTAAGCATTTCAGAAACAGTATCCTTAATTACAACAATCTGTTTTCTATTACTTAAATATGAACTTAACAAGCTTAACTCTAGATTGTTGATACCATAAAAACTTAATTTACTACAGAGAACATTGTGAGAGATTGTATCAAAAGCTTTACTTAAGTCTACTAGGCAGGAGCCAACTACCAGTTTCCTTTCAAACCCCTTAAGAATATAGTCCACAACTGTTTCAACAGCCATGGCTGTGGAGCGCTTGTGTCTGAAACCATACTGATGGTCATATAGTAAATTATGAACTGAGAAATATTTGTACAGCTGCTTAAAAATACATGATTCAATAATTTTACTGATGATGGGAACAATTGCTATTGGGCGATAGTTCTCTGGACTGCTTCTTTGACCTTTTTTAAAAATTGGAGAGATCTTTGATACTTTAAGGGAGTCAGGAAAAATGCCAGATTTTAAAATGAGGTTGATAAGAAAGGTGAGGGGATGAACAATGGAAGAACCTATTTTTTTCACAATACAGTTACTAAGTCCATACACATCTTCACTTTTGGAGTTGCTCAGTTCAGACACAATAGAGGCAACTTGTTTGGCACTCACTTCCTCCCATTTGAAGACATTAGTATTACTAGGCCTAGAACCATTTCCAGTGTGCTGTTGAAAGTTTTTGATAAAGTCTGTATACTTGGGGCTGGTAGGAGGGTAGGCGTTGGACTGTGTTGCAACATTAACAAAAAAGTTTTTGAGTGTGTTGGGGGATAACGGAATGTCAGTGTTGACCTTTGAATGTCCTGATTCGTTCTTCACTATTTGCCAAGCAGCCTTGCATGTGTTAGATGAATTTAAGATCATTGAATCATTAGCCGCTATCTTTGCATCTCTTATTGCATTATTATACATTTTTTTTAAAGGCATTAAATCTAGTTTTATCATCATTGCTTAAGCTAACCTTCCACTTATCATATAGACACAACAAAGTTTTTTTTCATTGATCTAAGTTCTGCATTATACCAATTCTTATTTTTTTTTGTAGGCCTAGAGTTACCCTTATGTTTTACATTAATTATAGGACAATACAAATTCAAGAAATAATTTAATAGGTACATTCAATATAAAAGAACAAGCTATATTTACATCAAAAGTTCCATAAAGAGGTGACCAATCATAGATATCTAAGTTAAAACTCAAGTTTTCAACCCTATGGTCCGCAGTCAGGCGTTTCTTCATTATTGCAGGTTTGGGGTTTAGTTGAGATCTATTTTTGTCAATGATTGAATTGTTATTCATAGATAAAAACTTAACCCAAACAGCAGCATGATCTGAGATAATGTCTTGAGCAGTGAAAGAACAGGACAAAAAATCATTGTGAATATTAGTAAAAACATTGTCAAGACAAGATGAGTTTCTGGTTGGTTGGTTGTGGGCTGGATATAGGTCAAAAGATCTCATAATATTTAAAAAATGATTAGTTTCTTGACTTAAACTTAATATATTAACATTGAAATCTCCTACTATAGCTATGTTGGCATACTTTGACTTACTTATCATTAATAATAAACATTCTAGGCTATTTACAAAATCATAAAAATTAGAATCAGGTGTACGGTAAACATTTACAATTATAAAATTAAAATCACAAAGATTAACTGCAGAGGCCTCATGGCTTGAAGGGCCTTTGTTTCTTGAAACAGGCAGAAAAATTCTTGAAAAATGTTTCCAATGGCAGAGGCCTTTGTTTCTTGAAAAGTATAGTTTTTTTTACATACGACTTTTTGCATATGAACGTCAACGATATGAGAAAGTTAACATTTAACACGTTCACTGCTAAAGGAAATTATAAAATCGAATCGTATTGCTAAAAAGCTTTATTGTTGTACTAGCTGTGTACCCGTTCTACGCACGGGGATCTTATAATATTCAGTTGAAACCTTCTTATATAAAGAACAGCAGTTGGTTTGCATATTTTAAGATATGCTGGCCAAACTATTATACATAGCTTCATTTTATGTTGTTTTTTGTTGTTCCGGATCGGTATGACAATCAATAAAAGGTTAAATTACCTCTGTGTCTGCCGGTCGATCCTATAACGGTAGGCTTACTTTTATTTTTACTATCTGATCTCGTTTGCATGGTTCAATCACGTCCTGGTTGAAGTTCGTTCGCTACGCTCACTCACCTGTATGTTGGAGCTCGTTCGCTGCGCTCACTTTCCTTCAGGTTAGCTCGTTCGCTACGCTCACTTGCCTTCAGGTTAGCTCGTTGGCTACGCTCACTCGCCTCCAGGTTGCAAATTAGCTGTTGTCATAAATGTAAAAGAAATAATAGTGCTAGTGCTGCACCCTGTTGGTAATCCTTGTAACTTTAATGCTATTGAACATCACAGAACAGAACCAACTTGTTTAATTGAAACAGCTGTTAAGATTCAATAATTTCATTTCTCATAAGGTTAACATGGGCTTCCAGAAATTCCACGTCAAAAATCGACAAAAACTTGATTTTCAAGGGTTTACTGTTAAATATCTAACTGTCTCATATTCGATGAAATACGTCTAAAACCATCTCATATATGTATAGTATTTGGAAAATAAGTTTCAGGCGGGACAGTGCTATAGTTATTGAGGAGTAGTTGTAATAAAGTGCGTATTTTAGCGTTACCAAGAGAATGACAGATAGACAGACAGACAGACAGACAGACAGACAGACAGAAATTGAGATAAGGTTTGATTCGGTTTCTCTGACCTATGAAATGTAAAAATAACCAAAAAGTTCATTATTCTAAGCAATGTACAGACAAAACTCTAATTTTATTTATATAGATATCATTCCTTTTTGTGTCCTTATTGAAATACAATATTATATAATACGATCGGAAGTGAATATGACGTCAAAAAGTGACGTCATAATAATGGGTCAGTACTGACCCATCAGGAGCCAGAGTCAGAAAAAAATTGAAATGTCACTGAATACATTATATATGTTACTAAAAATATATGTTCTAAATATATATGTAGTCATTATGATAAAATAACCAACATAAAATAGTATATCAATTGATTGGAATTGATTATGACTTCATAATGTGACGTCATATACATGGGTCAGTGCTGACCCATCAAGAACCGGAGTATAAAAAATTTAAATATTAAACAAAAATTACAGATATAAAAGATATGAAATGTTAATATTATTGAAATAAAATAGTTTAAAAAATAATTGAAATTGAATATGACGTCATAAAGCACAAAAAATTAGCAAAGCGAGGGGCGTTCACAGTAATGTGGGTCAGTACCGACCCAGCCGCCACGGCGGGAGCGGGCCGCGGGAACCAACTCAACGGTGAACAAAGCAAGTCACACACTACACGCTAACGTGGTGTAGGTCCACCTTCGACTGACGCTAGGCTAGCACTGAGCAACATATTGATTCACTGCAGTGTGGGTTAGTACTGACCCGGCAGCATGAGCGATTCGATCGCCGTGGGTCAGTACTGACCCACCCGCAGCGAACGTGTTAAATGGTAATATTGGTTATATTGAGGTTGTTAACTTACTAATTCAGAATGCGTTGAAAAGGAAGAAGATATGCTATTATTACCACGTTAAATGTAGCAAATGACAGGATTAAGGGATTAGGAATCATACCTTCAGTAATATTTAAAAGACATTGGTACTAGGCCTAGTAGCCTACTAACAAAATTAAATATTTTTCAATAGGCCTAGCTGACATTACAAAACATCTAAACACGAGACACCAAAGAGAAACATTTAATAACGACAAAAGTGAATAAACGATATCCACGACAATGACAATACTTACACCTCAAGAATCCTGTCTCCCTTTCTAATTCCAGCTTTTTCTGCAGCTCCTCCTTCAAGCACTGCACTGACATGTTGAAGTGGGGCATACAATTCGCCATTAATACTTCTAAGCTGTCCTCCTTCACAAACTTGTCCACGAACATTGAACCCAAATCCCGTTTCAGTTTTGTAAATTGTCACAACTCTAGGACCTGGCGACCCTGGCGTAATAGGTTTAAAAATTTGTTCATTAGGTGGAGAAGAGTCCGACTCGGTGTCTGCCATGTTTGCTCCTTTGACAGAACGACATTCGGATTCGACACTCTGCAGAAGAAGCTTACATTTCAGGTTCACCAACTTTACTAATGAACATTATTGCGAACATTCTTTTAAAAGAATGTTAAGGTACTATATGAAAGTATTTGATTAATTTCATGATTTTTAAGTCCAATAGAGTTTGGGTGCGTTGATAATATAGTCAATGGTTGATACCTTCAATTTATGTATGAAATGAATAACTAAAGAATAAATACACCTTATAAGCATTTATAATATAATATAAGCATAGATCTGTTTTATCTATGAAGTCAAACATTTAAGTTACTTAAACGAATTGAGGAAAAATCGGCGAAATTAAGCGTAAAAAGATAAAAAAAAATGTGCATCGAAACAACTGATGAGCTTGTGCTTTGGGATTCTCATTATAGTGGATTAGCCAGGGTGGGAACGCTTGCCATCGCCTGAAAACATTGCATTTGTGATATCATAGACTAAACTACACAAAGGAGTATTTTATCTATGGTGATATTCACGATTTTACAGCGACCATGGAAATTGGCCCTGGTTTAACCCTGAAAAAGTACTCAGTGTTTCACAATACATCAATACAAAGGGATGTTCATGATTTCGCTGAGAAAAGGAATATTGTAATGATTTCACTGCGATCATAATACTATATTCATAATTTTGCTGCAATCGTGGGTGACGATGATGTCTTTATAACTGCGGGGTGCGCCCGTGGAAAATTTTAACGCTTCTGCCGTGATCGTAGGAGAAGTTAGTTTGCCTCCGTTAGTTATCTCATAGTTATCTCTTCTCACCACGTCCATGGAGATGTTCTTAATTTTGCTGCCAATAAAGAAGACGTTCACAATTTCGCAAAGACCATGGAAATGTTCATGATTCCGCCACCATCGCGAATGAAGATTTCTATTTTCTGCTAAGTAGAAGATTATGAATAACTCATTTGGGTGGGTGCTACTTTAAATTAATTGTTAAAATAGCCCGACTGTACACAGACAGATATTGAGCGCGTTCTGGGAACATGCACCGGTGCACCGGTGTTGCCCCGGTGCAAAAAATGTGTCGTTCTGGGAGACCGGTGAGTTAACCTAGCAGACAGCTATTTCCTCTTTTTCCTCCACCGGTGCAAGATTTATGCACCGGAGAAATTGTACGGTGCATAATACACCGGCGGCCTCTGATTGGTCTGTTTCTTGGACAACAGCATGCAGCTACGGCAAGATGGCGGGTCCATCGAATAATGTTCATCAGTTTTATAGGTTATGTTGCGTAATGAGTGAATAATTTATTCTATGAGGGGGTTAAATTACGTATTAAGTGAATAATTTTCAAATAATTTATTCTGTGAGGACAAGTTTGTTTGGTTTAAATATTATAAAGTAAATAATAGGTGAATGTGTAAATTATAATCAGATGTGTACCGTAAACCGGTGAATAACCGTTCTGGGAGACCAAGACTCTTGCCCCGGGTCGGTACCGGTGAATAAGTCACCGGTTAATCTGCACCGGTGCACCGGTACATGTTCCCTGAACGCGCCCATTGTGAAGTACCGGTACTGATCAGCTTCATGATGACATTTTGTACTGCCAAAGCTGAATCTAGGCAATTTATCAGCAAAAAAGTGAAACAAAACAAAACATTTAGATAACCTTAAAAACCTAATTCTCTACATCGCTAGGTTTTTGATGGAAATTTAATTAATCGTTTTAAAATAGGTCTCTCGTTTCATGTTATTAGCCTTTTCTCATTGGTTAAACCTTTATCGTATGTTTACTAGTTCAACCTCAACCACAGTAAATACAGTATAAAGATGTGTCAAGTAGTATAAGAACCAGACCTGGTAGACTAGGGATTAGGTTTAAACTTAGTAGCCTATAAAAACAAAGTGTTTAGGCCTATCTAAGTTTAGCTTCTTACAAATAGTAACAGAAGTAATTTTTACACATAACAGACGGATGAAAAGATAGAGTGCATAGCATATTAACTTTAACTCAATTTTTTTTAGCTTAATAGCTATAGGCCTAACTTACCCATTAAAAAAAAAAAAAAAAATGGAGAGATTGAGATATGAAAAAATTTCTTTCCTTGGGGAAGGACAGGTAAGTGAAAACGTTTTATTGTGTTATTGAAGCACCTATTGTATGGCCCGGAATAGCGCCAATAGATTTTTGTGCGAGCTTAAATTTTAACTCTCTTGTAACTTATTAATTTACTCTCAAGTGTTCCTGAGTTACGACATTCCTGCTATGCGTGAACATGTTTTTATCACGTTAATATACAGGTATCATGCTACTCGGGACTAACTTATTATCCCGAAATAGCACCACCAATAAATTTGTGCGTGAGTGCTTTGTTACTTTTCACCCTCTCTAAACCTATTGACTCAAGCATTCCGGAGATACAACGCTATGCATAAACATGTCCTTTATCACATAACTATATGTGTATTAGGCTACTATACACAGGCTTATTGTCCTGGAATATTGCCATCAATAGCCTAGGTTTTTGCATGCAACACTTCGTAATTTTTCTCCCCCTCTAATGACTCCCAAACATTCCAGAGATACAATGTTGATACTCTGATATGCGTGACCTTAATATCCTTTATTAACTTACTATATGGGTACTATTACACTGAGCGGGCAATGGGTAGGTTTTAGGTTTGTCGGGGTCGCAAGGAAGAGACGAATTCCCCTATAATGTAGGCTAAGTGGATAGGGGCACAATTATCTCTTGGGTCCATAGCGCATCACATGGAAACCATGGGCATTAAGTTATATATGTAAAAAGGTAATATATAATGTTTATTTTTGCTCAGGCCTATTGATATTTTATCATGTGGTTTAGCTTACAGTACCGGTACCTACCTAGATTGTTTACTTTTAGTTGGCCTATCACAGTTAAATTAGGCTACTTTAATACCGTTGGATTGGTAGGCTAATTTAACAATCTCAAGTCATTTTGTTGGAATACAATTTTTTTTAAGAATCATCTAATTTGTCGGTCAACAAAAATGTTATCGATACCTCACCTGGGATTTTTTTTTTTAAATATTAAGTACGGTATTTCGCTTTAACCTTTCATTATATCTAAGTTAACTTAACTATAAACTTAAATAAAAGTTAGGCTATTCATAAGCCTACTTTGGTTCCAAATTCTAACAGAACAATACAAGGTCCTAAGGTGAAGTATTCAGCATTTTTAATGGGAGTCTATATTGCTGCCTTTCCAAAACAGAATTAATTCTGATGCAATTTTTTATTTCAGTTTGCTACAGTTTTCAAGGCTCGGGATGTGAAGACCAATGAAGTTGTTGCTGTAAAAAAGGTACCTAAGTGTTTTAATTCAACTAAAGAGTCCAACTTAAACTTAATCTAGCCTACAGAAGCTTATGTAAGTTGAAACTCATACCTCAAAGCTGAAAGGGAAGTTCCACTAAGTACCCGTGATTTTAAAACATGGAAGTTGAACAAGTTTTAGCGAAATTCCTGTATAGGAATGAAGCTATTTATTACCAAATAATAACTTATTGTTTTTTAAATTTTCCATTTTGATATCCCCAGAGGCCAAAAACACTAATATCGTTAAAATGTATATGCATATAAATGTACGTCCTTGAACACGTTACAATTTAAATTATGTGTGGTCATATTTCGATCAAATTTGGTATGAATGAATAGAGCTGACACTAGACTAGGTCTGGTACTACGACCAGCGTAATCTTAGGCTGCTTATTTTAAACAGTTTATCACAGTAACATTTTTCACTACGGTACCTTAATTATGAAAACTTTATAAAGATTTTTCACACTTAGAGTGTTTTTAATGATTGCAGATCAAACTAGGTAGCAAAGCAGAAGCCAAGGATGGGATAAACCGCACGGCTTTGAGGGAAATAAAACTTTTACAAGAGTTAAGTCACAAGAACTTAATAACTCTTCGAGGTAAGTAGACTAACCAGTCTATTTAGCAGATAAACAAACGCTAAGCTGCAAAATGTTTTGGAAACTTTTATGTGATCAATGGGCAGTAGATTGATTTTAAAGTGAAACAAAAACTTAATAAGTAGGCCGAAATCAATTGTGTTGTTTGATTTGAATAATAAGGTTGAGAAAATACAGTAGAGTCTCAACTATCCTACTATCATATGGATTAAAAAAATATATGTTCTTATTGTTCTTAACTTAATAACTTTGTCTCCTTCCAGATGTTTTTGGACACAGATCCAACATTTCATTAGTGTTTGACTTCATGGATACAGACCTAGAGGTGATAGTGAAAGACACCTCCATTGTGCTAACTCCTGCCAACATCAAGTCCTACATGATTATGACACTAGAAGGCCTGGAATACCTTCATATGAACTGGATATTACATAGGGTAATGTAAAATATTTGCTTTTATAATTTTGACTAATAATTTTACCTTGGAAAACTACAGATTTAACCGAATATATTTTATATATTTACGATAGCTTTATCTTTTCAGGATTTAAAACCCAACAACCTTTTGGTTAACTCAAAAGGTGTCTTGAAAATTGGTGATTTCGGCTTGGCAAAGTTCTTTGGATCTCCAACAAGAATATACACACATCAAGTCGTCACCAGGTGGTACAGGTATAGTATATATTTTTTATTTTTTTTATATTTTTGTTACTCAAATACAGTTCCAATAATATAATGTTGGTGTTTTTTAACCTATATAAAAGTAAAATATTCGTTAACTTATTTTAATTACTTTTAAATGTTGAAAACAAACCCTCTGACAGCAAGGACCTCTACTGACTAAGCATCATTATATTGTCCATTTATCTCAAAATAAATAAATATTATGATTTCAGTTTTAATTTAATTTATATTTAGATAATTAGAATTGAAGTATTTGAAGTACAGTTGGCTGAGACAGTTGCTCTATCACATCATTCAAACATTGTCCATGTGCTAGCACAGATGTTATGTCCTCATGTGTCACAATCTAACTAACAGGTTGGTACAATATAAATAACAAAGGGCCTAGAACTGATCCCTGTGGGACTCCAGCAAGAACCTATTTAAAATCATGAGTGATTTTCGAATGAAACCATATGAATGAAGCCATTTCATTGAAAAGTATCAAAAGTATTAATATTTTAAAAATATGTAACTGTACAATATTTATTTCATTATAATATAATGAAGCTTTTAGAAACAATCGCTGTGAGAAATTGAGTCAAAAGTCTTGCTGAGATCCTACAAAGTCACTCTTACATAAGCCTCAAAGCTGGTTAACCTTTCTGTCACAGCTACATGGTTGTTACAGAGCCCCCGAGCTGCTGTTTGGTGCGAGAATGTACGCGGTGGGTGTGGACATGTGGGCTGTGGGTTGTATACTGGCCGAGCTGCTACTGAGAGTCCCTTTCCTCCCCGGCGAGTCAGACCTCGACCAGCTCACCAAGATATTCCAGGCCCTCGGCACCCCCAGTGAGGAGACCTGGCCGGTAACTCAATAGTAGAATAATACTGTACAATGTTTGCTTGAAACGCATACTCTTTGTGAGATGAATGCAGTAAATCCTAAAAATGTAAGCTTAAGTGAACTATCTAAATACAGTAAGTTTAAAAAAATCTGTAGTTTTTATGTTTCTAATTAATGAAAACAAACAACAATGTGATTGTTGTAGCCATCAAAATATTTGTTGTACCAAGTGTGGGAATTTACTGACAATAAATCCAATGTGTTTACAATGCTTAATCTTCTGTGTGGATGTACCAGTGGACAAATTGTGATATAGTTCACATTACCACCCATAATAACCTAGTTTCACTAACGATATTTCAGCAGCTATGCCACTTTTATTTATGCAATAGGATGTAATATTATTTTTTTTAAGTGAAGTGTTTGTTTCAGGGAGTGACCAGTCTGACTGATTACATCCAGTTTAAAGCGTTCCCTGGAACTCCTCTGAACCACATATTCACAGCGGCCGGAGACGATCTGTTGGACCTCATCGCAGGTTTGCTCGCACTCAACCCTCTCAACAGACTCTCGTGCTCTGAGGCGCTGCAGATGCCATACTTTAGGTAAGTTCATTGAAAAAATCCCTCTCTTTACGTATTAGTGGGGAGTATGATTTTTTTCAATATTTCCAAGATAAATTTGTCAGTGGACAAATAATATTTGGTATTTTCTAAAGGTTATTAGCATGACATCTATACCTATGTTACGGGTTTTGAGTGGTAATGTGTCAATTTTAATATCAAATACAGTAGAACCTCTTTAATCCGAACTAATTGGGACCGGAGGTAGTTCGGACTATTGAATAGTTCGGATTACAGAACATACTGTTGTTTTTACATACCAATAGCTAAAACAAGGCTAAAATGGATCGTAATTGCTATGGGAAAAGTTAAACAATGCTTTATAAAGTAAAATACAGTGTTTATTTAATACAGTAGTAAAGTCAGTGAATAAACAGAACTGTAGGCCTACATTAAATAGCCTATACAATATAGAACTACCTACTGTACTGTGTATAGAGTACACCAATGAGGTGTTCGGATTAGTGGACGTTCGGATTAAAGGGGTTCGGATTAAAGAGGTTCTATTGTACACATATCTCAATAAAGGATTTGAGTACTCGTACGACATTTTATGAATTAAAACAAAAATTAATCTCATATATAGTTACTTTTAACTGTTTGCCAGTGCTATCAAAATTTGTGTTAATTAGAGAAGAAAATCTTATGTACTATGAAAACAGATGTTTTATTCTAAAAAAATTAGGAATTCCTTTGACATAAGAATCTTAAAATATTACAGTACTAAAGTTTCAGAATTGATTGTTGAAAGTAAATAATTATTAATAATAAAGTTCCATAGTAAATTATAGATTAAATTTTAAATGAGATTTACGATTTTTTCAAGATTCTAAATGATCATCCCTTGGACAGATTTTACACTAGTGATAAAACTTTCATAAATTTGGAATCAGTACAGAACCAAAATTGTTTAGGGGCGACAAAGATCAGAACACCTCATATCTGTTAAAATAATGGAGTCAGAACAGAAGTGTATACAGTAGAGTCCCGTTAGTCCGAAATGGTTGGGACCGGACCCATTTCGGATTACCAAATATTTCGGATTAAACATTTTTTTTGTTTTTTTCTTTATTTTTTTAAATTTTAACAAAAAATTTTTTTCTTAGGATGCTATGCACGAGCCCGGGATTGTTTTCACATTACTTAAGGCAAGACCTAGTGGCTGCAGCATTATCACTTATTAATAAAATCCATTTGTGATTTGGCGGGATTGGAACCCGGGACGAAAATGAAAAATGTTGATAACAAAATGGTGAAATATTTAGTAAAATACTCTACAACAAAATTCTATCTCGCCCGGCCGCTACGGAATACTTTGACGAGGTACAGCTAACTGTGTTAAAAGTTTAATAAAAAAATATTTTTTTGTTTCGGATTATCGGGACTCCACTGTATATACAGAGGAACTGAATGAATTATTGATCAAATGATTTGTCAATACATTGATAAGCCTATATCAATAATCTGTTTGAGTTACTGTGAAAGTAAATGTGGAAAACTATAATTTTTACCCATAGTCAGAAAAATAATTGCATTGGGATTTTGTGACTGTGAAAAAGTGTGTCAGATTCTAAACCTGTTCACCACTATCACGTCATTCACTCTTACACAATAGACAACTCTTTAGGAATAAAAGAATTTAATACTTGAGTCAATGTTAACCTAAAATGTGTTCAATTTTGATTTCAGCAACAAGCCCTGTCCATCTCTAGGCCAACAGTTGCCTCTGCCATCAAACGTTGTCAGTCAGGACTCTCAACGCCCCAGCCTGAAGCGCAAGTTGGCTGACAAACTAGAGGGCGGTAAGTGTTAGCAGTGTTTTAATTGATTAAGCCTCGATGTTACATAGGTAACAGTAAAGAGTAGATTATTGGTATCTGAAACAATTGGGGATTAAGGGTGTTCGGATAACTGATTTTTTAGGATAACTGGTCATTCACAGCCAAAATAATGACATAACTTTTGATTATTAACATTAACAATTTTTTACTGGTTTTTATTGTGTCCTGCAATTGTATCTTGTGGTATCGGTGACACTAGTAATCTCACTCTAAAGCTGGGTTTTCCTAGGCTCGGAGTCGGCGAGCGGAGAGAGGAACGCGGAGAGCGGAATTGAAATTAACATGGCATTCCGCTCTGCTCCTAGGAAAACGCATTAAATTGCCTGGAGTCCGCTCTCCGCGTTCCTCTCTCCGCTCGCCGACTCCGCGCTAGGAAAACCCGGCTTAACATCCGTGAGGATATGTCTATGTCATATATTGCAGTCTTGGCATCACTGCTGATAATCTCTTGTGATCGCGGCAACACCCTTTTTGATGGTTTTTGGCGGTTCAGCCTTTTTGATTAACCAACGTTTCTGATGACCAGACTTTGGTTAATCGATGTTCTACTGTTACCACATTCTAGATACCTTTCTTTAATAATCATGAACTATTAAATCGGACATTGAATGGTCTGTCTGCAGTTGAAAATCATTGACAATAATTAATTGATTATGGGAAAAATGCATGTCTTCATTATCTTTATCTGTCTAGCAAATATGTATACACAGTACTTATTATTCGGAATAATTGTCATTATGTCTGTGTGTTCGAGGGTGAGTCTGTTTGTTTTCCGCTCTAGAACCAGCTTTAGTCAAACTCTGGACTCGCATGGGTAGTAATGTATACAAGTTTATCCTAAAGAATTTCAAATTATCAACCATTGAGATGGGGACGCCACCTAGGTGCGTATTTTAACACAAATATGAGTGAAGGATGAGTGTAGAATGGTGTGTGATGACCTGTGTAGCTTTGTTACTGACTAAGATCAGCGGTTTCATTAGAAAGGATCGATTGAATGTTAAAGCAAGAGAATACGTGCATGTCGGCAGAAATAGCAGTGTAAAATAGTATATGTAAGTAATAATTAAAAATTGTTTTCCAGGTGTGCAACCAAAGAAACTGATGTTTGATACGACCTTTTAAAGCTTTGGTCCTCATCCTTGGAAAATAATAATCTCAGGATAAAAGTGCTGGCCACTGTTCATAAGACTGTTATTTGTGTACATTTTTTAAGAATAGACATTTTTGTTACTTTTTTGTGAGTTTAATTTATTACCTCAAGTTTTAAGATTAATTTTAATGATTTAAGTATGTTTGGTATTGTTATACCCATGAATTGTCGACAGGAAACTATGCTGATGGCTTTTAGTGTTAAATGGTAATTGAAAGTAATAAACCACATTTGCTGAATTTTACTTTGAGGATTACATTTTATTTACAAAGATAATATAATTACAAAACTCCAAAGCATATAAAACACTCCTTGAAAGGCACCGGACATAATGCTAATGAAAAATATTGGCTTATTGTCTTATCTGTTATAATATAATTGGTTTATTATGATTGGTTGTTTATTATAATTGGTTAACCATCTATTCAGTAACTCTTGATCATGTTGGTATTGTACCTGCTATATGCCAGCATTCATAATAGTAATAATAAGGTATTAAATTACTACAAAGTAACAAGTTCACTACTTAAAATATCACATATTGTTCAAGATAGTACTAGTATATTCAGTATAAACAATATGCAGGAGGAAAAAATCAAAAGTTTTCCCCTTAGCTGCTTGGTATCTTTATGGCAGAAAAGTTATATACAATTGTACAATTATACAATTGTATTGTACATAACCGAAATCATAAACCCTCTGCCACAGTTTACCTTTTACAGTTCTTGCACAATACATTTTAGCTCTTCCTTATAAACTAAACAAGCTTATAAAAATGGAAGACTTATTAAAATAACAATTGAAATGTAAAAACCTATTGGTTAAATATTCATATTCTGTCAACCAATAAGAAAATATGTGCAGAACAATCTTAAATATAACTGTTAAGTTCTAATTTAACAGAATATTTTTTGCAAAATAAATACATTTTTACATTTTAAGTTTCACACAGCAATTAAAACTACATGATTTACAACTTAATACGGAACTATGCCAGTATAGGCATGTAAAGTTTGAAATTAAATTGTATAATCTATTTTAATTAAATTAAAGTTAACCACCGTAAATGAAATTTGCCTTTTGAAAGAAACCTAAAAGAAATATAGAAAGCGAGAGCTTAGGACCTTAAAACAAATCAGTAGACCTATTATAAAAGATAAAATATTGTGATGTTTATAAATGGTGCTATAAATAGTCTGTTCTTAAGAGGGGCTCGACCTTACAATAATGCCATCAGTGATGACCAATTGGAATGTATACTAAATCGGCACATAATTGAACTAACAAAACATCTAAGAATTAACTTAATAGTGAAGCCTTTCTTAGGGAAAATAATCACCAAATGTATGGTTTTTAATGTTAACAAATAAAAATTGACTTTTCAGAGAAAAATCTACCTTTAATACTATCAAACTCTCGTGTAGCCTATGTTTTACTTTCCTAGTGATTTTAGTAATGCTTATTCTCATTATATCTACTTTCAACATAATTTCAGTTTGAAATAATTGACATGTTTTTCTCTCAGTCTTATAGTTTGAATTAATCTCTAATAAATTCATGTGAAAGACATTTTCTGTGTGATCAATAATGTGACAGTAATTAATTAATTACTTGTTTTCTTTTGGAGAAATAGCCTCTGGATCGTTATTAAACATTGTTATAATCTAAGGATCACCTTACGATCCAATTGATTTATTGTGGAGGCCAAGGTTTCTACGCCGGAGCGTTATCAGTCAGTCCTAGGCTAAGCTAAATTTTTTGTTTTTCATCTCTTACTTGAGATATTGTCGGTTGAATAGAATTTTTACAAATACAAACACTGAATATACATAAATATTTACAAAGACATAGTGGAGGTTAGGATTAAAAAGATCATAACAGATTGAAAAAATTCGATTCAACCGACAATATCTCAAGTAAGAGATGAAAAACATAAAGTTGAGCTTAGCCTAGGACTGACAAAAACACTCCAGCGTAGAAACCTAGGTCTCCACAATAAATCAATTAAATCGTAAGGTAAGCCTTACATTATAACAATAATTAATTACCATGCAGCTTCTAACCGGATCATTATGAGGAATAGCCACGTTTCAAATGTTACCTAGTATTAGATACTAATTTGTACGATGGAATCTTTCTTGTGTTTGCTGGTCAGCTTTTGTCCATGAACACTACTCCGACAGTTGAAGAAAATCCAACTATTAGCAACAACAACTTCAACAGCCTGTCTCGACCTAAAACACAAAATTGTTTTAACAAATTTTATTGAAATGAAATTTTCAAACTAACATGGAAGAAAGTAAAACCATTGACTTTTGGTTAGTAAAGAAGACATCAATTAATATGGACCAGCTGTTGACAATTTTCTTAATTAAAATAATTGAATGAGCCATTCACATAGTGTGCACTATTGTCAAAAATTATATTTTCTACCTTTTTTTTTTTGTTAGTGAGATAGTTGAAGTGACATAAATATATCTATAGCTTACAATAACGACAACATAACATTTTCTTTTAAACCTCCTCTCTGAAAAGTCGTACATGAAAATATCAAAATATCACTGTTACGCATTATGTTCTCTTATTGTGTAATTCTAGACTCTGTCTCAAGAAAGCTCGCTGATCTCTATTCCTTTTCAACAAATTCCTATACTTACAATACGTCATCTATCAAGCTGGTAAACCCTAGATGGGTATCGCAAGTCAATTTGACGTAGGACAAGTTATTTTTAGCATCCACCCCCCTCAACCAATGCTACCCTCCTTCCAGCAGTGCTCTCAGCAGTCATTTGCCTTGGTTGGGTTGTAGTGTGTTTCTTTATGTCCTTGCTAATCGGTTTCTTGGAACCTTACATAACAATACCCTTTGTGTATAGTAAAATGGCCGGCATTATGTCAAACTTACGTGTTGGTACCCTTAGCATCCCACGATACCTTACTGTATGCAATTCCTATGTACACGTCAAATTTACGTATTGATACACTTAGCGTCACACTGTGACTGTGAAAATACCTTTTACGGTACGCGATTCCTATGTTCGTAAAATTTACGTGTTGACATCCATAGTGTCATACTGTATGACAATACCTTTCTACAGTTAAAAAGTCTGCAAATTCTGTAGAAATCAGTAATTTGTATTATCGCGATCTGTTAGGCTCAATTTAACTAGGCCTACATCCATCTTGATTTTAAAACTGCCAACATCTTTTACATAGGGATTAAACTTCTACTTTTATCAATGTCAAAGTTAAAACCAAACATTTTGCAAGAATACCTTGATTTATTTGACACTGAGTTCAAGTAACGTTAAATCCATCCATAATCTTGATGACTCATATACAGAGAGTTTCCTAAATTGATTGAACCACACAACCCGAACATATTCACTAACCTTGTGACAGTTCCCGTGGTAGAACCTCAAAACATGTAATGTAGAGGAAGGTACCACAAGCTATGCCTTGCAGCATCCCTGAGAACAGCTGTTGTCTCACACTGTGTAGTGTGTCTACGTACAGTCCTACCACCATGCCCAGAGGAGACATGAGGGCAAACAGAACGTCCAACGCGACAACAGCAACCAACCTCAGCTGTGACTGTAGCAGACTGAGGCCGACGCTGAACGACACAATCACCTGTTAAAATAGCACCATACAAATCTCAAACTTAGGCACATAAATCGTGACAAGTGAAACCAGAATGTTTCTTCAAAGTTCTTAATAGTATTTATGGCTATAAACAATCTTTCACGACCAGTAGCACCTGGAAATGTAATACCTCTAAAGTTAAATAATTCTCTTCTTAATTTCACAATTGTTTCATTAATTATAAGACTAATCAACAGTATTCAAACAAATTTTTAAATAAGGTTAATGATTTAAATCGTTAAATGTTTACCAACAATGATTGGATTAGGCTAGATCTGTACGACACATACACAAATTGGCTATTTCAAATAACAAAAAGGCATATAAGTGGCTATTAAATAGTCATAGTCATAGTCAAGAATCTTCATTCATAGTATACATAGTTGTACATGAATAGTGTCAAATAAGTTAAAACTAATGCTTAAAACTATGATATCGCCATTTTCAATTCGTCTAAAGAGTACAAGGACAGGTCCATTAAATATTCCTTGAGACGTTTTTTAAAAATGTTGGGTTTTAGTTCAGTTTTAATTTTCAAAGGAATAAATTTTAAAAATTCATGTCCTGCATTGACAGTATTTTTTTTTGAAGAGCTCTAATTTGTGTTTTCCAATTACAAAATTATTTTTGTTACGTGTATTGTAGTTATGATTATTTTCTTTAATTGGTGGAATAAAATTTTTGTTTTTGACAAACATAATACATTCAAGAACATACAAACCATAAACAGTGAGGATCCTTAAACGTTTAAAGTGTTCTTTTGCAGAATCATCTTTGTTCATTTTTAACATAGCTCTGATTGATTGCTTCTGTATTGTCAAAATTTGGTCTAGATTCGAATTTGAGGTGGCTCCATATACACATATGCCATAAGATATATGGGATTGAATATGGGAAAAATAGTTCATTTTTAAAACATCAATACTGCATAGTTTTGACATTTTTCTAATCGCACAAAGACCAGAATTTATTTTATTGATAACAAGTTTACAATGTTTGTCCCAAGACAAGTTGCTGTCCAATGTCAGGCCAAGGAACCTTACGGCTTCTGTTATTTCAATTGGTTATTTATTTTTATTTACTTCAATATTAGGATTGGAATTGTTTTTGTTTTGTTTTGAATGGGACACATTTGGTTTTACTTTCATTTAATTTTAAATTGTGATTATTAAAAAAATCCTCAATACAAGCTAGGCCTATTTCTATTGTGGATAGCAACTCAACATCTTCTGCAGTTTTCCCAGATACTTTAAGATTAGAGTCATCTGCATAGAGATACAAACCTGTACATGGGGCAAAATTTAGACACTTTTTAAAATTTTTTAAGTAACAAATGAAAAGTAAAGGTCCCAGGACCGATCCTTGAGGTACACCAGATCTTATTGTTCCAATATTTGAACTGTATTTTGATTTATAATTGTCTTTAGTGATGTGAGTTATTTCAACAAACTGTTGTCTATTTGATAAGTATGATTTAAACCAATTAAGAGGGTTATATCTGATTCAAATTTTTTCTAATTTAAAAAGTAATAGTTCATGATTAACGCTATCAAACGCCTTCGATAAATCCTAATTTTGCCAAATTTAAGTCATTATTGAAACGAGCGTGTTTATTTATTAAATAGTTAAAAAATAGTTAAATAGTTAATTAAGTCATAAGCATAACACTCTAGTGTCTACATCTGCTTTGAGAAGCCCAAAAACTTTTTTATAAAATTCATTATGCTTGCTACTATTCACTTGTTTTTGTGTTTGCTCGGTAAATCTTATCAATTTGCTAAAGAGCTGGTTAATTGTAAACAAAAATCTTTTTGTTAGGCCCACAGTAGAACTCAAACCATCCGAATTAATTGGAACCAAACCACAATTTGATACTGAAAATTTGGATATGCTTAGTTTTTTTACTGAAATTTGGGTATTTAAAAAAAATAGGCCAAATCCAGCTGAACTTTTCTATTGGTACCTCAGATAGCATAAAAAGATTTTCCCATGAAAAAAATCACGCTTTAGCCACTATAGCGAAGGAAAATTTTGATTGTTACTCCAGGAGATAAAGATTATTACGTCTACAAAACTTCAGAAAGATGTTCAATATTTTGCCGCGATCATGGAAAACAATGACGATATTTTCATGATTGCGGGAGACTATGATAATGTCTACAAGACCGCAAAAGATCTGCAATTTTTTATAACTGGGGTATCAAGTTTTTTAAAAATTCTTTCTGTAAGCAATTCGTATTTGGAGGTTCTACCGTATATTACTTTGATATTTGTCTCATGACGAAACAACTTCTAACTTGCAAGTAGAGAACCCAGAGTCAACTCACCTTGTGGACCATGACTGCTACAAATATGTTAAGCACAGAGTCAAGATCAGTCTGTAGGCCGATGGCTAGTCCCTCAAACACCGAGTGTATAGACAGAGTGGCGAGCAGCAGCACCGAGCGCAGGTGTGACGTGGGCTCCTGCTGTATTGGAGTGGGCAGCTCAGGACAAGCCCGCACTTCATCTGCCTGAAACAGACAGACATGATGTAGCAATGGATCATTTATTAGGCAATAAAATTTAAAACCATTGGAGAGGATGAGATATAGCATAGCGGAATAATAGTCAGTTTCTTTACTGTCCTCTTTGTATGTCTGATGTACACTACGTTTATAGATTTAGAATAATGCAACAAAAGTAAACATCAATATTTGGAGTCATAGCGAGTTGATACATTAATGTAGGCTACTCTAATCAAACTTTCACTGAAGATAGTAATCTAATATTAGTGTTCCTTCACCTTCAAAAAACGCCCTACTTCCAAAAATTGCAAAATTTCTCGATTTTTTTACGTGTTTTTAATTTTTAAAACGACTTTTCGTACATATATTTATACTTTTTATACTCCTAACGTTGAAAGAAAAGTGCCTAAAGTGACCTTCTATAATTTTAACCGAATAAACAAAATTAAAAATGGGGGATTTTCAATTAAAAAGATTGTTTTTTAACGCTTTATTAACGTATTCCTATGGAGAATTAGCATGCATTGACATGCAAACTAGGCCCAAATGTAAGTAGGTGCAGGAAAAATACTGGACAACAACCTGTCCCCTGTGGCTCATTTGTATTTACCCCCAAACCAAAAAGGGGGGATGGGGGCTCCAGCCTAAGGCGAGTATTAGTGTCTACCACTCGCATTAAATTTCCCCTATAGACTACAATCGGCAGTAATATACCAGTGTCAATAAAAGTTTTAAAACTTTTAAAAGCATTTTAATGAGCTCTTTAAACAAAACAGACCAGCGTATAGTTTTTAAACTCAATAAAATGTTTAGCAAGCCTCGTGTGTCCAAATATTTTTCTTGTTTCATAAAGTGCCACTTTTACTTTGGTGCATAAATACCTATTTTTTACCAAACCCAACAATGTCTTTGCTATAATTTACAATATTTTCGTGTGCCTATAGCAAATTTGTAACATTAGGACTGTTCCCTTAAAAACACATAAAAAATGCCGATGACATCTCAACACAAAATAAATATTTTTGCTACTTTATTAATCCAGAATTATTATTTTGCTAAAATAAAGATTGCTGTATCGCTATATCAAAAGACAGATTAAGAACACAACACAAAAGTGACACAATTTCTAGATGCTATATTGCTAACCCTCAATGAGAGTATCTCAGAGTGCAGCACAGGCTGACTGAGGCGCTCGATGGGACTCATTGTGTCGACCTCCTGCTCCTTACACGCGAGGCCAATCTGCTCCATCACCAACACCACTAGGAACCCGAGCGCCACGGTGAACTCAGCCACAGGGAAGTTGGTGTCGCCTTTCAACTGTAATCATTAGAGGAAGGAAAAACCCTGAGGTAAAAGAAATTAGCTATGTTTGTTATTTTGATAGGGTACCTAATAAAGAAATTATTGTTAACACACCACAATACACAGCACAACTTATTCTTTTATAGAAAGATGGACCTCACTTAAGGAGGACTTATAATTTAACAAAAAATATTATATTTAAGACCGGAAGGGGGGGTCCCGACCCCCCCCTAGCTATGTCACTGCAACAGTACTCATGAATATTAGAAGAACATACTAAATCAGGTAACTTACTGATGGTAGACATTTTTGTCATTTTACCTGACTCAGCAGTTTCATAACATTTGGAAGAAGATGAAGTAAAGCTGTGCCTAAAAATACTCCACCGGCAAAACAGTTCAGCATCCCAATAAGTCTTGAGTATCTAAAATAGAGTAAAAGTTCATAATTGATATACAATTAAAGCCATATTTTTCAAAGGAATAATGAAATAAAAAAATTATGTGAGTACCAGTACTGTAACGTTTGCTTCCTTTAGAATGTTTTATCAAACAGTAATTTACTTCCTGAATTCTAAAAAAATAGGTTCTAGAAATTATGAATGTTAAAACTCAAGATTAGATTAAATCCAAACAGTTTTTACATTGGTTGTGTGTATTAGAGTCCAAACCAGGGAAAAAAGAGATGGTTCAGGTGCAGAAACAGTATTTAAGAATTACAATAGGTAAGTAATACAGTACTCACCATTACAATTTTTACAAGCAATTATGCATTTACAGCATTGATATGTCTGGGTAGTCAAGTGGTTATAGTGCTCGCCTTCAAATCCGAAGGTCGCTGGTTCAAATCAAAGCAAGATCGTTTCCAGACCCAGATGCCATTTGTTATAGGGCAATGAATTAATGATGCTATCTAACAAAAAGGTCGACGTTGGACCGTCTACAATTCCCTTTGAAAACATAAAAATACAACTGGCATGGAAAATAGACAAAAAATAAAAACACAAAGAAGTTTCAAATCCTAAACCATATATTTCTTTATTGAAACTACTTTATAGGTTAGGTAGGTCACAAATCACAAAGTGACTGCACATACATCGTAGGGAGGGTAGTATAGAGGAAAGGTGGACTTTCATAAGTGGGGCCAAAATCTGAATAAAAATATCGTATCGTTATTAGATATATCGAATATTTCTGTCGGTTAGTTAACCTAACCTAAGTTAAAGAATGTGACTTTAGGGAATCTAATATATTTTGTACTGCTGAGTAGGCCTACAACAGATTACAAAGTGTCGGTTTATCAAGGGACGCCTGAAATCAAGTTTGGACAAACACATACAGTAATAAAATTGAAACCAACCTGGTTCGCTTATCTGCGTCTCTTTCTGTGCGATAACTTTTGACGATGGCCATTGGCAACAACGCAAACATGACAGTGAGCAAAAACAACCAAGTGACAAAGGCACATTTTGTTGTTACAGTCCATGTTTCACCTGCAATTAAGTTAAGCATGAATTAGTGCTTAACTTAAGCTAAACTTAAACTAATAACTAATAAACTAATAACTGTAACTATAACTTAAACTAAATAAAGGCATTTTTATTTATTTATTTAGTTGAACTAGGTTACTGGAAGAAATTTGAATTCTAAAAAAATCATTAAAACTACGAAGGGTCTAGGGGTTTTAATTTAATTTGGGTACGTTATATGAAAAAAGACTATTGTGATAGCTCAGTAGAAGGTTTAGTTGAAAAAGTATGTAGCCTTATGATTTCTTATTCTAGCCTACATATTTTGTGATACAATTTCACCTTACTTCAATCATTATAAAAAAAATACCCTTCCTAATAAAATCATCATTAACTTAAGTTATAATTTGTTTGCAAGTTTTATTATTGATTTTATGGGTTATGTCTCGATTTATTTATTTATTTATTTATACACAGTGACAGTGTATTTAGTATTTTATGCGAGTTAGGTATTTATTGCGATGAACGTGACCATGGGAACTGTAGGATTATTGTTATCAGCTGAGTTATAAAGTTATGAATCATCTGCTATTTGGTTTGTTTACATGATTATTGTTTTTGTAAATAAATAGTTTTGGTTGAGTTTACTTAAATGAGTTTTATAAATTAATTATTTTATATTGGCGACGAGGAAATGCCGAGGAAAACAGACCAATCTCAGTATAAGAGTGTAATTGATTTTAGTAACATGTCTTGCATACAAGATAGAATGAGCAGATTTTCATTTAAAGAGTACAATAGTGAACAATTGTGGGAAGACTACATAGCTCGTTTTGAGTTGACCTGCAGAGTTAAGGGACTGGGTGGTGCTGACTCAGAAGAACAGGCGGCTCGGCGAGATCTTCTATTGGCAAATGTCGGAGAGGAGCACCTCAGGGCACTGTCGGACCAGATGTATCCAAGGGCCTGGGAGGAGTGCACCTACGACGAAGTCAAAGAGGAAGCCAACCGGTTGTTCAAGCCTACAAGGACCCTTTTTGCAACAAGGTTTGAGTTTGAAAGAGCTATAAGAAAAGATGGTGAGACATTTATTTTGTTTTATAACAGATTGAAGTCTTTAGCTAGAAGTTGTAAATATGGAGATAGCTTAGATGAACGAGTACGAGATAGGTTTGCAGTAGGAAGCAACTGTCCAGAATTTGAAGTCGAAGTCAGACAAAGATGGCCCGAGGGAGTTGATAACCGAGGTGAGCGAGTTAAGTCAACAGTAGTACTAGAGTTAGCTCAATCCATGGAACGTGCGAGAGAAGAAGTTTCCAAACATGCGTGTAAAAATGAGATTTTCAAAGTAAGTGACAGTAAGGAAAATAGGAAACCAGAGGTACAGAAATCTACTGGCTTCAATAGGTGTTATAGATGTGGGTTTACACATGACCCTAGTGAAGATAGGTGTCCTGCTATTTCTGCTGTGTGCAAGAAATGTTCAAAGAGAGGCCATTTCGCAAGAATGTGCAAAAGTAAAAATAATTTTGTCAAGAGAACAGATGGTAATTTGAGAAAAGTAGATGATTCTTGTAATCAAACTTATGATGATGAGTGTAGTTCTGATATTGATGTTAGTGGTACACAAATTAGGTCAGTCAAGAGTAAGGTTCCCAGAGCTACAATAGATGTAGAATTGAACGGGTATAATGTTAGAATGGAGTTTGATTCCGGGGCTCGGGTAAGTGCTATAAGTTTGTCTCTTTGGGATAGGATAAATTCAAGTGGCGAATCTCTCAAAAAGACGTCTGATGTCATCACTGGCTATGGGAAAAATAAGCTAGAAGTCATGGGTAAGGCTTTTGTGGACGTTACTTTACGTAATCGTACTAAGCGATTGCCGGTCATTGTATTACTAGAAGATGATGTTCCATTATTTGGGTTGCCGTGGAGTGTAGCTTTCAATCTTAATTTGCCTAGAGAAGTAATGGTTAGGCGTATTGACAATGGAAAGACAAGTAGTAAAGAGGCAGGTAAGAACGAAGAAAGTTATAGAAAAGAGTTACAAAAAGAAGTAGAGGCATTAACTCAGGAGTTTTCCGAACTCTTCCGTGATGAGCTAGGAACGATATCTGACTCTAATGAAGTCATCCATCTAAAAAGTGGAACAAAACCTGTATCTTACGGGGCACGACGAGTTCCATTCCCCTTAAGGGAGGCAGTGGAGCGAGAATTACAGAGATTAGTACAGGAAGGAGTTTTGGAACCAGTGGACCCTTCCGAAACACCGATAGAATGGAGTACCCCAACAGTTAACGTAGACAAGGGCGGAGGTAGAGTAAGAATCTGTGGCGATTTTCGTACAACCTTGAATCCAAACATCGTCCCGGAAAGACACCTCTTGCCAACCTTTGATGACTTGACTTCCAAATTAACTGATGGAAAGATATTTTCAGTCATAGATCTTCGAGACGCGTACTTGCAAATGAAAGTACACCCCGAGTCACAAAAGTATCTGACAATAGCAACTCATGTAGGTTACTTTCGCTACAAAAGGTTGCCCTTTGGACTTTCCTCGAGTCCGGCAAAATTTCAAAGGTACATGGAAAGTTTACTAAAAGGACTTAATGTCGGAGTTCTACTTGATGACATAATTATTTCTAGTAAGGATAAGACTACCCATATAACCACTCTTAGAGAAGTTTTGAGGCGGCTAGAATCAAGTGGAATAAGAGCAAAACTATCAAAATGTAAGTTATTTCAGAAATCTGTTAAGTATTTAGGTCATACAATAGATGGGAATGGTATTCATCCCTCCGAAGACAAAGTTGAAACCATAAGACACGCACCAAGGCCAAGAAACGTGAAAGAATTACGAGCTTTTCTAGGAGCACTAAATTTTTACGAAAGGTACATACCTAATCTTCATGCTATCGCTTCGAACTTGCATAAGCTGACTGGTACGAAGACTAAATGGAAATGGACTGACACCGAACAAAGTACGTTCGACAAGTTGAAGAATATCCTGTCATTAGAGAAGACATTAGTTCCATACGACATATCAAAGCCGATCATTATTGAATGTGATGCTTGTGAACAAGGGGTTGGTGCAGTGCTGTTACATTTGATGCCGGATGGAACGGAAAGGCCAGTCATGTACGCCTCGAGGACACTAACGGAAGCAGAAAAAAGGTATGCTACAGTTGACAAGGAAGCTATGGCGTTAGTTTTTGCCGTAAAGAAGTTTAGACAATACCTCAGTGGGAGACATTTCAAGGTGAGGACGGACCACAAGCCACTTGAAAGAATATTTGGAATGCATCGAGATCTTACCAAAGTAGTAAACAACCGTTTGGTTCGTTGGGCTTTGTATTTAATGGAGTATGATTTTGAGATCCAGTACATCAAAGGACAGGATAATTGTTTGGCTGATTTTTTGTCTAGATTTTCACTCAAGACACAAGAAGTATTGGATCCAGATGAGAGAGAGATTCGAGCATTGGTTCAGGAGAAAATCGACGTAGTTTATCCAAATCATGAACTTGTACTGGAATATAAGAAAGACCCAAATATGAAGAAACTTATAGACTACCTGGAACATGGTTGGCCAAAAGATACAGGAAACTTGCCACCATCCATGAAACCATATTGGAATAAGAGAGAAGAGCTGACATTAGAAAACGGTATAATCATGCGATTAGGAAGAATAGTGGTGCCACAGATTTTGAGAGAAAATGTATTAAAAGAACTCCACAAAGGACATCCTGGAATAGAGGCCATGAGATCCCTATCAAGGTATTATGTATGGTGGCCTAATCTGAATAAGGATGTCGAGGTTTATGTCCGTAGATGCCACCCTTGCCAGAGTAACCGATCATTTGACACAGAAGTACCTCTATATCCTTGGAATGTGCCAAGTGATCCTTGGGAGCGAATTCATCTCGACTTCGCAGGTCCATTCGACAACCGATTCTGGTTAGTAGGAATCGATGCTTACTCAAAGTGGGTTGAGATCGAAGTTATGGACCGTACGACAACTGCTGCTCTTGTAAATAGATTAAGGACTTGGTTTTCGAGGTACGGCGTTCCTAAAAAAATTGTATCCGATAATGGCACCCCCTTCACGTCCCATGAGTTTAAGGCTTTTTGTAAGAACAATAACATATGTCATGTCACATCGGCACCGTATCATCCAAAAACCAATGGTTTAGTAGAGAGGATTATCAGAACCTTCAAGAGTAGATACAGTGCTTGCAAACAAGAAGGTCTCAGTTCATCACTTGCACTTTTACAAGTGTTGCTTGCCTATCGAAATACCCCACAAAAGACCACAGGACAACCACCATCAGTCCTTTTCTATGGTAGAAGATTACCAACAGCTTTGGATAGGTGGAGGTATAATAGCAGAGAGAGAATAGAAAATCAAGTGTGGCGACAGAAGTACTACCACGACTTAAAATCCAAACAAAAGGAGTTTTCTGCCAAACAAGAAGTGTGGGTTCAAAATGAAACGAAGAAGGGCTGGAGACCAGGAACAGTACAAGAAAGGACGGGAGAGCTATCATACAACGTTTTAGTTGGGGGAGAAATAAAGAGAAAACACGCTGACCAGCTGAGAGCAAGAGAAGGTGCAACTGATCCACCTCAATGGAAAATGCAAACGGAACCTGAAGATGAGCACAGTTTCGGAAATTCAGCCTAAATTGGGTGGGGAGAAATGTAGGATTATTGTTATCAGCTGAGTTATAAAGTTATGAATCATCTGCTATTTGGTTTGTTTACATGATTATTGTTTTTGTAAATAAATAGTTTTGGTTGAGTTTACTTAAATGAGTTTTATAAATTAATTATTTTATAGGAACCTATATAGATTTATATATCACTAGAAACTAGATTTTTAGCTGAAAATAATGGTGCAAAAATTTTTCCGCGCTCTCAAATATTAACGGAGTTACGGCTGTTTTAAGTTTTATTTACCAACCGGTACTTTGTTTTTTTGACCTAACCTATTTATAAGCCTATGAAATGTTCTCTCCAGATACTTGATATATTACGTTAATTAATTGTAAGTAATTAAAGTAGAAGACTCACTTTTTACCAGGAAATAACAGTGCAAAAATGTCTCCGAGGCCACGAATATTAACTAAGGTAACTAAGATAATTTGTCGTTTTGAATTCCTTTATCTACTTTCTATTCTATTCTAGTCTGCTTCTGCTAACTGCTACTGCTTGCCGTTGCCGCATTACGGAATTACGGAACAACGGAATGGACTAACTGTTACTTACTTGTACAACTATACTGAACCTGAAATGAAAATGAAAATACGAAAACGAAATTGAAGAAAAGAGAATAAAAATAAGTCAATCAAGTCATTTCAATTACATGTGCTACAAACATCTAAGAAACAACACGGCACTGAATAACTTATTTCAGAATGATTTTATTTAGGCATGTGTGGAAGGCAAGTCGGGCTTATGCGGATTCGTGACTGTATTAAGTGTTTTGAAGTTAGGTTAGATTAGGAAGGTATTTTGTTGTGGTTAACACACTATTTTAATGGCACAACAACTGCCTGTGTGTAATATAAATTATCAACTCAGTTCACTATAACCTACACTTTAACTTACCTAATCTAACCTACCTTCAAAGGACTTAATGCAGTCACGAATCCGCATAAAGTCCGACTTGCCTTCCACACATGCCTTTTCTGTCATCATACTTATATTTTATGCTACAGCAAGTTTGGTTTGGTTAGGTTAGTTTAGAATAGTTTTATTTTAATATTAACTAGTGGTCGTCCTGTGGTCGAAACTCGACCAAAAATAATTAATGTACAGACTTCTCTATTTTCTCCCCACACTGTAAATAAAACATGTGAATGGAATTTCTTCCCTTTGTTTTGATTTTCTGTTTACATTTTGTTGTTATTTCGTCACCATCATGGCAACCCATATGGTCCATGTTAATTTTTTGAAGTTTTCAAATTCGTTTTTTGTGCTTATTTGTTAGCCTATTTTAATTTTTAAAGGCATTCTGCACATCTACAGAAGAATATCTTTCCAACAGTATGCGTAGATTTTCCCTGCGATGCACACGAGCTGAGAAAAAAGGTTTTAAAGAAACATGCTTGCCTATTAATATATAGATAGATATGTATTCATAGACTAATCAACGTGTTATTTAAGTCAATAACACAATCACTCATCCCCTGGTTATATTACCAAATGTAAAGCACAGTTCATTACTAATATATTTAATAATACTTTACTGTAGTACTCTCTTATAATATTTAACAAAGTGTTATGACACTAGCGCTCAAGTGTCACCAACATGAACTAGACATGGAAAAAACTTCAGATTTTAGAATGGAATGAGAAGTCTAACATTGTTTGTTAGTGTATGTTTAATAGTAGTTGTTAGTTGTTAGACTTTAGAAGTATGCCTAGGTAAAAATCCTTATTCTAGGTATAAGCATGTATAAGGATTCAAAAGGGCATAAAAGCTACATGGTTAAAGTAACAATGTTGGCCTATTTTGTGGAGGGGATTGGATTACTAGAACTTGGAACTGGATTTTGTCAAATCCATCATGCCGTCGCCACTAACCATTTCACTTAGCTGCGTACAGATAAGCTATTTTGTTTCCCGAACGTTCTTTATGCTGAAATTAATAAGTTTGCGTTAATTAACCTATTGATTGTTAGTGTGAGTCTAATATTTACTTAAAATCACTTACAATTTACATAAATTTAATAGTTATACAAAGTTTCTGGTGAGGAAATATCGTCAATTTAAATAGGCTAGTCAGTAGACTTACAAAGGTAATTAAAACTTAAAACAGCCGTAACTCCGTTAATATTTGTGAGCGCGGAAAAATTTTTGCACCGTTATTTTCAGCAAAAAATCTAGTTTCTAGTGATATAAAAATCTATATAGGTTCCCATGGTCACGTTCATCGCAATAATTACCGCGAGTTATTCTGTAGACCAGTTTAACGCTGAGAATTAAGGAACTTAACTTTGATTGATTGAATAGCCTAAATACCCTAAGGCCATGCATTGATAGCACATACATATTAACCATTAAACCAAGTTATTTAATATATGATAGGCCTACTTACTTGAAATATTTCCCAGACTGAAGCTATTTCCAGACATTTCCTTTCCTTCCAAAAGTACGGTAATACTGTAGAGGACAATTTGTGTTTAGTCCAGTCCAGTTTAACTAGTTTTAACCTGGAAGCAGCCTGAAGTTACTAACTTCCCTGGCAGTGGTCTCGCTACGCTAGTTATATTTTAGGCCTATTCAAGTTCTTTCTCTGACAGGATAGTACCTAACCTAAATTTATTGTAATGATAACAAGAGAAGAAGAGAAGGAGAAGCAAGTTCAAACATGAGACACACACTTGAGTTTTCTAGGACAACATAATCAAAACAATAATATCTTTAAGTGGTCTAATTCAGAAAGATCTAAGATAAAACGCAAACCTCTAATATCATGCATGAAATTAACCTTAAACCTTACAGAAATCGCAATCGCAAAATCATCAAACTCCAACTAAAAACTCAACAAAACAAAACAAAAACAACTCATAGCCATAGCACAACAGACAACAAAAACAAAGCAAAGCATTTGATTTGATTTTATCAAAAGTCAAACAGCTGATTCTTTGTGTTTCGTGTTTAAGCGTGCTTCACCTACTTGGTCATGTAGCTTCTTATACAGATTGTCTTAAACATGTTAAAATGTAACTTGTGTTATTGATTATCTTCATTAACAATTTACATAACAGATATTTAAATTAAATTTGGTATATAAATTTGGTATTTATGTGCTGTTATTCTAGCCATTTCAGAATAAAGTATAAAAGTAAAATACCTCTTTATTTCAATCTTGGCGTAAAGATTGGGATCAGGTGGATTGGTTTTTCCCGCTTGGGGCCAATCAATCTTGGATTCCTCGTTAGAAGAAAACTGGGAACCCCCGTTTACCCCATAGTTGTTTGTTAATCTATGATAGAACATTTTGGTACAAGATTTTTAAACTTGAATCTATTGTGTGGTTTGGATCTAGTTTCCTTTTGGCAACTTATCAAGGTTTGTAAAAAAACCAGATGATTTTGGGTTATTTCTGTTACAAAGATTGGAATTTTACAACATCGACACACCATAGGATGCAAATTTAAAAGCAAATATGAGCGAATGATTTATGTTGTATATGATGCCAGATTTGTTGCTGACAAAGATCATTTGGCTACTTGGACAGGATCATTTCCAACAATCAATACAGCTGGGTCCACTTTCGAACCATTAAGCTGGGTTTTCCTAGGTGCGGAAGCGGAGCGCGGAGAGAAGAAACGTGGAGAGCGGACTCCTCTTGTATTAGGTAATTTAATGTCACTGTTTTCCTAGAAGCAGAGCGGAACTCCATGTTATACGCTTCTCCACTCTCCGCGCTCTCCTCTTCCGCGTCTAGAAAAACGCAACTTTAAACCATATTTTGATATTCCTCGGAATATTTGACTAGCAAACTTCTGATTACTCGGCGAGCTCTATCCTCCCCAGTCATATATGACACAATTGAGAAAATGTAAAATTCTGACACCTTCAAGCACAACCAAATAGTTCTAGTTCTTTACTAGTTCTGGTTAGGTTGAACCATGGTGATGTTGGCATGGATGTCTAAATACTTTTAAGCTATCCTTTGAACTACTTCTCAAAACTTTGTTGGAATTCAAATACTTATTTTATTTTTCTTAGAATGGGGAAAGTTAAAAAAATAGTCAATGCTCTAAGTAATTCTGTTAATGTGTAGCCACTTCTTTTAGTGATTCCGTGCAACCCTCTTCTGTGCGATAAATTATACAAACCAGAAGTAGGCTAAATGATAAGGGAGCTTGGATTTTATTTAAGTGAAATTTAATTTTAATATTGAAACATAAAAGCGTTGTCAGGCTAAAATGTTCTTATAGCCACCACAGAGAAATGCTGATTATTTTGACAAAACTATTCATACACTATAGTTTTCGGTTAATTCAGGAAATTGGCTTTCTTCAAAGTTTAAGGATTGATACACAATTCATTGTTCACCTAACCCCGCAGGGGGTTGACAAAGGACAATGTCCTGGGTAAATAACATATAACAAGAACCTTGTTGTGGTTCCCAGAAAGCTAATCAATGCATCAGTAAACCTTTAAGAGTTGTGTGAGAAAGCCCTAGCGTGAGTGTATACCGTTGCCTGGCAACACTTGTTTACTGAACTTAGTTGAACATCAGTTGGTTGCGACGCGGTGACTGAGTGGTTATAGGTTAAACATTTCAACTTCTAAAATTAAACATTTTATAAGTTTCAAAATGCTTTGGGGTTACGGGCCTGCAGTGGATGTGCTGGAAGAAATAAGTGACGTGAAATCTGTGATGTCAAAGAACGAAATTAACATTTTGATAATCGGCGCATCTGATGCGCGTCACATTTTACAGACAATCTCAAGATATTACAAACGTCCTAGAAAGAAAATAAATTTTTACGTGGCGGACGTAATGCTAGAAATGGTGGCGAGACAAATTCTTCTACTACTAATCGCGTTAGAGCCTCCAGATGAACTGGGACTTTTTGATAAAACGCGACTATGGATGGAGGTATATGGAAACATTCTGGTTAGACCAAACACCAATAAGTACATAGTAAAAAAGTCATATCAGTTAGTGAATATGATTACGAGTGAGGTATATCTGAACTCTAGACTACCGTTGGTCAGCGTGAGCATGATGAAGTACAAGGAAAGAGACAATCTGGAGACGATATTTCAGTTTTGGGCGAAAAATAGGTTCGAAAACGTGTTGAAGCTGTGGGACGGGAGGATTCGGCAAAGTCTGGGGACGAGATATGACTCCAAGGAGGGTGTGTTCGACTGGGACTACTACATGAGACTCAAGGAAATACCAGAAGGGGAAAGAATTAACCCCAGGTGAGTGAATCTATAGTGAGTGTATGAAATAAATAAAATCTAATAGTAGAAGAGAGTGGTAGCGATTCTGGAGACAGAAAAATTGATGGGTTGATACCAGTATACGCAAATAAAAATTTATTCATGTCAAACACCTTTGGAATTCTTCAGTTAAGCATGTAGCTATCGGTTTTGTGATAACGAATTTGAGGTTTAAATCAAGCCCCCAAATGAGAGTGATTATGAAACTAAATAAACACACTCAATCGTATTGCATATAATTTCTAAAAAATGAACATTTGGTTACAGGTTGCCTTATAGGCCTATACAACGTTGAGAAACAATAACTGTGATAGTTTGGAAGAGCTCTAGAGTAGTCAAAAATATGCAGTAGGCTAGATGTGTCCCACGTTTTAAAATAAAACGAGAGTTTGCACTGTTCTGTCCACAATAACGTTTTTAAAGTTCATACAACATTAGCACCTCATCCATCATCTTTGAAAAATCCTGTCAGTTACGTAGGTGTTTATTTTTAAGGTCGTATATATTTTAGTATTTACCTCTTGCCTTTTATATAGTTTGAATTTCTTAATTGAATATAAATACAATATACACCATACAAAGAGACTAAGTGTGGCTTTTCAGGGAGTACAAACATTGGAGAGGGACAGGGGTGGCATTTACTTGGCTGGAGTGCGAGGAGACAGAACCCAACCCCACGATGGCGTCCGGTATAGTCAAGCTGGGTAGCAGGTTACTGAACCACGGCTACCTGGGGGACATCGTGTCTCCGCCCTACCTGGCTTTCGGAACTGACAGCGAGGACAAGAACCTCCTGGAGGTCAGAAACAACGTTATGACACACAGGTCAGTGAGCTAACTCAAGAATATCATAATGAAACTAAAACCAACTTTAAACTCTACATAAACATTTGTATCTAACTCAAGCCCCTTTCGAGAAACTTTGATGTTTGATTCATCATCTATCGATCAATTTTTGGGCTACTGGGTAACGAGTGAGTTAAAAAATCAGTTAAAGGTTAGAATATACTATGATAGGAATACCAATTGGCTAAGTGTTGGGAAGGGCATTTGGGAAGTCCGATTGACAAAATATCCGAAATTTCTTTCTTTGCTACAGGTCTACAGATATAGTGGAGGCTAATCTGAGACGGATGTTTCATGAGATAGCCACCCAAACACCATATGAGCCTCAAGCAGCACCGGATCCCCACCTTGGTGCAGTCATCACAGAGCTACCAGAAGTTCTAGAGGTGCCGGAGTGTGAGGAGAAGGTAAGGATGCAGACACAGTGTCCAGTCACAAATTAGGTTTTACTATCAGTAGCCTAGTATTTAAATGTACAGTAGTAAAACGAAGAGTTAACATTGGTGTCAATACAATTGTATTTTAACATGGTTTGACCTAAAAGATTACTGTGTCTATTTCGTCTTTGTTTACTTTGCTCCACCTTATGTCAGGTCAAAGTTCTACCACATTTAAACGATCATTTCCGTCAGTCTGTGTCGTTTCACAGGTTGTAGACATCCAAGAGGACTGTCGAAGGAAGGAGGACTACTCGGCGATTTCCGTGCCCGACACCAAGGTTCACTTCCTCTCCACAAATGCTCTGCTGGAGCTACCTCGGCGGCCGAGGTTCCGCAACTTCTTCGACGTGGTGATGGTCTCCCAGAACCTCACTCAACGACTCAGTGATGACGTCATGTCAATGGTCAGGCCGGGCGGAGTCCTTCTCGCTGAGACGAGAAAGTTCATCACTGGGACGTCAAAAAAGGAGAAGGAAGACTTTGCCGAACATCTGGTCCAGCTGGGGAAGGACCGCTCCTGTCGTCCGTTGCGGCCGGTTGATGGCGTCAATGACTATCTTGCGAAATTTTTGGTCGAACGGAAAGACTGAGTAATGCATCGCCAAACATCCTGGCCCATCGACGCAAAGTCTCAGTAAAACTGCAGTAGAGAGGAGTCAGAGATCCAGTTTCCTAAGCTCTTGTAACAATTGTTCAGGGAAGTTGTGTAACTGGTTCTCTCAGAAATTCTCTACAGTGAAAGAGCTTTGCGCAGACGTTCAGGTGTTTGGCGAGGAAACAATTTTAAACGCGGGTTATCAAGGTTTAAGTTGAAGTTTCTGTTTCACTTTCTGAAACTTAATTCTTCTTTTGAAATCATAACAACTATCATTTAAACATTATTACTGCTTAGTATAATTTATGTAAATGCGTGTTACTCTAAGTAAAAACCAAGATAAATTGTTAACTCTAAGTTCAAAGGACTAGCTAACTTTAAGTAAATACGTTTTCCGACATGATATATATTTTCTACCTATATTGTTTAAAACTATTTGTTTGAATTATATAGACATAAGGCAGTTTGTGATATATTGTTAGTATAAATGTAAATTTAATTTAGTGACACATCATTGACTCTTGTCCACAATTAATCATCTCTGCTTCGCAAGTCAAATTAATTAGATTTTTCCAATCTTTAGATGCAGATTACATTTTTAACTTTCTAGATTATGAGTTGTTATTTTAGAGTTAATAAAGCTCTGCTATATGTTAAACGATTACTAAGCATTTCTGTATACTTGTGTGTATGAACTACAAATAGGTAGGACTTAAAACGTGTAAAGGGTAACAATAAGGAACGTAGCCTAGCACTGGAAGGTACTCTGTGACGGGATGTCAGTAAACTTTACATCGGCGCCTTCCGTGCTAACTAGGCAAACTACCGTGAGAATTACTACGATAAAACAGATCGTTATTTGGAGGGAAATGAATCTTGTACACATCTGCAAGCCATCATGTCGAACATGCGATTCGTGGTAGGTTGATAGGACCATTGTTAGCCTTTTAACCAGGCTAAGATGTGAATGGAAAAGTTAATAAATACATTATTGACCTAAGACACACTTTCAGGGGACAATAGCAGGTTAAACCTTGTAAACTAATATCCAATGCTCATTGAAGTCCACATGGTACGGGTCTACTAACAATTATTTGTCATTGGCCAAGTTTCAAATGTGTCCTAAACAATATGATTAGGATGAACAAATGACCGCAAATAGTTATTTGTGTAACTAGGGTTCACTCGTGTTACACATTATATTTTTCCTACAGTCACTATAAAGCATATAAATAATTAGTCTTTCAAACACTATACAACACGTTTTTAGGTTCAGCTGGCAACACAAATGGTGCCCTAGAGAAAGTAGTACCCGCGGTCCGTATCACTCCGCTATTTTTACTCGGCAAGAAATGTGCTCCGCGTTTTGAGAATATAGTTCCGTATGTTTTTGTAATTTTAAGTGGTTTCCGCGCCTAAAAAAATGCTTTGAAGGTATTTTCTTGTTTATTAAGATCGTAGGAATGTTTTAAAAACGTTGAAAAGAAAAGTCCAGAAAGTTCAGAAATACCGAAACTATAAACACGAAATGACAGGTTAAATCATAGTTATAATAGTCAATCAGCTGCTCATGGTATTATTATCTTTAAGTGTTGCCAACCTATTTCCAAGCGTACACGAATTATGTGCGTAATAGAACCACGCTGTTTTGTGTTGTTTCGTTGGAATCCTGATGTGCGGCAAAGTATAAACCGTACGGCAAAGTATAAACCGTACGGCAAAGTATAAATATGCAGCAATTGGCAGCTTTCTGTACTATAAACAGTACAAGGAAGCCAACTTTGTCGGGTGACTGTAGGAAAACAGATTTTTTAGATGTACACAGTTAAAAAACGCCTTCAGAAAGTCTCTGCAATACCCGTAATACAGGAGCGCGTTGTTGTTGCGTTTCCTTTGCGAAGGCATTCTTAGTATTCTTATTTATTTTAACTCTTGGGGCAAAGTCAATCTCCCTCAAACCAACGAGTTTTTTTTTTAATCTCACAAATTTCTCGAAAACTCGAGTCCCGGCCATATCCCTAGGTTTGAAGGAATTTCATTTTCAAAATGACTCGTTTAGATTGTTTCACATTATGCATTTGAATGTATTTAATCTTAAAAACTATTTGTTTTGCAAACGGCAGTACCTCATAAACAATAACGTTGTTTAATCTGTTCCAGCTACGTAGATCTCTTACAGGCTTAATTTATAGTTATAAACTCTTTCTTGTAGTACTCAGTCAGTGTCAATGTCTGCATCAAACGTTTTATTTCTTGTTGTCTTACAAATCAATCCTTCAATTTTGGATCTTTCTCTCTATTAATGATACAAAATGCTATTAAAATGGCACGAACCACAAAGTCAAAATAGCTTTGTTGTTGTATAGGACTTTTTGTACAATAAATAGATGTGTATTGAAGAAAATGTGTTAAGGTACTTTAATAGATTCCCAAAAACATACCATTATATAGATGATTTTTGGATGCGCACTAAGTATTCATCAATACAATTTTGAATGTATAGAACAATAAAAAAGTTTTGAATCGTGCATATTGCATTGCACATCACTCCAAACAGTTCAGTGAAGAACAGCCACATATATTATTTGCAAACTTAGATGCATTGGCATTAAAAGATTCTTGTTTGGATTGATGCATATTGCAATTGCACTACAAAGAATGCAGTGAAGATCACCCACAGAGAATTCGTAGCAACTTTAAGATTCCTGAACATTAAAAGATTGGGTGACAATGACTGTAGTGATTCTGCACGTTCACAGTTTATAGGATAGGTCATGACCAAGGCCAGCCACAGCGGTGAATTCTGTGAAGTGATGGGAACGGATACAAGTGTGAAGCCTTCACATGCAAAGCGAACACGCAGCCGGCAGCATGCCACTACTCAGCAGGCTATACTATCACTGATGTAATTACGATCAAGAAATATTTACAGACAATATTAAACTATTCTAATATCTCAGTTAAGTTTGATACAAACTTATATTCCTTTCCTACTGTTTGTTTTTGAAAACCTTTTCCTTAGTGAATAAAAGATACAATGGAACCTCGATAACAAGACCCTTGATATATAATAAGGGCCATTTTCAAATCCCATTGAATTTATTCAACCCTTGATCTCATGTTATTGCAAATCTCGCTAAGAAGTCAACCTTGATAAGTCTTATTTATATTTGTTATTGAGGTTCTAGTGTAATTTAATTACTAAGGAAGGACTGGTAAAAAAAAATGGTTCCTAGATAGATTCCATTCTATTAAAAATTGCAATTTGTCTGTAATGATGCACATGTCACATGGCGAAATGTCATGTTAGCAAAATGTTGAATTAGGTCACAGATGTTTGTTAACCAAAACAGATAATTCTTCATACATGACTATCCTTTATCATTCCTAAATGATAAACACCACAGTCTGAAAAAACGTATATGATAAGAACACAAAACAGATACAGTAGCCAGTAAACAATTACCAATGGGATTGTGATAGGTGACATGTTAGTAAAAGAACAGAAGAGGCTGTGACTTTTCTATATTTACACTGGACAATTCTTTACAAAGGTACAGAGCTAAAATCACGTTTATACATGAGTACATTTTAAATCATTAACCTAATAAACTTCTCAACGATCAGAATGAAAATGTACATTGTGGCTAAATAAATAATTACAACTAACGCATATATGATAAAATGATACAACATCAACATAATAACAACTCTGAAATAAAAGAGCTTAAGGAAATATGCTTACAAAAGCTCAAATAAAAATCACTCTGCAAATTAAAACTTTGTTTAACAGTTTTCAATATCTTACATATTTTATACTCTTTGGCCTAAATCTAAAATCACATAGAGTCGCTTTTCTTGATCAAAGTCTGCTCTAAAAATATAATTTTATAAAAAACTAGCTGTGTACCCGTTCTACGCACGGGGATCTTATAATATTCAGTTGAAACCTTCTTATATAAAGAACAGCAGTTGGTTTGCATATTTTAAGATATGCTGGCCAAACTATTATACATAGCTTCATTTTATGTTGTTTTTTGTTGTTCCGGATCGGTATGACAATCAATAAAAGGTTAAATTACCTCTGTGTCTGCCGGTCGATCCTATAACGGTAGGCTTACTTTTATTTTTACTATCTGATCTCGTTTGCATGGCTCAATCACGTCCTGGTTGAAGTTCGTTCGCTACGCTCACTCACCTGTATGTTGGAGCTCGTTCGCTGCGCTCACTTTCCTTCAGGTTAGCTCGTTCGCTACGCTCACTTGCCTTCAGGTTAGCTCGTTCGCTACGCTCACTCGCCTCCAGGTTGCAAATTAGCTGTTGTCATAAATGTAAAAGAAATAATAGTGCTAGTGCTGCACCCTGTTGGTAATCCTTGTAACTTTAATGCTATTGAACATCACAGAACAGAACCAACTTGTTTAATTGAAACAGCTGTTAAGATTCAATAATTTCATTTCTCATAAGGTTAACATGGGCTTCCAGAAATTCCACGTCAAAAATCGACAAAAACTTGATTTTCAAGGGTTTACTGTTAAATATCTAACTGTCTCATATTCGATGAAATACGTCTAAAACCATCTCATATATGTATAGTATTTGGAAAATAAGTTTCAGGCGGGACAGTGCTATAGTTATTGAGGAGTAGTTGTAATAAAGTGCGTATTTTAGCGTTACCAAGAGAATGACAGATAGACAGACAGACAGACAGACAGACAGACAGACAGAAATTGAGATAAGGTTTGATTCGGTTTCTCTGACCTATGAAATGTAAAAATAACCAAAAAGTTCATTATTCTAAGCAATGTACAGACAAAACTCTAATTTTATTTATATAGATATTGCTGTTTTTTTATATTTAATATCATGTATATTGGACAGAAATCTTATTTTAAATGTTCACATAATGTTGTATAACGTGTTCAGTCCAGCAGAATAAAAATGAGTAATTTTACCAATTTTTTATTGAACTGTAAATATTTTACAATTTTCACGGTATAACTGACCTATTCTATAACAAAGATCGAGATGGCGTAATCCATGGTTAAATTGACTTGTAATTTTTGTCATGAATAATTGTTACACTATTGATAACAATAGTTTTTAATCAGTAGTAATAAAAATTGAAAAATATAATTAAAAGGTAAGTTGAGAATATATGTAAAAAGGACGGTATTTTTTGCTGAATAATAATTTTAAGCAATCAATGAAAAAAGATAATAATATCACTATAAAAAAATTGAAACAAAAGGAATACATTGAATTTCATATTGCAGACATAAAATATTGTTAAAGTTTAACATATGAAAACGAGAATCTTAAACAAGCTTGTAGAGCTTCCACCATAGCCCAGCAACCAGGAGCAGAACCTTATGTAAAAGTATAGCAACTTGTAATGCACTATCAACAAATTTATACACAACAAAATATATATACATCTTAAAAATCTAAACGGACCAACAGAAACTAAAAATTCCAAAAAAATGTTCGAAATAAAGCTTTGCTAAAGGTCTTAAAATACAAGCTGCAATAAATTTTTAAGTTGTTGCATTCTTACAACACAACTTGGTTAATCAATCACATGAAAATGATAGATTAACTATTGATTGACTTTTAATCTAGTAAACCAGAGATCAAATATATTGATAAATAAATAACCCATGATGTTTGGGTAGAAATGGTTTTTAAAGTCTTTAAACTTTAAAAAAAGTTGCATTAAGTTATTAATGAAAAAATCAAAATTGCCTGATAAAAAAAAATCCCTAATAGATATTCAAGTTAGAATTTTGTACACATCCTTGAAGGAGCAATTTTACTTGCGACCCTATCAATAAAAGTGATAAGAAGAAGCAAATTACGCTTTACGTAAAATCTGTTTAGTAACTTAAATTCTTCAAATCAATCTAAAGATCTGAGAGTTGTCTACTTGAGTGTATTTCACTTTATTCTGGTAGAAACAGTAAAGAAGGATACAAATAATCCACTTCAGACTACCATAGCTGTCGTCGCTTTACATGTAATTAATTAAATTTGAAATAAGAGATAGTAATTTAAACATTTTAAATGCCTTTTTAACCTCATTTAAATGCGTTCCATTATCACAGTAGTGCTTATAATTTAATCATAATCAGTTTCTAAAGTCACTAAGGTTTCTTAAAAAAAGATAAATATAACAAGTTATAGTAAACACTGATATTAAAATTTATTAAAATTAATAGAGTATCGAAGATAAAATCATATTCACAATAAAAGCGAATAACCAAGAAAAAAACAATTTCCAAGAGACAGTTTGCTGCTTTGCAGCTTTCTTCCCTAATAATACTAAAAATTGTCATTTTCGACACACATCAACGTTCATTTAGCCTCAGTATAACAACATTCACACTATAAAAATCCATTTATAAACATTCTTGACGAGTAAAGTCTACGGGACTAGCTACACATGAGATTCTAGGGGCAGCAAGACGACGGCAGACAACCGTGAGGTACTGAGGTCCGGGGAACTTGTCCTCCGTTCCTTCTTACTATTTTCCTCCTGCGCCTCTCTTTGTCTATTATCCAACCAGTGAACCTTATCAAAGTCCTTCGTTCCTCCGACCGTGTGACGTCTCTTGATGGATCTATCTATAGCAGACCCTGTCTTCCGCTTCAGTTTCACCGCGTTGTTCCACCTACCCGCTTCCAACTGTCTTCGTTTGTTCAAGTTTGACTCGGTTTTTTCGTTTTTTGTCAGCGAGTCGCTCCGTTTCAACTTGCTGTTGGAGTCTTTGTTGAGAGATTCAGACCGCCTCAGTTTAAAAGAATCACTTTTGGTCAGGGAGTTTCTCTCGTCTTTGCTGGCAGATTCTGACCTATAAGGGTGCAAAACTCGCGAGTCGTTATTTACAGTATTCTCCTTATTTTTTTCTTCATTGTCTTTTGCGTTGTCTTCTTTAGAAACTTTTAATTCTTGGTCTGGTTTCTCCTTTTCTGTACAGCACTCTTCCTTGGCCTCATCTTCCTTTCCCTGAAACAATAAAATGCAATGTAACAACTAACATAAGGTACATTAAATGCATTAATGTTCATTAATACATAAGCTGCAAGTACTCAGATACTATGGACATTAACAATATCAATTTGTTCACAACATAAGGTTAAATACATCCGGTTATGTCAAGTAAATTATCACTAAACACGCCAGATATGGACATAAGTTGACAGTGCTATCAACATTCATAATTTTAGTATTTTTAACGACCAACTTGTTTTAGAATAGTATGATATCTACTATTAATCTTGTAAACGACAATATATAATCCACAACCATAAAGAGAATTGCCAGCAAGTATTTACCTCCTTATCCGTGGCCTTGTGAAGGCTGGGGTCGCTGAAAGGAGGAGAAGGCGAGGAACTGTCTGACACACTCGACAACAGAGATCTCAGTTTGGCATCAAACGTAGACGTCAAACTGACCAGCAAGTCCCCACCTGGACAACAATTCAAGTTCAGTGGCAGACACTGATTTCAAACACAGTACACTGTTTATTTTTACAAAAGTAGACTTTTAACTTTATTCAACAGTATTCTCTCACCCTAATAAATTTTGTAGATATAAATTAATTTACTTGGGGATATAGCCATATTATGAAAACGTAATCCTTAAACAAGTGCTACAGACACATTTAGAAAAAGACCCGGCTGAATAAATTGCTACGCAGAAAAACACACAATTCTTTATTTTATTAAATGAATGTATAAGTAAAAATACTCTTAATTTTTGTTATTTCACAACCACAAGGAAAAATCATAAAAATTCTTAACTTGAAATTGCATGAAAAAAGCAAGTATCGGATTGTATTAAACTGCTATTGCGAGGAATGTCTGTGAATGTACAAAGAAAAATAGCCAAAATAATAACATATCTTTAAGCGCTTTAACAGAATGGGCATACTTATTCGGTGATTTCATTGACAGCTAAAGGTTATCAGAAGAAAAGAAATGATGAAACACATTAGAATTGAACAATAAAATGAAGAATTATTTACTTTCCGCAACAATAAAATGCCAAGAAACAACAAAAACAAGCAATCAGTACATTCAGAAATATAGAATGATGAAAATTGATGGCAAGGAAGAAAACAGTGGAAGAAAAACGGCGTGGGAAAACATTAAATACAATAGTAAATAATGAAAAGTTGTCCTCAGAATACACCAAACACAAAACATTGTTAAATCCAGAGGTTAAAATGCACACAAATAAAGAATAAAATAAAATGATACTACTGTGTCAATTTTAAATGAACTAATATAACGGACGATAAATTTATCGTCCAAGCAAAAAATGTAAGAACATGCACTTGATGTACACATTTTTGCAAACTGATTCTGGTTGTAAATTTTCAAAATCGGATATTTAAAGAAGTCGCTATCCTCAGGGTTGTGTAATTTTTATAATTGATTCATTTTAAATTAATTCTCTAGTAGAAAAACATAGCCTACTTATCCTTCTATGATAAAAAAGCTACCCTATAAGTTCAAAATAAATAATAAATAATATATGATGTAAATGTTAATATTCTCTTTTAAGAGACATTTTAATAACATGAATAGATATAACACCAAATGATAAACAGGAAAAAAACCAAACTAAATATATTTTGCCCCTTTCTATTAAGCAAACACGTTTTAGAAATTTTATGTTAATCAATCAACTGTCACACCAGTTTATAAAATCTAAATTCTAAATACTTTTAGTTTCACAAAAAGTAAAATGAAGATGGGGTGGGTGAGTGTGTGAGGATGGTTTATGAAATGAAGGTTAGGACCAAATATTGGGTTAGACGATTAAGAAGAAAACAACATGCAGAGGACAGGTACGAGTTAATGGCAAGCTCCTGGCCATAGATCATAACCCATAGAACTGACACATCAATTTGATGCTAAGGGTTCAACATATTGTACTGTAAGCAATACAATTGGCGGATTTAGGGTCCCGGTTATTGGGCGGACCGATGCTTCTAGGTGTCGAGACTGCTTTGTCAAAAACCTCAACAAACAAATACGATCTGCACTTCAGTGACAGATGAAAATTTTTTTAACAAACTTGCGCACAGATAAGGATAGGAAAGTATTTTGACGGATTAACAATTATGATTCATTGCAGGTGCACCCTCTGCAATTTATGTATATATTTTAAAAGGTTAACGTCTATTTCTGAATTTTCCTGATTACATGAGCCTCAAAGGATTGTGCTTATAAAATATAAAGTAAAGCAAGGAGCTAGTACAGTACAAGAATTAACGCCGCTGATAAATTTTGGCGGCACTGAAATGTCGGTGAGGACTTTGTACCTTGGTTTTGCAGTCCGACCAGCTTACTGAGCCACCAAGTTGAGAATTTCTATATCAAACCAATTGTGAGCGTCCCCAACACTTTAATGTTACTAAGGTTTTTTGAAATATTTTTTTTAAAGGTTTTTGTTACAGACGACACGCTTGATGTTGGTTCCAAAGTAGTAGAACTGAAACTACATATGACGATCATTTCGCGTAATCAGTTAACAGTTAATCAAAACCAGAAACAACGTCCGGAGGCTAACCCACTATTATGCGTAGTTTCGCCAGTGGTCTATGTACAGCAAAGCTAGACAAGCCAGGAGTTGCGGGGAAGGTGTGGAGGGGTTGCTACCTGAGGGATTAATGTCGCCACGGGGGCTTAGAGTCTGCGTAGTCAAATTGGAAACCAGGAGCAAAAATTCGGCCCCTTCTTCGGCCTGCACGCAAATCCAACAGACCCGAAGTTAGAACCATATACTGTATGTAATCAACTACCACTAGGCTGTTTTCCCTCAGATTTGGTTTTATAGATGGGAAGTGACAGTGTAAACTTGAGTTAACATATAACATATAAATTCACTATTTTGCATAACATCGATATTATCAAGAGACAATAAACTATAAGGTTTAGGACTTCAAAGCAAAAGTGGCCTACATTACAAGAGGCATTAAGGATGATTGAAAACAATACACAACATATACAGTATAAAAGTAACCTGTTTAATAACAAATAGGTTTTAAAGGTAGGCCTAAACTAAACTTAACCATTCATCAAATAAATGATAGAGGTCTGTAGGTCCCTTATACTTTCGGGTTGGGTTGGGCCAAAAGTTGACCAAGGAGTTTGAAAAAGGAATAATTTTCAAGCCACATTCGGGTTGGGTCGAGCCGAGAGCATCGAGCTCTGCATGTTCACAGTTTATATCCGATTGTAGGAGACGATGATGATGTCACCACAACAGATGTTGACAGGTTCACCGTAACAACGGAAGACCTATACTTTTTCCCCAAGACCAATGAAGATGTTCACAATTTTGCCACAACTGCAGAAGACGACTGCAGGAGACATCCTATATTGTGACTACAGAAGTTGTTCACAATTTCAACATGACCGGGGAAGATGTTGTTGAACATTTACAATAGGCTCTATAATGTACAAACCCCGAGGGTCTAAATTGTTGACCCAACCGAAAGTAAACTAGTGTATCCCACAGACCCCAAATAAATGGAAATTTTGGGTCAATAGCCCAGCCTAAGAGGTAGTGAATAGCTTACCTTCATCAGACAAGTGACTAGGAGGTCTCTCAGAAGGCGTCAGGTCATGGACAGAGTCTAGAGAGCCACATCTCGTAAGTCCTGCCTCTCCCTGACAAATACAGTAAACAGTTAAACTGGGCTCTAGATACATGTACAAAGCCATACAAAACCAAACTGTGGTCAAGTCTCATCAGTACTGTCATAACTGAATAATCCAAGAGGCTTCAGCAAGATAATTGAGTCTAATAACACAATTGATGTACGTACTTATTGATTGACTTCAGCAGTAGTATGAAAAATCTACTAAGGGAGTATGATTTATCTATGGTAATAATGAGATTAATATCTGACCTGTTCTTTGCTGGACTTGAACCTCTTGAGATTGCCGGTATCAGTGGCCGACTCTGCCTGGTGAATGTTCTCTACGGAGGAGCCCCGCCTCAGCAAAACACCACTGTCTCCTGCACTGCTCGGAGACACTCCACTCCTTCCACACTCTGCTATCTTCTTCCCGATAGCTACAACACAACAGTTGGGTGTTATGTAACCTATGATAAAGTACTTTACATAGTCTCTATCCTATGTAACCTTGCAGTCTCTGTGTGTAGAATTGAGCATAGAGTTCTGCGGGCCAAACCTTTTTACACTTTAGGTTAAGTCTGATCAAAAACTTTGAGGAAGTATTAATTTTAAAAATATGAGTTAGAGCCTGAAAGTTTTGATCTGATTCTGTGATTGCAACAAAATCCTGGAGATATGGTGCGGTCATTTGAACATAGTCGACATAGTCTTCCGTGATTGCGGAAAAGCCCTACTTCACGTCCTTCACAGTTATTTAGATATCATCATTAATCTGCGACCAGGGCAAATTTTGAAAGTCTCACGTGGTGGAAAAGACATCATAATCGTCTCCTGTTGTCGAAGAAACTTAATTGTCATCATCTGCCATTGCGAACTAATTAGTGGCATCATCATCATCGTCACCCACAGCGGCAGCAAAACTGTGAAAATCACCCGCCATTATGACAAATCGTCAATTTTCTTTCGCATATAATTACTAATTACAGACAAAAATTATTTCAAGCCAGAACCGATCCCTTAGGCCCGACCTGACCTAATATAGCAGCAACCCACAGACCTTAGCATCATGAGTAAAACCCTACCTGGTGTGTTGGTGTGATCGTCCACCTCCAACTCTCGTTTGCTCTGCTCTCTATCTCCGTCTCTCTCGGCCTCTATCCTCCGTAACCTGGCAGCATCTCTGTGTAGCATCGCTTTCGTCTCCAACTCAAACCTGGAAAAAGATAAATTGGATAACAATTGATAAAAGATAGATGAAAAAGATCAACATTGAAAAACGTTTTGATATTTTAGTGTTCAATAATTTTTAATGTAACCATTTATACAAACATTTCAGCCAATTAAGTCTAGGTTATCACCTTCGTATCCTCTCCTGTGTGGTGGCGGAGAGACCTGCGTACGTCTTAATAGTCCCTGACTCTGCTATCTGCGCTTGTCCTTTTGTCTCAGCCACTAGAACATCAAACATAAATCATCAACAGTTTGCAGCCGACTATTAATGTTAGTTGTACTACACTAACTATACTGGGGTTTTAATTTAAGCAAAAGCCAATTGACTACAGTAATAACATTGAGGTATTTGAATTGAAATTAATTATTCAGTGATGAGTCAAATATAAGCTTTATTGGTTAGGTTTCAGTTATGTTTTTGATTTATCAGTTATCCGCTATATTTTTTATTTTAAATTGATAAAATTACCACCAGCGTATATTTTAGCGTAATCCACATACAATATTCATGTTATTTATTTGGTTTATTGTTGGCGATGGTAGGTTTATGTTTGGTTGCAGGGATTATTGCAGATGCTTCACTAATAACTCATGGAAAGCAAGTACAATAATCCTTTGAAAGACAAACATTTCCCATAATTGTAAAAACATCATCATTATCTTGCCCGATTGCAAGAAAACCAATAAGCCAGCACCACCCTTATCAATCACACGAACACTGAACTATGGTACAAACCTTGGTCAGGTCGGCTGGCAGGAGAGACAGTCTGTTGTGTACTGACAGTTTCTTCACCAGATGTACTTGTGAGTCTCTCTTTCCTGTGTTGTACTTTACTCTTCTCAACCTAGAGCACAAAATGATCCACAAATCAGCATTTTGGAGATAACATGCTAACCTGAATCGTGTGAATAGGAAAGAGTTCAGCCCAAGGTTGACACCCGTACCAATCCTAGCGGGATAGTCCCGACTTCGGTCGCTTTGGCCTATGTTTAAGCATATGTTAATTCTTGAGGGAGGGGTGTCTCGTATCTATTTTCCCCCCAAAAAAGGTCGAAACCTTGGTCCACACTGATACAAGGAACGTATATAGTACAAACAAATTAAATTACAGTAGAACTCAAATCATCCAAATTAATTTAGACCGTACTACATTCGGATGGATACATTTTTGCTAAAATTCAGAGTATTCTATACAAAATAGGACAAATTGAACCGAGCTTTTACTATTACAAATGCAGAATGTGCCTAAAGTGATCTCACAATAAAAGAATTCACACTTTTACCACAATGGCAATGATTTTTCTTGACTGAAGAAGACACAAAGATGATGTCTACAACAGCGTGGAAAATGCTAAAGATTTGGTAGCAATCATGAAAAACTATGATAATGTTTCCGTAACTGTATGAGACAATGGTGTAATCTACGCAACCGCATGAGATATTCAAGATTTTGCCGCGATCACGGAAGACGATGATGATGTCTACATGGACCATGGGAGTTTTCCAGAACTTTGCCGCAATCATGTCTGTTTACTTATTGCACCCTAATATTAATTCTCAAAGTTTCTGATCTGATTTACCTGTCTCTTGTCCTCGGTGGTGTCGTCGCTGTGGGTCGCGGCTTGCGGCTGCGTCTGAGGATGAGTCTTGCGTGTCTTGCTCTTCATCATCTTGCGGTTTGCTGCACAAATGATGGAAGAGACAATGTCTCGAGCCGATAGATCCCTCGTCATGCCTGCATGCGACATCCAATACAACAATGGTACGACACTCACTACTCTGTACTCAGTCACATCTACTGTACGCTGCCCATTAAACGTGCACAACAATAACACCGATCACTACTAAATAACTATACCAGCTTGGACTTTCAATTTATTCTGTTTGGAAAACTTGAAGTATGATGCATGATTAGAGAAAAATAAGATCAAAGTGAAATACATTGATGTCTTAATACACGGGTTTCGAAATATTTCATGCTTTTACATTAGATAAGAATTTAAAATTTTTAACTGTAGAAAGTAGTTAAACAACTCTAAGAAAAAATAATACTATGAATCATATGTCAAAATACTTAGATACACAAATTTCAAGTATACGAGAAAAATAATTTCAAATCTTTGTTATTTAGAGAAAAGTTAAATATATAATAAAAATATAGCAATGGTTAGTAATTGACAACTATATAAAGAATAACACTATACATTCCACAGGAAACTAAATAATTACTACAGGAAATGATATAGGCCTAGAGTGTTTATGAAGAGATATCTATTTTGAACTAATATACCAGATCCATGAAATACACGCTACATACTTGAAACTCCACAGCTGCAATAAAAAAAAAAATAAAAAAAAAATAGCCCATCCACGTTTCCTATGTGAAATATGCTAAAAAACACCACGCCCCAACTTGATTCTGAGTAATCAGAACAAAATGGCATAACATAACAAATTAATGGGTGTGTTTTGGTTGAAGTAAATTAGCTTACATAAGCTAATTTACATACATTAATTGCATACGTTCAAACTGATTTCCATAAATTGCTATGCACTATTTCAAAAAAGCTAGAAAAACCTTTCTTGCTTATTTTACTGTTCTGTCAATTTGTTCTGATTAAAAAAAAAATCAAGTGACACTTAGGGTATTTCTTCTACATATGTATTCATTGTGAGAGTTTCAAGATTTTAGCTTACAAAATACGTGTGGTATATTGATTAAAAAATAGCTACCTCTTCGTGGGACACTCTGTGTACAAAGGAAGTTAAAAATAAATCATGCTTTTAGGTAAAGATAACGTTAAAGTCTTATGTTTTAATCTAAAATAATTCATCAACCTTCGTTCAACAAGCAGTATCTAAGTAAAAACAGTATTTAGTGACGTGATTGTGAAGTTCAGTGGGCTGAAATAAAAACCTTCTGTGGCTGTTTTAGAGTATGTCCACTTCAACCAAGTTATCAGAGGAAAAAGTTTCAATGACGATGCTTGAGAAAACGTCAAGTGTAATATTAGTAAAACAAAAATATCACTGTTGAATATTTAACATAATTTCAATCTCAAATGATTGGTCCATAAATTAGCCATGAAATTGTATTCAACTGAGCACTAGAACATACTTTTATCTTCCGATCCTTAGCCAGAAACCATCAATCTGTAGTTGACACAAAGTATTGTCTACTCTACTCACCTTCCACCTTGTGTATATTGCCCAGGAGTAGGTTGTGATTGGCCACCGCTGGGTCGGGCTCTGCCCCCTCCCCTACCTCCAGCTCTGGTAAATCAGAGTCATCACCGAAACACCAGTCCACCTATACAACAATACAGCAAAATTAGTAGTCTACAAACATCAGTTGATTTCTCGAGGTCGCAATAAAATCTGCCACTATCACCTACAATCATGTTAAGACCCGTTATCAACTTTCATAGTCATAGCGATAACTCTGAGGATCTTCCAAAGCACCCATGTTGATTCATCACAAACGCAGGGATAATTTCCTGCAGTTGTGACAACATCTGTGGTGATTTATCGGGATTGCGGTACAAACGTCATTATTTCCTGATATCACAACAACATTCGTAATTATCTCCAGTCATAGTGGCAACTTCCAAGTTGATTACCTGCCATCACTGCACAACCGTCATGAATCCTGCAATATCGGCAACATTTGTTAACATCTCCGAAGACCATGTTTACTCCTGTTATTTTTTTGGTGGTCAGGGCAATGACTGAGAATTTCCTCATCGCTCGAGAATTTTGATGGCGGTGACTTCCATAATAAATTATTGCAATCGCAGCAGTGTCTGTCTACAATTGCTGTGATTTACGCAATCATGGCAGCATCTTGTTTTCTACAATCAATATCTTTTAACTTGACACAATGATACAAAAGGAGAAAAATTGTGATAGTTGTAAATTTAATTGGTGAATATGCATACCGGTATTCAAAAATGTTTCGGTGCCATAAAAGCTTACACAAAAAAACCAATCATAAAATCATATTTTATTCGTTATCACTTTTAAATATGATACGTCGCTAGGATTTCTAGACTTTCAACAAAAATATTTAAAAACCGGAAAGAATAGCCTAGAGACATTCAACTTTTCAGTGTATTATTCTGTCTGTATTACAAGACCACTCACATGCAGGATGAGCGTTTCCACGATGCGACACTGGTGGCTCATGTCCGTCACCATGGTAACCATGTTGTCGTCTGCTGCTCGCACCAATGTGGGGCCAAACACAATAGCAAGGTTGCGGGGCTCCATCTTGTTGGTAGCGGAGTGGTCCACCACCTTCCTCAGATGTAGCAGCAGGTACTTCAGAGTCTCATAGTGGTGGTCTGGTAGTTCCTGAACCTGCAGACCAACATCAGCCGTCAGGTCATGTGACACTTGGTAAGAATCAGTCCAAATAGATATTTTGCATAACTTGAATCAAATTTTATTCCATAGATAATGTTTAATATTTTAAGACAGGTAGAAAAAAGTGAACCTGGGGTGCTTGTAGAACTAGCAATGCATACTGTCATAGAAATTGGAAAAGTAAATCTTACCAATTTACGGATGGTAACCATTCTGAGGTGCGGGTCTGTTATCTTGTCAGCCTGTATGAACGAGGGGTAGAGATCGGTGGTCAGCAGGGAATCTGGCAGACGACGGAAGAAGCTCTTGAGCAGTGACGAGATGACATTGACGTCACTCCATCGCTGATCTGTGTCCAACAATGCTGCATCTAGTCCTCGGTTGACTGCCTCGGTCAGTGACGACACAGCCGCTGTGTTGCCGGGGACCCTGCGTAAGTAATAAGTTTTACTCTCTTTCAGACGGTAAAATTTCTCATAAATGTTCAGTTTTTTTGTTAAAACCACTACATTTAAATTTCCTACCAGCCCATAAGTAAATGAATCAGTGAATTTGAGAACTGGCACTCACCGCTAACAACCATGTTACTTTAAATTGCTTAGTGATGTTAGCTTTTGTACAGGGAGGTTTTTGTCTCAGCAGCACCTTGTATAACAGTAGTTCATGTTTTTTTAGGGTTTTGAACAAATTTCAGTCATAATGGAGTGGACTTTTCTCTGCTTTAGCAGGCCTTTTTTATGCTCTGTTGGCTTAATGCTATGAATACAGTGCTGTTTCTAGTTTAGCTTTTACACTACATCCATAAACACAGGAATACTGTAAATATTACTATAATGAGGTACTTCTGAAAGTTAAAAGAATGGACTACATTTATCCGTGGTCACTGCATTGACCTTTCCTGTATCCTAACAGCGTTTCGTCAGTAGCAAACACAGCAAATTTCTTAATTAAGAAAGTAGCTCAAACTCAAAACTTTGAACTCAAGTAGGATATTTAAAAAAATGTTGGCAGCTTGAAAAACAGAGAAAGTTATTGTAATATACCATTAAGGAATAGAAATAGTGACAATTAGAATAGCGTGTCTACAAGGGACGTGTCCAAAAACACCGAGAGTCACAACACTAGGTATTAAATTAATCTTACAGCTATTAATAGTTGCACTGCACTGTAGTATTAAATAACAAAAGCAACGGTGATGAGTTAATTGGCTTTGTGCACATAGAATTCTAAAGTGTAATAATTTCTAACCTGTATATTCCAATGATGTCAAGCCCCCTCTCCTCCACGATATTTGCACACAACTCCACAATCAACGGTACAAACTCATTCACGGTGGACTAAAACAAAACAAAAATATAATTGCAGGTTTACACTTATCATTCATTCATATTTCAATCTTGGAACTCTGGACAAACTCAGTGATACTTCTTAAAGAGTAAAGTTAAATAATTTGACATTTCTTTTCTGTATTTACCGGTGGGCAGTCCTCCAACGGTATCCCGATAGTCGCTCCCTCAGGATAGACAGGTGTGGAGGGGGAGGGAGGGTGAGGGGTGGTAGGCGACCCACTGTGTTGTATCCTCCGCAGCTGCTTAGCTACACGACCCTTCCACGTCTTGCTCTTGGGCGACGATATCGGCTCAACTGCAATCAAAATACAAGTGTTGTAATAATGCAAATATCAGTAGGTTAAAAAATGTATGATATTCAAATTCTAATATTCAAGCCAAACAAAAGTACTGTACAAACCTTGCTGACTTGGTTTCCTAGTCTTGTTGACCGGCGACTGTCCTGTAGGAGAGCGGTTTCTGAGGGAGGTCAGTTTACGAAGTCCCTTCTGTGCGGAGGCAGGGGACAGGCTTGGCCCAGTTGCATTCTAAAACAATTCACAATCCTTTAATAAAACAGTTTTAAGCTTTGACTATTGAAACAACTAGAAATTCCAATTCCATGTTAAAGTTGTCGCCAGTTTTTCAATCAAAATTGTGGTAGTTGATGTAAGCCACTAACAGATTGTAATGATCTAATTACTAATTTCAGCCGAATAAACAGAATTTTTGCTAAGTCCAACTAATGATTGTTCTATAGTAACTGTTATGGCCCATCAACTTGGTCAGCAACAAACAAAAGGGTAGTAGATAGAATTTTAGAAATTAGCAGCAGTTCAGAGCCACTCAGTGTGTTGACTCTCAGCACATGTTTGTGTTTGGTGACTTACCTGGGTGTTGTTGTTGTTGGCTTGCTCTTCTAGAGAGACAATCCAGTGAGCCATGTGAGCAGCATCAGCAGCCTGCAGCAGCAGTTCAGAGCCACTCAGTGTGTTGACTCTCAGCACATGTTTGTGTTTGGTGACTTACCTGGGTGTTGTTGTTGTTGGCTTGCTCTTCTAGAGAGACAATCCAGTGAGCCATGTGAGCAGCATCAGCAGCCTGCAGCAGCAGTTCAGAGCCACTCAGTGTGTTGACTCTCAGCACATGTTTGTGTTTGGTGACTTACCTGGGTGTTGTTGTTGTTGGCTTGCTCTTCTAGAGAAACAATCCAGTGAGCCATGTGAGCAGCATCAGCAGCCTGCAGCAGCAGTTCAGAGCCACTCAGTGTGTTGACTCTCAGCACATGTTTGTGTTTGGTGACTTACCTGGGTGTTGTTGTTGTTGGCTTGCTCTTCTAGAGAGACAATCCAGTGAGCCATGTGAGCAGCGTCTGCAGCCTGCAGCAGCAGTTCAGAGCCACTCAGTGTGTTGACTCTCAGCACATGTTTGTGTTTGGTGACTTACCTGAGTGTTGTTGTTGTTGGCTTGCTCCTCTAGAGAGACAATCCAGTGAGCCATGTGAGCAGCGTCTGCAGCCTGCAGCAGCAGTTCAGAGCCACTCAGTGTGTTGACTCTCAGCACATGTTTGTGTTTGGTGACTTACCTGAGTGTTGTTGTTGTTGGCTTGCTCCTCTAGAGAGACAATCCAGTGAGCCATGTGAGCAGCGTCTGCAGCCTGCAGCAGCAGTTCAGAGCCACTCAGTGTGTTGACTCTCAGCACATGTTTGTGTTTGGTGACTTACCTGGGTGTTGTTGTTGTTGGCTTGCTCTTCTAGAGAGACAATCCAGTGAGCCATGTGAGCAGCATCAGCAGCCTGCAGCAGCAGTTCAGAGCCACTAAGTGTTTTGACTCTCAGCACATGTTTGTGTTTGGTGACTTACCTGGGTGTTGTTGTTGTTGGCTTGCTCTTCTAGAGAGACAATCCAGTGAGCCATGTGAGCAGCGTCTGCAGCCTGCAGCAGCAGTTCAGAGCCACTCAGTGTGTTGACTCTCAGCACATGTTTGTGTTTGGTGACTTACCTGAGTGTTGTTGTTGTTGGCTTGCTCCTCTAGAGAGACAATCCAGTGAGCCATGTGAGCAGCGTCTGCAGCCTGCAGCAGCAGTTCAGAGCCACTCAGTGTGTTGACTCTCAGCACATGTTTGTGTTTGGTGACTTACCTGGGTGTTGTTGTTGTTGGCTTGCTCTTCTAGAGAGACAATCCAGTGAGCCATGTGAGCAGCATCAGCAGCCTGCAGCAGCAGTTCAGAGCCACTAAGTGTTTTGACTCTCAGCACATGTTTGCGTTTCGTGTAGTTGTCTGCAGGTCCCACCATAGCACATCTCACATCCACTTGCTCGGCCTCCGCTCCGGCTGGTGTCTGTAACATACAATAAACAATTATATCTTTTGCCGTTCGAGAGATCCAATTGACACAAAATATAGGGAAAATGCAAAACAAGTTTGATTTCTTATTGAGGTGATATAGATGATTAAGATTTACGTTGGAATCTTGGTTTTTAAAACTTATCACCATTAACTTATCACAAACCATCCATAAGATTTTTAGATCCACACATAGCCTAACATTTACAGAATGAAAATCTTACAAAAAAAACAAAAAAACAAACACAATTTCAAAAGTTTGAAACATTTTTTCCAAGTAAAAGTAAAGCTATTTTCATCTTGAATGCCTAAATTATGTTTTAAATTGTGTTAATACTAAAATAACCCAAACTTTTCATCGTCAACGGTCCAAAACCATATAATTTCTAGTACAACTACCCACCCAAGAGCCGTAGCTTCCCCATCGCCTGAGCCTGGGTCGACGGTAATGAAAGAATATCGGGAGACAGGACGAGTAGCCTCTGGTGGTGTGAACCTCCCTGGTCAGATCGCACTCACTGATAGCTCCGGACAACATCGCTCAAGTCCTAACACTCACTGTGTACACTACGACCATCTTCAAACACTACACCGCTTTTCTTCCAAAATACAACTTTTAGTTTCCACTGTAGATTTTATGAAACTTCATTCGGTTGTTATGAGAACTCTTTGGAACAATGAGTTATAGAACTTTTATTTTTTACTTAGTAAAAGCCCTATCAAACTATGAGCCTCTATCAAAATCATGTTAAGCAATGAGAAGGCCCATTGCGCACTGATATAATGGTTTTAAACATTTAAGGTAGACTTGGGGAAAGTGTGTTTCAACCCAAATATCCTTCATAAATGCTTCAGATTTTTGGCACTGTTTTTATTAAAGAAATTTGTTTTGTGATTGGTTTTGCCAATTAAAATGGATGTGGACTAAATAAAATATGAAAATAAAGTTTTATGATAGTTTTGAAATTTAACAGAACAGAAACTATTTAACTGTTTAAACGTTAGTAACATACATTTATGCATCAATTTGCGCTGGATCAAAACAACAATCAAATATGAATTCTTTTACTGTTACAAATAAAGAAGTCAACCTAGGAACAACTTTCAATCTTTGGACATTTAATAATGGAATTGTCATAAAGTTAAATAAAACTAATTCCCTAAGCAGTTACAGTACTTAGTGGTGTGACAAAACCCCTACATAACATTTACACAATGACTACTTTATTGGCTTCAGTATGTTGTATAAGATTTGTTTCTTTAGCTTCTCTTCAACTATGGATTGGAAACAAATTTATTCGAGTCAATGTCTCTTTAACTTTTATCACCTTGGTTAATCAACACAAATAAAACAACTTTTAATTTTTTAGCTTTAGATAATGTACTATTTACAACCCCTTGGAACTTAGTTTAAGTTTTGAATTTGATTGTACATTGTACTTCATACTTAGCCTTGGTAAATAATGCACCGGTAAAAATATAGGGTTTTCAACACTCAAAAATCTGCAGAGAAAGTTTAAATCTCTCAGGTTTCCTGTGCATCTATGTGTACATGGACATAAATATTAAAGAATAGTGATGTGAGGGAAAGTGTATAAGATGAGTATGAGATAATGTAAGTGCAAGTTCTGTCACACTCTGCTTAGCGTTACGTCAAACTTCCGCAGATCCGTCACGCTCCGGGACACATACGTCCACACTCGAGGAATTCGGAAAACATTTCATTCTTTGCGGATTAGAACCACTTCGTCAATGAAACAGTTATGCTAATTTGAATACATTTATTGTGCTGGAAACGGTCTCAATAGTGTTTATAAAAGTTAATTATTGGGAGAGATATTTTAATTTGACTTGACTTTTCCTAAGCTGAGTGTTGTATGCATGTTGTACTGTGTTTTAAACTAACATAAGCAAAGTCCATAAACTGAAATTAAACAATAAGTTTAGTCATAAAAATAGTTTTAACACAACTAATTTCATTCCACTCTTCTGCGTTTAAATTTTTTTAAAGGGAACAGTCCATAACCCTGATTTTGAATTCGAAAAATACTTAAAGAGGCACAGAGAAAACTACCTAATGGAGTTATAATTTTGTTGCTGTTACAACATTTTGTTAAATTTGATTTAATAGCAAACATAGTCACAGTGAAATAATGAACAACCTATTTCTAATTAAATTAGTTTGATGGATATATAAAGAGGGTTTTTATATTCAACAAAAGAATATATTTTATTTAACTGTAATTTGTTTTTGTCACAATGAGTTTGTCCAATAAATTATCTTATCCAACTATCGTGTATTTTGGGTTCCTAAAAATTTAGTTCTATATTTAGATACAACATTAAGAAAATAAATTAGGTTTCTTGTATCAAGATTTATAGACGGATTATTTTGTTTTCCAATACAAAAATAAAACCTATTTATTATAAGATTAGGATGTAAAAAAATCAAATTTACATTGAGTGGCCTATAAAAAAAATGAAAATTAAATGAATTAATTTAATTTCAACCTATTATTATTAAAAACGAAAAATAAAAACCCTCACGAGATAAAGCCATTGTTGCAATCAAATAATACAATCACAAATTACAAGTACAGTATGCATAAAAATTAGTTTATAAACCACAATATTATACACACTCCAACAGCGAAACCCCGACAACTTGCGAGAGCGCACTACACTCACGGAAATAATCACAACACACACGTCAAGATACCGAACAACACTCAACAATCAACACGACGCAGCCAACAATAGTACTGGACTGACACTGAACTGAACTGTACTGTAGACTTTAGCGTAGCGCGCGCAGCGCAGCACACTAGCACACACTGGTGAGCACATTTTCTTGCGAGCGACGGGGGCAGACATCGATCGGTTTGTCGTATCGAAATATGTATCGAATTTCGATTACTTTCGATTGTTCTTTCATTCCCCCCTTGTAGAATTTTCAGCAGAGTTCACGGTCACAACCAGTATTGCACAACTTATTATTAATGACTTGAATATTGATGTAAAGTTAATGTTAACAAGATGTAGTTAGAGGGGATTGGGTACAGTAATTGTCACATTGGGTATAATATTTTTCACTATTGTGATTAAAAAACAACCCCTGAATTAATTTTGTTTTGTTTCATGAGTTACCGGAAAATCGGTAAAATCGATCGTATCAATTTTGAAAACAACGCTAATGGCTGTGTAGTGGCGTCACATTGTGTGTTTTCATTCGATGAGGACTAACGATAATTGTGACAATCGAATGGTCGATACGACGACAGATATCGAACCGATATTCATACACCCGGCGTTAGAAAAAAAAATGCTCATCCAGCAACAGTAAAACAGTGGTGTCCATTCATAGACAGTGTCATCGCATCAATACATCACTGGACAGACTCTGTCTAACCACAGAGATTCCGATGTTAATCACAGCAACTTATCTGGATTTGTCTGTCTTCTATAAATAGCTCCACTTGCAGTTATGAGGAGAAAACCAAGTCAAAGTCACAATTTACCCGAATTTATATGATATATGAATATAATGTATTGGATAATCTTACGCAGTCGACAAGGGAGTTTTTTTTTAACAGAAGGTGAAATACACAAATGGGCTTAAGATACTGTATTTTAAAATATTTATCTAGTAAGCCTTTCGTTATTATATGTGATTAATTGCTGTTAACACCGAATAAAATGTTAAACCACTATACCGTGCCATAACCTATATCCAGTACATTATTTGTATTCATAAACATCATTTATATGTACAGTGTTAACTTTGTTCTGGGCAAAACATTTTTAGTGATCATTTACTACTCAGTAAAACACGTTGACAGTTTATCATCCTTCTTTTGCGATTTTAACGACATCTATGTGCGATAAATATGCATCTCTGAACTTTTTGATCACGTTCTTAAACGGAACAGTTGACGCAACTTTAAGTCACAATGTTGACATTCTTGAGGTGTTATTTAATTTTGACGCATCTATTGGTTATCCAAGCATTATAGACAAACACAACTGGCGGCTAGATATGCCCCTTTATTCTAGGCGTAACTAGGACGACCCTAGGGGGGGTTACACCGGGGGGGGGTCTGGGGTCTAATACCCCCTCTAGGGAAGGGAGGGGGCCTTTCTCCAGGAAAACATCTGAAAATTAGACCTATAAACTCGCGTTTTTAGGCTATTTAGAGGCAGATAAGAGATTTTTGAATTGTAGACCATAACTTTTAACTGTAAACAAATTTGGCACATTTTAAGCCCAATGGGGGGGGGGGGGTTAAACCCCTACCCTAACCCTCCTCACAATTAAACCCCCCCCTGGATAGCAACACACAATCTGGGCCAGGTCCAAATTCACCAACATTTTTGGGGTCGTTTCTAATGTCCAAATTCACCAACTTTCTACCTTTAGCAGGTACGATATTTCTCCCGGCGGGCGGGGAAGGAATTCCCTCCGAATAGTTTGCCATCGCCTGCTCCGTCTCGTCTCGGCGAGAGTGCACTGTAACCTAACCTAACCTAACTTAACCTAACTTAACCTAACCTAACCTGACATAACCAAACCTAACCAAACCTAAACCTAACCTAACCTAACCTGACCTAACCAAACCTAACCAAACCTAAACCTAACCTAACCTAAAGCTGCCTTAAACAATCACAGCTTAAACAGTACTATTAGGGCTAAGCAGTACACTCTCGCCGAGACGAGACGGAGCAGGCGAGGGCAAACTATTCGGAATTCCTTCCCCGCCCGCCGGGAGAAATATCGTACCTGCTCCAGGTAGAAAGTTGGTGAATTTGGACATTAGAAACGACCCCAAAAATGTTGGTGAATTTGGACGTAGCCCACAATCTGTGGTGTTATAAGATGAATAATTATAAATAAACCACCAATTTGTGTATAATTATTGTCTTATCCGCAAGTACAGTTTCGCCATGCTGTTCTGTCGTCATCGCAGGCCCGAGGCCGATACTACGTATAATTGGCAG